GCAAATAAATAAAAAACTTTAAAAAAAATGGTACATATTTTTAAAGATAAGTAATTATAATTATATTTTAACATAAATTATAATTATTACTTTAATCTTTATAATTGTTTTTTAATATAATACATAAATGATTTTTCATAAATAGTTTTTCTGAAAGTATTTATTTTTTTTGTAACAAAAGTATGTAAAATTATCTGAAAGGAAGTGCTAGTATGTAATATATTTTAATGACATAAATGAATATTAATATATATCTACGACTTGAAAGCTGCTATAGTAGGTACTTTCTTTCATTATTCTTCTTTATTTATATTCTTTCACTAACTTTGAAATGCACTCATCTCGATAATGCATGTTCTCCTTTTCTCAATTTTTTCTCACTCATTCTTTCGTAATGCGCCACATTATAAGTTTTATCTTTATGAAACTTTTATTATATTTCATTATAGACAATTTCATTATATCTACCGACAATAATTATAACAACCGAGGGTAAGAGAATATGTCAGTTTTAAAATAAATTTTTGACTACACTACGCCCCATTAATTGTGAATTTAATTTAAAACTAAAAATATATTGATTTATATTCGTTTACTTGTAGTACTTGAAAAATGCGATGTTAATGGTTATATTATATTTTGCTTGCAAATATTCATATTTTACGTACTTTAGATATAAGGGCGTTTTTTAAAAATATTGTATAAACGTCATTAATGTTTTAACTCATTATTTTCGAAATATCTCATTTCAGATAAAAGTTCTAATTTTGTTTCAATGAAATTAATAACAGGCAGAGAACATATGACATACTGAATGCTTACTTAAAAATATCCTTTTATCTATGTGTGAAAGAATGGCGTGATGATATGCAACTGTTATTACTCAGCATTGGGAAATGAAAGTAGCAATGGTCAAACTATCTTTAAAAGATAATCTTTTGAAACTCAATAATTTTTACAAAGATGACATTACCATTGATACCAGGAGCTTTGAGGTTTTCATTGACACACGGGCAATGAATTTTATTTTAAATGAAAAAATAGTTGGATAGCACAATATTTAAGGAATGTCTATTGGGTCTGATCATCTGCCTCCTTAGAGTCACATTATTGAATATGATTAAATTAATGAATATATTGAATTTTTTAGTATTCCATATCTTCTTCCACAGTTCGAAACATAATCAATTAAGAAAAGCGTCTTTAACCATACTATAAATTTGACTTCGTAGGACATAATCAATGTAGCATATTGCATTTATTTGTTTCATTGTTGACTTTAAAAATGCTTACTGACAGTCTATTATATGAGGATAGCAAATTGCTTAATATATTCATTATGTTGAATTATGACTTAATGTCGTTTATTGTTTTGTAATTTTAACAACATTTTGTTGCTTTATTATATGGTTCATTTATCTATGTAATTTATGAAAAAAAACATATTTTACTACTTTGATGATAATATCCTAGTAATATATACTTTTATAATTTTTAATTTGTAAACTTAACAATGATTTCAATAAATTAAGATGTAACTGACATAAGACAACAACTAGTTTAGTACGCACTTATAACGGACTTATTCATGAGGAAATTTGAGCTGATAGAAATTTTAAATCATCTTAAAATTCTTGTAGAATATGAAGAATTTACGCCTTTTTATTATTATTGTGTCGCATTGTATCAAATATTGCTATGATTACGGTTTATACAATAATTTTTATTTAGATTTATCTAAATAATATCTAAATAAGTAAATGTACTGCAATTAATTTAGAATGATATTGATAAAAAACTTTATCCTATGTCATATATTTATGAAAATCGTTGTTATAAATAATGAAAAATTCACCGATTAGTAACATAATAAATTCCTTATAATCCGCAATATTATTGCTTTTAGTGAACGAACAATATTCCAAAGATGATAATTTTCAAATACGGTGGTAAATACGTTGGTTATTTAAGTATAACATGATATAATTATCAGTAATTATATTGTTTCCATACTACTTGAAAAAGAGAACCCTTATGCCGTAAAATCTATTATTTGTTCATCTATTATTCATCAATTTTAGTTCTATTAATAATCTTCAGTAGTATATGGGATCTATTGTTTTCGATAGTTTCATTCATATTTAAAGTATATTATAATTAGTAAGTATGATAGCTGAATTTTGATAATAAAGTGCTAAGATAGTGATTTTTCTCCGGGCTGTATAAATTACGCGGTTAAATCGAGAGTTATTTAAGTATATAATTTATTATTTATAATGTCAATGGAAACTAAAGCACCATTAAACATACATACATTTAGTTCGTACATAATCATACATACATTTTCCGTATCATACTCACTTATTAAAGATTTCAAATTATACATTAATATAAATATTTGTTATTAATACAAGTGTGATTTTCATTAGTATATTAAATTCTAATTATAAAATATTTAAATATAAGTTATCCAAAATGTAATAGGGGTTACAGAAATTTAAAAAATACATTGTATTAATGTCATTAATATCAATGATATCATTAATCACTTTTTACTATGACAAATCTATATAATATAATTAAATTGTTTAGTTGTTTTAATAGTTAATTTAATGTTTAATATTAATAATAATAACGATACTAAATTTATACTAATTATTATAAAACTATAATAATTTTATTATTCTAACATTATTAGGTGGTAATTTATATATATCATTATTTTCAATAAAATTTCGATTAATTTTTAGTTTTTTTAATTTTTATAAATAAATAGTATATAAAACTATTATTAAATAAATATTGTTATTAAATAAATATTAAATTTCATTAGATAAAGAGTTTTTGCTGTAGAAAATAAAAGTAGAACAAAAGTCTAGTATTAAATCTAATTAAAAAAACATAGTAAAAACGGCCCATTATTATCGTTTATAATATCATTAATATAAATTATATTCATAAATAAATATATTTATAAATAAAAATATAATATAATTAATATTAATGAAAATATTAATAAATTAAAGTTCTATTTTGATTAATTAATGTTTTAAATTTAACATGCGTTAAATTGTAAAATTATATAAGTGTATTTATATTACTTCAAGTTTATAAGATAAGAAAATATTGACATTACTTTAAGATCAAATTAAACGTTAACATAATGATAAATATATAAAGACACATTATAATTATAAGAAAAAACAAATTAAAGAAAAAACATTAAAGAAATGTAAATAAAAATTGAAGAATACTGATGATTTACAATAGAATTTATTACTAAGAACAAAGGCATATAATTGAAAATATAATTGTAAATAGTATACAAAAATTGAAGGATACCAATAAAATTATATTATTTACTTAGGGCTGTATAGTTCATAATATACTTATTTTTATTAATAATAGTACACTTATAACAATTTGTAAATCCCAAGGATTAATACTTGACTGATCAGATTAATATTGAATTCCATGTATTTATTCAAAAATCAATTATTTTTGTTTTTTGTACTGTGCTAGCTTCAAAAAAATTTATCAGTACATTTATATTATATTTTTCAACCAATTTTTGTGCTTTTCGTTATATAATTCGTAGATTATCAATTTTATTCACTGTAACAAATTTATATATTTAAAATTATATTTTTAAAATTTATATCATTCTATTAAATGTTTTCTATTGGAAATAAGACGTGACGATAAACTTCATGCATAGTTTTATCAATTTAATTAGTTAAATTCTTTAAATAGAGTTAACGATAGAAAATGCGAATATAGCAACTACATATAATAGATATTAATAGAATATCTATAGAAAGTAAAATATTTCATCAATTATTAAATTAATTTTTGATCAATCAGAAGAAAATTACAACGAGTTGGTTCTTTGAATACACAAGTTGATTTATTCTAAACTAATCAGAAAAATTCGGAATAAAACAATGATTCTATCTTCGTTTTAGATGTGTATATATGATATATATATATATATCGGTATGCTATCAGATATATATTTATTTATATTTGGAACGTAGAACGTATCAATATATGAGTAGACTTGAATGCAATAATAAAATTGTATTCATTTTTCAAAAAATTATATAATAAGTGACATGTTTTGACAAGATACTAATAATATTATTATAAATAAGAAAATTACAAATAGTAATTTCATTTTTGAAAAGTCAATTTCAATAAGTATTTTATTCTTAATATGAAAATGTATGTATAAATGTATTAATAATTATTTTTTAAATTTATTGAATTCTAATAATAGAAATGACATTGTATATTCTGAATAATTTTTAATTATATTCTTCATAAACTTTTTATACTTTATATATGCATAATACATATTGATAAATATTCAATTTTCCCTATATGAACATTATAAATTTGATATACAATCATATTTATGAAATATTCTATTGATTTTATAGTATATTTAATACACACATATTTCTTTGTATGTTAAATAAAAAAAAAAAACAGTAGAATTTTACATCTGCGGATTGAAAAGTCATGATTTATTGATTTTATTTAAAAAAATTAGAAATTTTAAAATTTGATTTATTCTTATTTTGTCACAACCATTGATTTATAGTATACAGTGTATTCGATGATTTCTCTGTAAATTTTTTACTATTTCGTTTTCAAATATTAATTTTTTATTAGTCTTTTATTGTTATATTTGTCTATAACCATGTTGGAAATATAAAACTGCTTCTAAGAAATATTTATTAGTATTTAACAAGTTTTAATAATTAAAACTGTATAAATTAAAACTTTTAATTCTTTAAGAAATTTGTATAACAATTTTTTCTTTTCTTTTATTTTATATATACTGATTTATCTTATTTGAATCGGGGCAAAGTATTTCTACTTTTCATTCGTGTATATAATTATGTAGTTCCTCTATCTAGCGATATTTAGCATAAATATGATACCAAATGTCTCGGTCGGTAAAATTATTTTCTACTCAAATGTAATTCATAAACTGAACTAACGCAGTTCCGTTTGAACGTATTTATAAAGTTTTTTCGTAGGCTGCCTTTGGGAGCCGGTTAATGAATAATATTTAATTAAATATATTGAAAATAATGCCACAAACACAAGGTTGTTGTGAAACTCCAGGTTGTAAAGCTCCTGCTAATTTACAATGTCCAACTTGTTTGAAAATTGGAATTCAAGGTTCCTATTTTTGTACTCAGGTAAGATATATATAAATTTTAACATTACCTCATGTACTTATTCGTTTTCTATGTTAATTATTTTGAGAGTTGCAGGACTGTTTTAAAAGTAGCTGGAAATCTCATAAAGTTCTTCACCAACTTGCAAGTAAATTTAAATTTTTATTTATACAGTATAATTAAATAATTTTTAGCCACTATTAAACTACTTTACTCATAGATATAATGCATTAGTAAATTTCTGATATTTTACTTGCACAAAATTACATAAAATGAATTACAGATTAATTAAATAATGTGAGATTATCATTCTATTTATATTACAGAAGGCAATAACAAAAATGAAGCAGAAGTATACAATCCTTGGCCATATTATAATTTTACAGGAAAATTACATCCAGCACCTAGAGAGCATATTCGTAAAGTACCAGAATCAATTGCTAAACCAGATTATGCTTTACATCCAACAGGTATACCATTAAGCGAACAAGCACTTAAAGGTTCAGCGATTATCAAAGTTTTAGATGATGAAGAAATTGAGGGAATGCGCGTGGCATGCAAGGTTTGAATTTTATTTAAAAATTTCACTTAGATAATCTGTATTATAATTAAATTTTTGATATAATTAGGATTCATATTTAATATTAAGGGGTTGTATTTTTATTAGCTTGGAAGACAAGTTTTAGATGAGGCTGCAAAGGTATGTGATGTCGGAGTGACAACTGCAGAAATTGATAGAATTGTCCATGAAGCTTGTATCGAAAGAGAATGTTATCCTTCACCTTTAAATTATTATCAATTTCCAGCAAGTTGTTGTACGTCAGTAAATGAAGTAATTTGTCATGGAATTCCAGATAAAAGACCGTTAGAAAATGGTGATATCTGCAATGGTATATATATATATATATATATATATATATATTTATATTTTGATTTATGTTTCATAAAATTTCATTATTTTTATATTAAATAAATAAAAAAAATAGTCATAGAAAACTGATATTTTATAAATGAATTTAATACTTTATTTTAAAAAAAATCAGATTATTTATTTTATCATACCATTCAAAGAAAATTTGTTTAATTGATTAATTGAAATTTTTATATTTGCAATAGTTATATATATTTTATCATTATAACTAAATTAATTGTAGTTAAAAACTATTTATACTTGTATATCTATATATTTAATTTATAGTTGATATAACTGTTTATCACAATGGTTTTCACGGAGATCTAAATGAAACATTTTTTGCTGGAAACGTTAAGCCTGAAATAAGAAAGCTTGTTGAGGTAACTCATGAGTGTCTTTCTAAAGCTATTAAAATTGTACAGCCAGGAGAAAAATATAGAGAAATAGGAAATGTTATTCAAAAACATGCTCAAGCACATGGTTTCAGTGTTGTCAGAAGTTATTGTGGACATGGTATTCATCGACTTTTTCATACAACTCCAAATATTCCACATTATGCTAGTAAGATTTTTTAATATTTATATAATTAATCACCATTATTTAAAATTTATTTATTTTAAATTAAAAGCTTATAAAGTATAAAATCAAATTTTGTTAGAGAATATATTAGAATGTTTGTATATTTTTGTGAATATAATATATAGTAAATGAAATTCAGTCTTCACGTTTTGAAAATTTTTAATTATCTTTATAATAAACAAACTTTTCATTTTTTAGAAAATAAAGCAATTGGAGTGATGAAAGCTGGACATTGTTTTACAATTGAACCAATGATATCACAAGGTACATGGCGTGATGTAATGTGGCCTGATAATTGGACTGCGGTTACTGCGGATGGCATGTGGTCAGCACAGTTTGAACATACACTTTTAGTTACAGAAACTGGTTGCGATATTTTAACAAAAAGACTATCTAATGATGGTAGCCCTTGGTTCATGGACCGTTCTTAGTAACATACTTTAAAAATTATTTGGTGTAAATAAATGAAAATTTATGTCAGTAATATAATATAAAAGCTTATTCTGACAAATTCTCTAATCGATATTTGAATATTTAATACTAACATTTAAATTTTCTAAAATTCTAATTTTTAATAAAATTTTTCAAACTATTTTTTGATGATTTAAATAGTATACAATTTAAAATGTATAAATTTATGTATTCGATAGAGAATTTATCAATACATTTCTGATAAATTAATATGCGTTATATGTACAGTGTCTTTTACCAACTAGGTTTTATAATTTATATTTTTTGTTTATTGTATACATCTTTTAATTATTAAAAATTAAATCTTATATTTATTGTTTCATTTGTTCTTCTCATGCATATTATATTCATTAGGATTATATTTATTGTGCACAAATTATAAATTTAAATTACATCCAATAATAATTAGTTAATATGCAATATTGGTTAATACTAAATATACTAAGTATTTGTTTTAGCTAACATAAAAATATAGTACAGAAGTATAATAATATTTAAGGACGAAGTAGGAATGGAGTAAAATTTTTAATCTGGGTATAGAAATATTGAAATATAAAAAAAAATGTTGCAAAATATCCAATTAGCACGAACTATTGGGCTGAAAATGCAACAACCTATAGCCTGAAAAGATGATGCAAAGAAACAATACTTTATTATTTATTAATTACAATTATTTAGTCAGAATAATTATTGAACATTACCTTATGCATTTTTATTGATTATATAACTGAGACATCGGAGATGAATATTAGGATTCCATGGACATTTTCCTCATAAAATCAATTATATATAATAAATACATGAAAATAAAATATAAAATAGAAGTTTTTTTAATTTTTAAAATTATATATAAGAAGGGACTAAACAATCAGACTAACAAACTTTCTTTAAAAATTTTAATAAATTAAATAAATAAGTACAAAAGATACAATAACATTGACAATACTGTACATAAAATAAAACTGATTACATACACAACATTAATTTAAAGCTCTTTACGTACATAATAATTTATATTATAATTTCAAAAGTCTTATTTAAAACCTTTTGAATACAATTAAAAAATTGCTTAATATTTACATTTTATTATTATAATTGATCAAATATAATGTGTAGTATTTATACAAATCTATTTGGATTTGATAAATGTTCTATTTTTTTTTTTTTTTTTTTTATAAATAACCTTTTGCTAAAATGAAACTTTTCAAAATTATTTTATTATTTTTGTATTGTGTTAATAAAATATTTTTAAAAAATTTTTAATCAATTATATACATAAAATCACTTTCCAGTTTTTGAGACAATACGTGTTCCATATTCTGAATCTTCTATAGAAGATTCCTTATGTCGTGGAACTTCTACTTCATCATTTTCATATTCATAGTCTGCTGTCAAATCTTTTTCTTTTTCAGTATTATCTTCTGGTACAAATATTCTTAATGGTCGTTTTGTTTCTTCGTTATTTTGTTGTCTGTATTTTTCGTTTTCCTAAAAATAAATATTAATTTCATTTATATTTTTTTATATTATAAATAAATTTATGTTGAGAAGATATTTTTGTTAAGAATTTATTAAAATTTGATTTAAAATATTTGAAAATAAAATACGTATATAAATTATACTACAAAAATGTAACGATCATAAAAGCACGAATAACAAATTATGTAATTTCAAAAAATCTTTCGATTTCAGTACAATTAAAAAATTAAACCGATTAAACTTAGAAAAATATATAAAAATTTGAAAAATATTTTATATGAATCATATTAGAAGGGTATAACTTCTAATAGAAATTAATATAAATACTTTAAAGACGTAGAGAAATGAAAGATTTTGTATATAAATAGATACATTTTAAATAATATTCAACCAATGGCATATTTTAATAAAAATTACCTCTTCTATTCGTGTCTGTTCTTCTTTTATTTTATATTGGCGATGAAGAAGTTTCTTTTGATGTTCCTCTTGCTGATGTTGTTCACTATATTTTGTACTTCGATTGACACCGGCTGCAACGTCATTGCCTACATGCTCCTCTTTATGATTTGCTGGAATTGATTGGCCAATAGCCGATTGTTGTCCTAATTTTTGGCTTTCATGTTGTCTTTGTTGTTGATTTTTCAATTGATTAATTAATTGGCTATTGACAATACCTGCTGCTGCTAGAGCTGCTAGTTTTTCCGCCGTCTCTTGATTTGGAAGTGTTGTATAAAATTGTGCTGCTATGTTTTGATGGTCTTTAATCTGCATAATGAAATAATTTTCTAGCTATTTTTCAATAAAAATCAATGCATCTTTCGTCTATATAAATAATCAATGTCATCATAAAATAAAATCTGTCATCTTTATACACGGAAATAAATATATGAGGGAAAAAATATTTAAAATAATAATTAAGTAAATACTTTTTAAATTAGAATTATATTCAGTTGATAATCAAAAACTAGATTCGATGTAAAATTGACAATAATATAGAAACATACATAATTATCACTGTAATCAAATAATAAATATAATTTATTATAAAAATATTTGATTATTTATAAAATAAAATCGCTTAAAATCATTTATTAAGAAATTAGTAAAAATGAAACAAATTATTTCTTTAAATTATTTTAATAATTTTCATACCTTATTAAAATGTAAAGCAGGACTAAGTTGAGTTGCAGGATTCTGAAATTCTATATTATTGTCCTGATGTTCACTTGTATCCGCACCATTGAAAGTATCAGGGGCTAAACTATAATCTGCAGTTACTTTTCCCAAAGCATAATTTTGATTTATGAATATATTTTTTTGTTGCTGTTGCTGTTGCTTATTAGCTTGCTCATCGAAACTGAATGAGTGAAATGTTGGTTGAGAAAATATTGGCTGTAAACAAAATATAATTTATCATGGAAAATAATGTAGCACATCTAATTTAAAAATTGGTTTGATAATTAATAGATTTTAATATATTAATTTCTTATAAAATATTTATATTTTTCAAATTGTATAATATTATTAACTTTTTTATGTATTTGACCTTTTATGCATATGATTAAATAAGAAATATATACATTATAAGTTAAAAGTTAAAAGTTTGCTCAACAAAATTAAAATATTATATTGATTAAATAAGAAACACAATTAATAATTAAAAGTATTGCTTATTAAGGTTTAAATATTAAAATGTATATATTTATATTTTTTCTATATTTAATTTGTATTTTTTATATATTGTTAATGTTAATTTATATTCAAAAATCAATTATTAAAAAAAATACTAATATATTAAATATTAATATAAGGTATAACGTTTTTATTAAAAAGTAAGTGTGATTTTTTATATATACATAAAAAGTTCAATGTTTATAAATCATAATAATTTATATTAATTTTTTTAATAAATATGTTCAATATAAAATGATAAACTATAAAAATTATATTAAATATATTTAATAAATGTAAAGTGTAAAGTTTATTACTTACAATTTTTATAGTCAATATAAATTATATTGTAATTTAAAAATATAAACATAAACAGAATTGTGCAATTAAAGTTATTGCATATTATGCATTGGTATTGGTATCCGTATAATGCCGTATAATCCGTATAATAGAAACATTAATTACGATTTTATTAAATATTTGTTGTTGTTACTCTTATCGTAAAACATGTTAAATAAAACTTTCAATGTTATACACGTTTATTTTTTAGTTTACCAGTACAAAATTAAAAATATACATAAATAATAAACTAAATTTTAATAAACTAATAATCATCCACTGTAATGACATTATTAATTATATATAATTTTTTCAGATCATAAAATATTAGAAAATATACGAATATTTAAAAATATAATTATTTAATCAGCTGTTACATAATTCTAGGTCCTATATTAAATAATAATTAACTTATACAATTAAAATTAAAGAGTCTTATATCTAGAAAATTGTAATGGATAATGATTATTTAATAAAATTAATAAGTCTTACCTTTACGGCATCGCTCTGTTTATTCTGATGTTGGGGCAAATGTTGTATTTCAGGTTGCTGGTCGGAAGTATAGTGATCTCTAAGTTGACGAGGAAAAGAATTTAGCAATTCGTACAATTTTGCAGTGGGTATAGAAGGTTCATCAGGATTAGTAAAATCCTCATGTAAATCTGAAGTATAAGTTGGTTGGCTGATTGCCGTTCCAGGCCCAGAGACACCCACGTGCATTGATCTATGTAGATTAGTCTGCATTGAAGTACTTGGCTCTATACTACTTGAATGTGAATTTGTTAACGATGACGTTGGAGTAGGTGAATGATTCAAATAAACATTGTTTTCGCCTGTCTGTAGAAACGTATATCATCATAGAAATCGGATACTCAGGATAACAAAATTAAAACCTTTTTACCCTGAGTAAATGTATGTGTGTATGTGCTTCCAAAATTAATAGAAGGTTAAATAAGTAATATTTAAAAAATAATATTAAAATATGTTTTAGTTTTTAATTTTAATGTACAAATTTTTTATTTCTATTAATATGAACGTTTTAAGTATCATGTTACAAACCTGTTGTTGTTCAATATCAGACGAAGAATATTGTGCTGAATTAAACTCAGGTGTAAAGTAAAATGGTGGCACTGCATTATTAACTTCATTTGATTCTGTTACTTCATATTGGTGCTGATTATTATTAGTTGATACTATTCGTTGAGATATTTCGCTAGATCCTATATTATTTCAATAATAATATTTTTCTATTGATTAATGCGTAAATGTTTACAATTTTATAAGCAAATAAAAGTAATTGTTTTGATTAATATTGAGATATTTCTATTCGAGTTTATTTAAAATAATGAGTAATTAGCAATATTATATACTCATAGGGTAATTAATTATATATATAGGATGAAATTTTTATTAATATTTTCTAATTTATTTTTAATATTTTTATAAATATATTGAATAATATAGAAAAAAATTATAAAAATGATTTGAATTTTTATTTAATATATGTAAATATTTAATATAAGTTAAATATCTTTATAATTGTTAATTTATTCTAATAATTTCCAATTTGAAAAGGAATAGATGTTTAATAAGAAATTTAAAATCAATCTAAAAATATTTTAAATTTTTATAAAAATTTCATATTTAGCAACATACCATGATCGCCAAAAGCGCCTGTATAGTCTATTTGAGCAACTGCGTAAGGTTTTCTAACTATTTCATCTTTCTTTGTGCCCTGGCTGTTAAACAATGCTTGTTGTTGATATTGTTGTTGCTGCTGCTGTTGTTGTTGATAAGAAGCGCTAGCAGGACCTAAATTTGGTGCAGGAATTGTGTGTATGGGTCCTTTATCATCATCGAAACTGTCAATATTTGGTGATAAACTTTCAATTTTTAATTGATATTGTGAATTATACTGTTGTGGATCTTTTACAATAGATTGAAGTTCATTAACTGGTGATACTCGTTGCACCATACCACCATAAGTATCAATCTTTCCTAGGACGGGTGGTATTGGATTTTTGTATACGTTCGACAAAACATTGTACATCGGAGGTGGTGGAGGAAGCGGTGGTCCAGGAGGACGACGAAATCTTTATGATCAGAATTATGTAGTGTTTATATGTAAGTGTTATACATTATTTTCAGTTTGAGAATAGGATTTTGATTTTTTTTAAAATAATTTAAATTACTTCAATACTTTAGGTATTTTGACTATTATGACTATACAAATAATATTTTTTGAGAAATTTACTTAACTATAAAACATTAGATAGTTAAATTATTATAATCGGTAAATCTATATTTGTTATATTTATAATTTTTAAATATTTTTATAGCAAATTTATAATGTAATTAAATGCTTATATTTAATGGAAAATACTCTCTATTATTATTAGAATAATAATTTTACAAGGATATATCATTTAAAGACAAATAAAACAATTCATAATTTTAAAATAAGTCACTTACATTTAGTTAATAATATTTAGCAATATATAATTTGAGTAGGATAATTTCTTAAAATATATTTTTAAGTAACTACATTGATATTTAAGTTTTAAAAAGAGAAGTTTTACTAATTACATCTATAGACAGATTTCGACATATTATATGAAATAATTTTCTTATTTTTAATTAATTACATTTATTAATTATTTTATTTAAACGTTTACAATAAAAAATTAACAATATTACAAAATTCTACAATGTTTACAAATGATTCTCTCTATATATAGATAAATAATCTTCACATTGTAAAAATACTTTAAATGAATTGACTCATTGACTCATTTCATTTAGAATTGATAATATTCGCGATCATAATTTATGATAAAACCTTAAATTTTCATTCAATATTATTAAAGAAAATTTATATTATTATATTACATGCATTCATATTTTCTTCATCATCAAATTAATATATTTTTTTTTTATAATCTAAATAAAATAAAATTTGTATTTTCATATTATGTTACATTAAAGTAAATTTTTTTTTTAGACATACGGAAAAACTTTTGTAATTGTTAAATATAATTTAGTGAATATTTACTCAAATGTTAAAGTTCTTTCAACCAAATACTTGCTTTTAAATATCAACTTATATATCATTATTAACTAAAATTAAATTTTATTTAATGTAAAAGTTGGATGTTATTGATTTTTAAATAAAATTAAATTAAACTAATGCTTTCTTTCATAAAATTATATAGAGCGTAACGTATTAATATATATTATATTAAGTACAATACTTTAATTTACTGAAATCTAAATAAAAATTCAATATACTTTTATATCAATATAATAAGAGCTCAATTTAGAATTAAGTCTTTTAATTATATAAATGTAAAAAATTGTAAAACGTATTGATCAAATAAAAATTTTACCGGTAATTGGTAGGAATTAATGGTGGCCTTTTATGAGGTAAATTCCCTGCAATATGAATAGAATTTCCCATTGAAGATATTCTCGATCCTGGTGTCCATGATTTTTTGAAAATCTGTGGTGGTGGTCGAGAAAGTGATGGTGATGGAAGCTGCAATCTCCTAAACTTGTATTGCGCCTCTGAAGAGTAAATAACTGAGAAAACAAAGAACCAGCATAGCCAACTAGTTCTCTGGCAATAAAGAAAATAGGATTTATTGCAAATTTAAAGATTTACGTAAAATAATTTTATCGAAATATTATAAAAAAAGTATTGGATTGATTAATCTTACATTAAACAATATTTAACAATTAGAGTTTAAATTTTATTAATTTTTTATTATTTTATATTTTTTAAAACTATAATTATTAAATTAAATATTAAATTATACAATACACTTTAGATTGTAAATAATATTTCAATTTTATTATAAAAATTTTATTAGAATTTCATGCATATCTTTATAACAAAACAATTTCAAAAATATTTGATGACTAAATAATTTATAAAACAAGAAAATTTCATAAGTAAAATATTATCAAATATATTAGTTTCTTTTATTTACAATATAATTAATTCATCTACAGTAAATGATTATAAATAAATATATTTAATATTAAATAATATATTATTCTATATTTTTTGTAAAGACCTTTGAATTTAACGGTATATTAATACTTTAATAATATGGAAAATATATAATTCTTATAAATTCTTATTAAATTTTTTTTACGGAAATATTAATAAGAAAATAATATGTAAATATGATGAAAAATGTTTCTACAATAATTATTATCTTTATAATTTATTAAAAATTTAAATAAATATTGCGGCAATAAATTTTTATATATATTAATTAATTCAACTGTTCAATACTTAAATACAATTTGATTATTACACTGTTAATAATAAAGCTATAATGTATAGAATATAATATAATACAATATTTTAAAATTTTGTCTTTAAATCTTTTAAATTTATTAAAATTACTAATATTCTATTACTAATAAAATATTATGAACATTTTATAGATTTTTTCAAATTAATTTATAAATTTTGTGAAATATCAATATTTTGTTTTATTATTTTTGTTCTTATAATCAGTACATTGTATTTTTAATATATTTCATTCTATAAAAATAATTTGTGTATGAAATTTGTTTAATTTAATTTAAAATCAAAGTCTTATTATATAATGAGCAAGAAATATTTGAAATTGTATTAAAGAAGTTATTTTAAATATTTTATTTCTTTGAAACATTATCAGTAATTAATGAAACTTATATGGCTCATAAATTTTTAATAAAAGTAGGTATAGTAATTATTATTTTATAAGATAATTTTGATTCTAATTTAATATTATTTATTATTATGGCGACTTATTGATAAATTAAATATTTAAATATGTATAATAAACAATATAATTAAAATGTAATATAAGCTTCAGTCATGACCTTTCATTAAAAGTATTAAAATATTAAAAGCTCTCTATTCAAAAGCTTTTTCAATTTAGTTCTAAAAGTCTTTAAGCAATTTTATTACATGAACAATTCAACTAGATGAAATCTACCGCGTCTCCATATCATATTGTCGCGGCACATTTAACATACCCATGAAGATCTTTTGACGGTATTAGCTAAACGGTACAACGCATGTTTATAAACAAGCCTTTGCAGCCTTGTGCCTATAGCATTTGAATTGAGAAAGATGCTTTAAAAAACCATGAATCAAAAATCCTTTACATATGCTCATACTTGCACATGCGATTCAATTCAAACAGAGTTGTAAATAATGTTGATAAATCAAGAGTTTAAATAAAAAGTGTACCAACAAATTATCGAAGGAATCATTTAAAACTTTTGTACTCCTATACAAATGTGTATTTAAATGGTTAGAAAAGGGAATATGTTTGCTATTGTAATTAATTTTTTTTTTAATTATTTTAAGTTCGTTTTTCTTCCTTAAGACAAAATAAGATTATATAATAGTTCTGAGTAAACTATGGCAATTGTAATAATGATCTTATAATGTTTATGTAATGAACTTGCACTAATCTTTTCGAATTTAATTATTAGAAATAATTATTTTAAATACATTAAGTATAAGTATACTGTATTTACAAATTTCAATAGTAAAGGAAAATCTATTAATCCCATAACATCTGTAGCTTGTCTGCATGTAACTATATATATGTTATTTATAATATTGAGTGTCCTGTGTCATTGATCTATGTAATTGGTATTAGATTAAACAATTAATATGCCGATTAATGAAATTATTACGAAAATTGTAAAAATAAGGAAATGCCAATAAAAAAAAAGAGAAAAATGTTATATTTAATTATAATTAAGATTTTTATTCGATCTATTATTCATTAGTAATAGATTATTGTATTTTAAAAATTTTAATTTATTTTGAATATAATGAAATAAAAGGAATAAAAATAAAGAAATAAAATGAAAAATAAGATAAAAAAATAAAACTCAAATAAAATGAATCATCAATAATTGAATTAAATTTTTATGTAGCTTAAATAGTATATATACATAAGTATAAAGTAATCCCGACTTCTCTTATTATATCAAATGAAATACTTCATATTTAAACTTCACCGATAGTTTTTAATTTAATTACGGGATTTGAAAGAAAAAGAATAAAAATAAATAAGAATAAATAAGAAATAAGAATAAAAGAAAAAAAATAATCTATTTATATTAAAATATTATGGAGTACAAATATTGCCCTTAAAATTTTATTGAAAAAATAATTCCGGTCAATTCGTAATAGAAATTTTTTAACTTTAAAATTAAAGTTTAAGTTTTTATCATGAAAAAAAAATAAAGTGTAGAACGTCAATATATTTATTGCTATCTGTTTTTGGAGTATTTATTTAGCGAATTTTAATTATATTAATAGAATGAAACTTTCAATGCTATATTTTATTGAGTTTTTAATTAATTTACAGATGAATGGATCTTGAATGAGATAATGACATATTCACTTTTATTTGCAAATATACATTTTTTTGCATTCAATTAAATCTATAGTAAGATTGAAATACTGTAAGAAACAGTAGGGATGTGTGGTTAAAAATTAATTACTTGCCTTCATATTGTATTTTGATGTTACGGTATCTGTTCACACGAGCGTATACACAATTTTTCACTTGGTTAGGCAACGAGGAAGCACTTGGCTATTCTACACACAATTAGGTCATTGTCCTTCATTTATACTTTCCAGACTGTCTTCCTTCTTCCCGTTCTTTCCCGCTATATTACTCTCTCACTCTCTCACTCTCTCTCTCTCTCTCTCTCTCTCTCTCTCTTAGATTCCTTTCTTGCAGTCACTCTCTCTAGTGTGCACGTATCAGAATCTTTCTATCTCGCATGTAGCCGGCGCCTCCGTATACGTGAGGTCTTCTCATGCAGCAATGTGAAGCAGTGACCACGATGGCGTTAAGGTCCGGTTGACCGACTTGTTCTGTGAAACTCGATTCTCTCTCTCTCTCTTTCTATCTTTAATTATCTATCCATCTTTGTCTCGATATTTACATACCTATTAAAAAATAATTAATGCCATTCTTGCCATTTCATCTCCATGAAAAAAGTGTTAAATATGTAATTATATTCTTTAGGTTATTATAATATATTTATAACGAAACAGTTTTTATACTTCCACGTGAATAAATAAGATACAATCATACGAAGTTATTAAACAATATTTTTTTAAATTATATAGCTTCAAATCAACTGGATGAAATCTATAATAAGACACGCAGTGCTATTAAACATCTTCTCATATTGATATTAAATAATCTTAAATACATATTCACGATTAAAAATCATTTTAATAAATATTAATTTATCCTACACTCTATGATACAAAGTATGATTAACTCCATACTCTATTCCCCTTATAGAAGAAATATTTCTAAATTAGATGCACCAAATTGATGACTCAGTTCACGTATTATTTATTTGCATATATTCTATCATCTTATGTCCGAACATCCGTTTTGAGAATAATTTCAAATTTGTTTATAGCTTATAATTTATTTAGAAACGTGCATGCATCCTCTTGCTACGTTTCATTTTGCACTACATAATGAAAATATCTTTAAATAAGAAATTTTTTAAAAGAACGCAATAATTTATTACAATGAATTAAATCAATAATTTACTTTTCACTTAAGTTAATTAGAACAAACATAATAATACTTTTAATTAATTAGATAGTTTCTACAATTATATTATTTTTAATTAAAAAAATTTTAACAAAATTTTAATAATATTATATTAATATGATTTATGACTGTAAAATTTATAAATTTTATCTAAAAATTTTTTAAATATATGATATATATATTACAATGTTATTGGAGAATGGAACAAAGTATTTTTATCGTTATTTATATTGAATTAATCATAAGTAGGTTTCTATATATATCATTATATATCTAAATCTAAATGTATGTTCCGAAGTTTTATAATGATGTACGATTAACAATATATGATTAATGTTTAATTGCATACATTTTAAATCTATATATTACTAATTACTATTATTTATAAATATATATATTTAATATTCCATGTGGTTTCTTAAATCCAAAATTTATTAAAAATAATATTTATATATAATCAAATATTTTTTAATTTTATTTAAAGTGTGAAAAAATATTTACTGAAGTTTATTTATGATTTTCTAAATTCCAGAATAAGTAATTTCTTGCATTTTACTTTTGTATAACGATCACTATATCTTATAAAAATAACTTTCTAAAGTAATTTCAAAAATATTTCCCTTGTAAATTATTATTTATATATGTATAAATATATTAAAATATTAATATATTATAATGTATAAATTTATTAATTATAAAAGCATAATTAAAAAATAAATATCTCATAATACATTTTACTCTACATTAAACATAGCTGCGATCAACATAAGTGAATATTACAAATATGGATTTTATTTATTTCTAGATAATTTCTCTCAGCAATGTATTTATAACAAAAGTTTAAATAAGACGTTGCCTAACTTTTTTTATATAATCTTCATATTTTATTATTGCATTTTGTGCAATGTATAAAATAAATAATTCATTATGTGTTTCGGAGTAAATTTTTTAAACTTTATAGAGAAAAATATTATATTTCAAATTAACCTTAAAAAAATAGTTTTTCTCATAAATTTTATGAAAAAATAGTTATAAGTATTCATATATGTGGTAATCTCTGTAATTTGTGTATGCATAAAACAATGGAAATTTATTTATAGTTTAATATAAATACATATTAATAATTATATTGAAGAACATATCTCTGTATTGACCGTATAAGAATAACTATGCTATTATTTTTTAAATTTATATATTATTCACACGGCTAAGACTCATTGATTACTACTAGTACAAAATATGTATAAAAATACGCTTACACAGTATCACACAATTTAAATTATGAAGGAATTCCTAATAATAATTTGCGAAACAAAAGTCATTCAGCGTTAAGAAAAAAGTGTAGTTGTATTTTCAGAATCAGAATAGCCATCGAGTAAATTTCTAATTTTATCATATTCTATCTAAATACATATAACGTTATCTAAGTTCACCATAAAATGGTTCGCTTCAGTGAAGGCTTTCAATGAGTGAATAAATTTTGAACCTTGTAAACAGGCTTAATCAATATTCATATATTCATACAATACAGTAAAGAATAATTAGTCTATAGAGACTATATGTCCAGTAATCAAACTCAAAATTAACAGACTTAATCAAACTTATTCAAATAAAAATAACAAATTATGGTAAAATGCACGATCTGCTGAATAATATATAAAATCATGACTATATAATTTACACACGATTTTACCTTTTCATCAATAAGCCGATAAAAGTTTTTTCACTAGCAATACCAATCATGACTACATAAAGCTAGATTATATCAGGAGATTAAAAACTGCACCAAATATATCGGAAGTTTTACTCCCTCGTCGCATGGCTTATAAGTTAATTGTATACACAATTCTTCATATACTTGAATTGCAATTGAGAAAAAAATATTAATATAGAAAATGAGAAGTCAATCTGCATATCAAAAAGTAAAGAGTTATCGAATTTTAATTACCAATCAATTACCTTAGGAAAAAAGGGAACAGATGGTAGTAATATATAATTCAATGATTCATATTAATAGATTTAGTAGCATTGAAATTACAATAAGATGTTAAAAATATGAATCAAATGTAAGCGTATGCGATGCGAAAGATAATAATTCTATAAATAATAATAATTGTTCTACCTTTCTATATTCTATAAAGAAAGAAATTAAAAATATATTTTTATGTATAAATATTGTAATATGCATGCATCATTGTGCAATAAGTATATATAACACAGAGACAAAAGTAAGGAAGAAAAAAAAATAGGGAAAAAAACAGAATGCAAGAGAATTAAAAGCTCAAAGATTGAAAGAAAACGAATGCAAGGTTGAGTGCATAATAAATAAGGTTGAGATATTGCCAATTCCAGTTTCTGTAGATCTTTCTTTGATTAGTATATTTTCCCTTCTTTCAAACCCATACATGTCCCAATTTTCTCGTATAGATTTACGACAGCGTACGCATGCTGTATTTAACGCTATAATTCGTTACACCAGTGAAATGTGAAACTTGTCCATTTTTACTGATGATATTTACGAGAATATGTAATTTAAGGTTGACGAATTCTCATCTATTTTTTTTATAGCGTTGAAAAAGCTGCATCCAGATTTAGTCTCATAATAGTTTTTGTTGCATCGATTCTTAATTATTGATCATTTCAACGGCGTCAGTCTCTGACTTCTTAGATAACAGTTTTGTTAATACCTAATAAATAGTTTTGCTACATATGGAAGCTTAATATTATAGCTATGTTTCGAGGTTCACGTATCAATGTACTTGATCATTTAAAATTAATACGATCAATATCGATTAAACTAATTAGGTAAGTATAAATTAATAATGTATTATAATTTTCGTCCTTCAAAAAATGAATTTATGATTTCATATAATAATAATTTTGCCAAAACTATAAATAATGTATAAGTAGCCGATAAAATTATATGTAGTGTTGTTTATAATAAAAATATAATATAATGTAATATACGTTTCTTTTAACTTATAAAGAATATTGTAAATTTACATTGTTAATTGAAGTATTTTAATTTTAAATGGGGCTATTTATATTTAATTAAAGCAAATAAAAGCTTATGTTATTTTTCGCTAAATATATATGCCTTTGTTTTATTAAGGTTACAAAAATGACTGTATACACAGTATATTGGAAAAGATATACAATTTCAATATTTCAAGCATTTCACTTGTTGCCTTAACGTTCATTAATAAGAATACTTAAATATAAATGAATACTTAAACAATGATTTAATAGTAGTTATTTAAAAAAACATTCAATTACGAAAAGAATTAATAATAATTGGAGTCAACAAATTTAGCTGGAAACTGTGATAGATCATAGTTAAAGATCTTTGGGTAATCTTCTGCTTCGTAGACTTCTTGCCATTGACACACGCACGTATGCACGCACGCACGCACACACACACACGTGCACGCATGCACGCACACACACGAATCAACCAACTGACTTAGATCTTCGGTAATCGTAGTGAAGATATTGTGGATAATACGCGTAGGCATATACCGCTGTAACACATTATTATCATTTAAAATTTAATAATTTTCTGTAGCTTTTAAGCATATAATATTGTACATAAAAATTTTTACTTATTATTAAAGATTAATCGAATGTATCACGAATTAGAAATGAATTATAAAATATTTTATTGAATTTGAATAATTATTTTTAGTAGTATTTTTAGTAGTCTATATGTTATATAGACATTATACTATATTACATATTTGATATTTGTATTCCTAATTAAATAATAATATTTGATTTTTTTATTGAAAATTGTTAATTTAATTCTGTAATTATTATGTTATTATGTTGGAAATAGTGTACACACCTCAAAGATATATTTAATTTTCTATTGAATGTACTGGTATGATAAAAGCTTTAAAAGCTTTTTATTGTTACTTAAAAAACTATTTATATTAAATAATAAGAAATTAAATATTATTGAACGAATTCAAAAAGATTCACTATTCATATGAAATTATTTATGTAAAAAAGCATCGAGGACAGATTAAAGGAAAATGAAAATAAAATCGTATAAAAACGACAGAAACGATGATGAAAACGTTTTTCTTTTCTTCATAGTATTTACAATTTCATTTATAAAATTTATGAATATTTATTATATAATATAATTATATTTTAATATGATATTTAAAGAATTTTATGTATTATTCGTATACTTATAATATCGGCACATATAATATGTAAACAGCGATATATTTTGTTTCTAATAAATTAAATTTTCCTTCGAAATTTGTAAACAAAATAGACATATACTAAATTAAATACTATAATTTCTTATTTCAAGTTCTTAATTCTATATAAACAATATACTTTTTATACGATGTAAGCTTCATAAACGTTGCAGCTTCTGAAACACTGTTTTACGACGTTTAAGTAATGTAATCACGATATATAATTATTACCTTTTCAGTTAAAATATTCTCGAAACGACTAATGACATATTTGATTACAAAAATTCTTACTATTAAAAAGAACATATATAGTTTTTATGTTTGCAAAGTAAAGTTTTAATATTTTATTCTTTTATTGTTGTTACCGTTATAAATAAACTCATCACATTAGCTCATTTATTAACAATAGTAAGAAAAATCTTTGAACAATAAAATTAATTATCGATAATTTCAGTATTTATTTTTAATTATATTTAGTTATTTTATTTTTTTTTGTATTTTAATTATTTATAATAAGTATGTATCTTTCAAAAAACATAATTTAAAATATTGCTAAGTAATACAATTGATTAAATGAATGAATTAAATAATATATAATTAAAAAAATAATAAATAAAATTCATTTAGAATACTTAAAATTGTATGCAAAACATTTTATTACTGGACCAGCTTGAAATTAAATATTCAAACAATTTCATAGGAAAAATATATTATTTTCATAAATAATTATAATATTCATTCTGAGTTTTATTTTTTTAAACGAAATATAATAATTACACTTTTTCAACGTTCAAAATTCATATCGTTTAATATAATGATTAGTTATTTTAAATAATTATTTTTATATGTAAGTAATTATTTTTTATTAATACGTGAAATTTCTTGAAAATATTGTAATACATTTATATTTTACTTTTTTTTTTATTTTTAAATGTATTTATAGAATTTGAAATTACTAAACTGAAATTGAAAAATAATAAAAATATATGCAAGATGTACTTTAACAATATTGTAATCATTTCTATAATGTTGTATTTTAGTCTTCGACATTCTCAGTTACAAGTAGAAATTAATTCAAATAAATCATTGTATATTTTATATAGAAAATATAGGTTGAAATGAATATGAATGTATATTGGTTAATTTTATAATTAAATTATTCATAATAATTTGACGATTTATGTACATTTTGAATAAATCAATTAGTATTTTAAATACTATTTTTATAAATTACATTATATTTATATGTATTATAATATGTACCGATTAAAGAATTTTTTAAAAATAAGTATTCATTTAATAGATAATATAATGTAGTCAAGTAAAAAGTAAGACAAGAATATTATAATTAATTATTAGTATAGAATAGATTTACAAGTTTTTTTTAAAGAACATATTACTTACATACAAAGGAAAAATTATTATTTTATGATAAAATCCAAATTAATTAAAATTTAAAAAAAACTGAGTATAATTTTATTAATTTTTACCGCGTATTGTCAGTCTTGTTATTTTCTATAATTTTTACTGTAGATAAATTATTGTGACATAACGTTAACTTCCTATTTTTATGTATTTGAAAGTTTTTTAATTATAAATTATTTCTTATTTCTAATGAATATTAGAACTATCTTGACATATTTGCAACCCGTATTTAACTGACTATTTAAATTTTATGTTTTATCCATATTTTCTAAATTTGTCCGGAATTGGGGAACTTGTCAAAAAACCAAGATTTTTCGGTATATTAGACTCCAAAATTGGTATTTTTAATGGTTCTTGTATAGTAACAACATGAAGTCCAGGTCGATGAATACTATATAGTGAGTAGCTTCCCAACGCGAACTTGTTGTTATCCCCGTCTGAAATTTTAATGTCAATATCCTATGTTCGCTAAGTATATAAAGCAATTTCGACAAAATATAAGTGAAAAGTGAATATTTCATATTTAATTAGTTTAACTGTTGAAATAAACAACTGATTTTTTATAATTTAATAGTTAAAAATATATTTTATTTGTAAAAATTTTAAGAGAAGGGTATAATTTTGGACTACCTGAATTATAATTTAATATTAAAAGAAAATTTGCTGAAAATTATGAATTTTTTTATCAATAAATCATGCTCTTCATTGAAATTTAATATACCAACTATTTTTTTACCACATATTTTATACTGCAGTATGGATTATGAGAATCTAAGTCTTGTTTGTTCATATTTAATATTATCTTTGTCAATTGAATAATGGTTTCGTTGAAATTTGCTCATATGAATTATAACGGACATCTTTGGATTAATAATTAATAATCCGGACTTAACATTATTATTTTAAAATATACGTGAACCAATTGACTGCAAAGATAATGCAATAATGATAGAGTTATTAAAATTACCAAATATAGATGTCAGTTCATTATTAGTTTATTACATGAGATTAATTTTTAAAATAAAGTAATTAATTTGTTTATTTTAATTTTTTACTTATTTATAAAAAATACGTTTATATTATTTTTAATTTTAACACCATAAATTCTGTATATTTAATTAATTACATTTAAAAGATTACTTTTTATATAGCAATAATAATGTAGTGATAGTAGCAATTATTAATTATATTTAAATAAGTAAAATTTTATTGTTAAAATAAATATTTTTTATTAAAAATAGTTGAAAATTAATAATATTCGATCTATTAACTCTTTAAGTATCCTAAATAAATGCATTATTAATTTATAGCATGCATGAAGTATCCTAGTGTAACAAAAATTATATATTTTTATTCAACTAACACCTTGTAGTCAATATATTTATAATTTTTTTTTATTTTTCAGTAGTATTCAATTATTTTTTATGTAACAATTATTTGTGAAAATTTAAGAAGAAGAAAAAACAAATAATTTACAATTTCAAATATTTAGAATGTTTTAAATAAAATGCAATTTTTTATTACATTAGTATATAAATTATAATTTTAATATTTATTCATCACGATGGATTTTGATCTAGTTTCGTTCAAGCGATTTAAAGTTTAATCCTTAATTTTATATCTATATGTATAAGAATTACAATGCATATATAATAAGTATTATGAACTATAATTTTTTTTTAATATTATATTAATATTTATATTAAATATAAATGGTAAATAATTAAAATCATAGATTCTTTTATTTAAATTTAATTCATGTAATTAACGTATTAATTGTAGTGTATTTTTATTATTATGGCATATTTCTAATATAATCAACAGAAAGATTGAAAATGTGAATTAAATATAAAGCAAGCAAATTGAAAAGTTCATTAGTATCATTTAATATAATAGAATCATTTAAACGGTTATCAATAGCTTAAAACAATTTTTTATCCGTGTTGACGAACTTGAAAGTAAATGATGTAATGTCGTTATATAAAAATGAAACTCACTATTCGAATTTGCCCCAAATGAGGAATGGTATTCATCTGGACTTGGTGGTGGACCCTCATAATGTTCATGATGAGCTGTTATTATTAAAGACAAAGCATTAATGAAAATATATTTTTAATGTATTAACATTAGGATAGAGTAAGACCAAATTTTTTATATAGACAACTTAACATTGTAGGGGATAATTTTATTATTTAAGATTTGTTCGATAAAAAATAAGTGGAAAATATTAGTAATATTATCAAATCATATAAAAATTATGAATAACATAAAATTAAATGATATAGTTAATCAATATTATACTTCGTTATGTCATTATTTTTAATTTAAATACTTAATTTATTTTAGCTTATATCAATTTAAGAATGTTTTATATTTAATATATTTGTTCTAACACTGTATATATCTAATACTATATATATATATATATATATTAGCAGAATTTAAGAGAGCAATATTTAATACATTACTATATTTAATAATTGAAATGAATTGTTAAATATTATTAATGAGTATGAGAGGAGAAAAGTAAACATTAGTAATGATTTTAACGAAGTGAAGAGCTATATGTATTTTGTATACTGAGTTCTTTATTTAGTGTACGGTAAATGGAACTAAATTAATTATATCTTTTGGTATCTAGTCTATATGAAACTAAACAAGTTTTCTTTTCTTTTAAGTTTCTTTACAACTATAAGCTATAAGAAATTATAGCTATATAAACTATAAGAAACTAAACAAGTTTTCTTTTCTTTTAAGTTTCTTTACGCAAGTACATTATAAAGAATGAACATTGAGATTATGATATAGTAATATCTAAAAATAATATTTTTAAAAATAAATTGAAACACAGGTTCCGGTATTGCTTTTATTTTTATTAAATTAATAATTATTGAACTTAAGCGCAACTGACCGAGTCTATATATATACTTGCTTCTCCAATGAAATTTAAGCCTAAATGATTTTACTTTGTGAACTTTTTAAAAATGTTTTCTTTAAAAAATTGCAGATATTATTAAAAAGTTCTTATTGTGGAATCTAAGAAACATAAGAAAAGATATCACAGACAATCGTAAAAAGTAGTATGAAAAAAATTTATCACTTTCTCACCTATAATTTGGGGTGTCTCTAACTTGTTTCCTGTTTGCCCATATGCTGGATAATGTGGAAGAGGTTGTATAATGGCGCTACTTGCCAGACTCTTACCCAACCCCGAAATCGCTTCTCCAGCGCTACTAATTATACGGCCCTTTGTAGACACTAAAAAGCCGCCTCCTTTTATTAATTGACCCTTTAAGGCTAACACGCCACCGCCAACCGCCTTCACTGCTTGGATAAGCGTATTTAAGATAGCCCGTTTGAAGTCCCAGATATTGAAACTATCCTTACTATACTAAAAAATCAGAAAAATATAAAGTTATAAGATGCATAATAGTAATGATTAATAGTTTAATGTGACATAAATAAAAGCATATGAAATTAGAACCTCTTCTTGTTTTTCTTTATAATAATTAATATCAATAATTGTGTTTTTAAAAGTGTTATAGAGAATTTGTTTTTAAATTATTGTTTATAAAAATATAATTATAAAAGAATATCTGTAAAAAAATTTAAATTGTACTAGATATAAATATTTCCTATCATTTCAAATTTTCATAAGTTATTTTCTATTTATACTTTAACATTATATATAATTTTACTATTAATTTAGCAAGCTATGAATTTTTTATCCTTATAGTAAGCAAGTGATATCTATATAAACGAAGTTAGAGAAGCAACTAAAAAAATTGGGAAATTCTTAGTAGCGTTTCCCTCCTTAAGTGTAAACAACAATGACCTAGATATAGTAGGTCTCTTATACTTTAAAATGAACGATTATTTGCAATCATTAAAACTACCTGAAAAAAATTATACTATATTTTTTAATATTCTAGATTAATATAATATTAAAAACACGTAATTTAGATAAAATTTATAATAAAGAATAAGTCAATTTTTCAAAATAAAAAAAACCTACTTTTCCACTTAATTTACTTGATAATATCAGTAGAGAAAAAGATCAAAAAGACAATAAGGTAATACAAATATTTATATTGTGAATTTTATTTATATATTTTTATTAATGAATTAATAAATATTTTCAATTATTATTTTAATTTTACAAACGAAAGGTTATGAAGCCAAAAATTAATTTTAATAAAATACTTTTATTATTTTTTATTATATGTTATAGTATACTATAAAATATAAATATAAAATATAAATAGCTACATTTATATTATAATGCAAAATTTTAAGATATTTGAGGTTTATTTGCATTTATCATATATAAATACCATAAAATTAATTTACCTAAACTAAATCTGTGAATACTATGAAAACAGTTTCTTTAAGCGATTTAAATTTATTACTGTATAATTATTCTTAATACATGATCAGTCAAATACATATTAATATGCATCCATATTAATTGACTTGTAGTGTTTAGATATATTTTTTGTGTAATTTTTGTTTTAATTATATGTAAATTATATAATTATAATAATCTTCAAAATAATATTAAAATCACTCGCTTACATTTAACATATTGGAATGTAATTCTCCCCTATACATAAATTATTGTGTAATTAAGTAAGTTGTTATTATCTATATAATTTCTGATTCGCACAATGATTAAATTATAAAGAATTTCCCTTAGTTTATAGAAATTTTATTAATAACATATTTACTAACTGAATTATTGAATTATGTTACGTATGCTATATTGAAGATATGTAAATGAATACATACAAATTAAAGAAATAAAAGTAAAATTTTAAAACACTAGAATTAGTTTTATTATTTCGTATTTTATTTATTAAGCATTAATAAAAATGATAATATAGTTATATTAAAATTCTTTCAGAGTGTATAAAAATATGATTCACTCGTTAGAAAGAAAATTGAATTTATTGAAATTATATGTTCTTAATACATTATGATAAATTATTTTTATTATAAAATTCAAATTTAATATATTTTGCAATAAATGAAAATTAGAAAATTATATATATTATATTTTTATATAATAAACTAAATATATTTATTTACAATTAAATTGTAACCGACTATTTGAAATCTGTACTATATTTTATAGGAGAAAAAATTTGTATTTTAATCTAAATAATTAAAAAAATTAATATATATGTAATTATAATTGTATTTAAAACAAATATTAATATTCTGGGCATAAATTTCTTCTTACTTCAATTATTTTGTAAATATATTTTATAATACTGTTATTTTTTGCTAAGTCAATTGAATTAAATGTACCTATTTATATAAAAATTTAAGTAGTATAAACAGATATACATTTAAAAATCTATGATGAAATGAATTTTGATTTCTATAGAATGAGTTCAAATATATATATATATATATATGGGTGTGTGTGTGTGTGTGTATGTGTGTGTATGCGTGTGTATGCGTGTGTATGCGTGTGCATGGGTGTGCATGGGTGTGCATGGGTGTGCATGGGTGTGTGTGTGTGTGTGCGCGCGCGTATGTGTGTGTGCATTAATGCGTATGTATGTATGAAATAATAAAGGTAGCACGTAAAATGATAATGAATAAATTGAAAAAAGAATAAAAACGTTAATATACTCAGATTATTTATGAAAATGTATTATGTGACTCCACAGTATAATGTATCCATTTATTTCATTTTTATGCAAGAGTATTCATATACTTCAAAGATTCATATAAATTCATATACTTCAAAGACAACAAAGTACGTGGGCACATATATTTTATTTTTTAAATATATTTTTATTGTAAAATAAAAAATATCTTTAATTTGAGTTTGCTTAATTTTGCATTCAAATATCTTACAATCCATTTTGTTTATAAATTCTATAAAATTACAGATAAAATTTCAAAATAATGTATTATGATAATAATTATTTTATTGTAATTATTAATAATAACATTAACTATAATAATTAATAATGATATAATAACATTTTAATGAATATAATATCAATATTGCAAAATTATAAAAGACTATTGCTAATCGATTTCATGTAGATTTGTATTTTTCGATTTACTTAGCTATAAAGAATAAATTTCTGAATTTTTATATTTATTTTGCTAAGTACTATTACTAGAAATTAACAGTTTTCACAATTTCATACAATATTCACGTATAATATATCCAATTCTCATATTGGATATTTTTATGAAATAGAATTAGTTGAATTGGAATATTTATAATGGAATTATAAGTAAAGATAATAATCCGATCGAAATACACTTTTTATATACATTATATTTTTTATCTATAACAATATTAATTTTTCTCAAACATATTAAATTTCCTATCGAATTATTTGTAAAAATACATCGGTATAATTTAATATTATTATGACTAAGAATTTAATATATAGGAGACGTATTACATTCTTAAATAATATGTATAAAACTAACCGAGTGGTATACTGGTGCTCCATATACCGGCGGGGGGGACTTAAATCCACTAAAGCTAGATGACCCTTTAGATGCGGTTGATGACAACTGAACGACACCACCAACTAGTTGACCTGCTAGTTCTGATAAAAATGATTCGGAGCCACCCCCTCCTGTTCCATAGCTTCCATCGTAACCATCTCTTTTGATTCGTTCCTGGACGTACGATTGTACACGCTCGTTCTGTATCAGTTTGTCTGTGTACCTGTTCAGAGCATCTATCTGTTGAGAACTAAGCTTTATGGAATTTACGCGCCTATCATATGATTCCGAGCCATTGAAAATGCGTATAAGCTCATTAAAATCAATTGGAATTTGTAGATATTGATGAAGAGGCTTGTTAGTCCTTCTAGAAGTATCCTTGTCTAAAAAGAATAATCGAAAAGGTGCAAGTCTCTGTAGTTGGACTGCAGTCACACGAGAGAATGTGGCCTCATTTGTTAACGAGCAGCTCGTCACCCACGAAGCAACGACGAGAAACACCGCTATCTGCACCATTTAAGTTAAGTTAGTTTTTTGTCAATAGTGAAAGATGTATACTTTGTGGTCGTTAAAAGGAGAACTTGCCTTTAGAAAGAATATAAATATGCTTGTGCTACTCGATACAAGATCATGTATACTTATTTACACATCATTGAGTACGTTAAATTTTTAAAAGGTATACAAACTAGTATATAATTATACATATTTTATTTGAAAATGTAATACATAATTAATTATCATAAAATAGCATTACCATATGATTAAGGATTTAGTATTATATTATTATTATGATGTTATATGATTATTATATTATTATATTTTATTATTATATTAATAACTAATGTTTGCGAATATGTATACGCTTACTAACCATTCTTGATTGTATTAAAATTATTGTATATATAATATCTAGCAACATTATTCATTCAATTTATATTCATAAAGAAAAATTACAAAATTTTTTTACTTTTATAACTTGAACAAGTATAGAATTTTTATAAGTTCAAATTAAAATAGTTTAGAATTAAAAATTAAGTTAGACATAAAAAGTAATGTAGACTTTAATTTAAATTAGAGATCTATTATTTTTACCATATACTAAAAATTAAGTAAATAATCATTTATATATTAGTAGGTCAAAATTCTATTTAAAATATTTTCAAATATTATATTTTAAAGCATTAATTGAACTTTTTTTCTAATTTGATTAAACTAAATTACAATATGGAATTTATTAATTGTATCAAGAAATAGTATTTATATATATATAATCAGAGTTCAAATTCTTATGTTAATATCCCTTAATAATAAACCCTGTATAAAATTATAATTAAACATGAGTTGGTAATGTTAAATCATCATTTCCAATGATACTCAAGCTCTTTCGATCGATTCATATTTAGCTGATATACTGTGTAGTTTTTTTAATTGAATTAATAACACTTGAATAAAAAATAGTTATTCCATTCCAGTAGCCACAACTCGATCTGATTAAGCATATGTAATATCTTTCAGCCATCACCATCATTTGTTAAATCAACAAATAGTATTATTAAGAATAGCGGAGCTAATATTATTCATTATAATCAAATGAATATTATTTTTGTAGTTGAAATAATATCTATTATACATATCATCGCAAACTTCTAAGCATTCAAAAGTTTGAAAATAATGGTAAAACTATTAACACCTTCTGTAGATTAAAACAAATTATTCTTCCGTAAACTGAAATATACTAAAGTTTTCCCGAATCAATTACAATCAACGAGTGTCAAAATGCATCGACTCATTTAATATCGGTTAACTATCCGAATATTTTTTATCGAAAAATTTCAACGAAAAATATGCAAAAGGTATGAAAAGGTATGGTAGGTATGAAAACTGAAATAAATTAAAATAGATATAACCTTTATATAATTCTATACAGATAAAAATGGTTTAATATTGTATAGTATATATACGAGAATAATTATAATATATAAAATTGTATAATAAAAGTATATTATATCAAAAGCAATACTTTATTTTATATTTAATAATTATACATAAATATACTTTATTTGAATTTATTCATTATTTATATATTTTTAGAATAAAATCTTTTAGATTCTGTTGAAAAATTATAAAAATAAAATATTCATAGACATGTATTTTAATGCATTAATGTTGTTTTTAAATATGCACCAAATATCTTAATTCCAACAATTACAAATATAATAATCAACAACTATATTTTAAAAAATGAAGAATTTCTTTTATTTGTTTGTTTTTTACAATCTGCGAAATAAGTATGTCACAAGTAGCTTCCATATAGTAGATGGATGACGATTCTTATAGATATTGGAAAGTGGTAATAAAATTGAGTACAAACGATAATAATTTAATAAGTAAAAGATTAAAATCATAGTCAACATGATTATGGCATACTGACATAGCAGTCAATAATAAATACCGATTGGAGTATTTTATGAAAGCGACTCGAGAATCGTCAAGGCAAGTGGAACGAATAGTTCATAGCTTTACGGTGAAAGTTTATAAATCGCGTAGATGCTACGCAATTGATATATGCTCCTTGATCTCTAACGTTTCAATGTCGATTGCATTTGACGTACTTAGAAGTACAGTCACATATTAGAGCGGTTGAATGAAAAATGAAAAAGGAAAATCGAAAGGAACATTTTTTTCAAGGTAGAGTTTACGAATTGCTATAAAATTGAATTCCTCCTTACTAATCTTACCATTCTATTGTCTTCTATTCATGATTTCGACAATAAATTTCGGTAATGAGTCGTCTCGCTCCTAAGTTTTAATGGATTAAAATAATATATTTCATTTTTCTCAATTAACATAAATATTACAATTTTGTCAAATTGGTGACGTACTTTCGAATTTTTTATAATTTTCTTTTTTCCTGTTTCTATAATTATTATACGCGACCCTTATATTAAGAAAGTTATATCAAAATTTAAAAATAATATTATACTAAAATCAATTTTTTCCTTTATTATTAACTTTAATCATATTTAATATTCCAATAGTTTAATTATTATTCTGTATTTAAAGTGTTTATTTATCGTTAAAAGAAATGTACAACGTTGAAAAAATTTTTTTTGAACGAAATATTCTCCGAAAAAAAATAAATATATATATATACATATATATATATATAAACATTTGTTTATGATATACTGAAATTAGTTTATAAATAAATTAATATTATTTAATATCAATTTAATATCAAATTTAATTTCAAATTTATAATCATATATTTCAATCTGAAAAATATATATATGGGTTATTTATTATTAGCATAATTTTTTATATTTGTTTCAATAGGTATTATAAATAATAAACAATTTAAAGTTATATAATATATTAATATAAACCTTTACCTTTGAATAGCAAATTACATAACAAAAATATTCAATATATTTATCGAAATATTATAGTTTTTATTTAGTTAACAAACGGAAGAGCTTATGATAGTTAAAGAAACTATTTATATTTGAAATATTTGATATATCACATATAGAATTTATTTGAAAAGTTGTTACCTAATTATGTTTAATATACTTGCGCTTTTATATGTATTATTATATATATAGCAATTGTATTTAATTACTTTATTAATAGTATTCAAAAATAAGTAAGTAGTGAAAGTTAAAGCTTCTACAAAAATAAAAAAAATAATAAGAAAATCATTAAAAATGAAAAAGGAAAAATGAAATGAAAGAAACTTGAAAAATAGTTACAAAAACTATAATTTATTATATTAATACACTCTTCATGACAGAGATTTATTACGATTTATAAATTCCTTACAGAGAGTTGTCATGCTTCATATTATAAAAATCTATTGAATATTGTGTGTACATTAATTCAGCACCCTAGTATAATAAACTTTTATTAATGTATAACTTGAAATATGTATATATTAAATTCATCTTCATTCAATTATTAAGTATTAAGATAATCCAATATATTCGATTATATATTAGCATTCGAAATTGTAAGCGAAAAATAAATTTTGTATATTTATTTTTATTCGCTGAAATATATTCATTTTTTGTAAAAATAAAAAAGTTTCATCATGATTTAATATGACGAAATAAAAAACTATATAACTAGAAAATAATTTTAGTAACTATAAAAACACTGACCAACAACAAATTATTATTTCATGGGAATATTAAACTTATAGTATTTAATGTAAAATATAATACTAGATTCACAACAAATATTGCTTAAATATAGAAAATTCTATCAATTAAAACTACTTTGAAAAATCATACTTTAAGGTGGTTACAATTTCTTTTATGAATTATGTTATAATGCTTATATTATGTTTTACACATGTATGTCTTTATTCATTATTTCTGATTCTATAACTCCCAAATGAACATTGGTGTTTATGTTAAGAAATAATTATTGACTTTGGAATCATTTTTATATTTACAAGTATTATTTTCACACGTTTAAATTAAGTACTTATTTAAAAGAAACATATTTTTGTTCCCAAAAAAAGTTAAATTTAAATTATTTATATAAGAGGAAATTTTATTTATTTAATTTAGTATAAACCAATATTTCATTATACATATATATTTCAATTATTAATATTATAAATTTTATTTATTTAACTTAGTATAAACCAATATTTCAAATTTTAAATTAATGTGATAAAAATTAAAATAAATATTAACATTTTTTATCATTATATTAATTTATTATATTATTTTGAAAAATTCTCTAATACATTGTCATTAATAGATCATTAATACAATTATTCTTTAATTATTGTTATTTCTCTAGCAATATTATTTCAATAGATATTAAAATAAATCTTCAATTGTATAAAATTCTTTTTTATTTTAATTATTACTTATAGTATTAGTAATAATTATGTACCTTTTTTATTTACATTTGCTGATACATAAAAAAATAAATGTATATCGTAAAAAAGATGATATTCAAGAACACTTGCAATTATGAATAATCAAAGAATTATCTATGTCAAATATATTTTCTTTCACTCATACTTACTTAAGAATTGAAAATATCAGCAATTAATTGTTTTAGTATTTGATTTAGTTATTTTTCATATTTATTCTTATCATTAACTGTGAAAATGTATTTAAAAAGCTTGGATATTTCTATTGATATTAGTTGAAATTAAAAGTATTAAAGAACATACTAAAGGGAATATGAATGAGAGGAGAGAAAGATAGCCACAGAAAACATGCAAGGCAAAAAAAAAGAAAAGAAAATGAAAATATACAGAAAAGAGAAAGAGATCGGATAAAAGATTACAGGTTACATGTAACTTTCACATACAGATGCATGTGTACGATCACTGTCAGCTCATATATCCAAATTCAAGTGAATATTTATTTCTTAGCTTTAGCTAAAAAGAAAAGTATATAATAAGAAATTTGTTTAGCAAAAAACACTACAAATGACTTTTTGTATATCTACATATGAAATTTTCAATTTGTAAATCCAACATTTCCTTAATATTATGATTCCATTGCCTTTTTTTAATTTACACTGCTATAGTTATTTTATTTCTAAATTGATTTTTATTTTTAACTTACGAAATAAAATTATATATATAATGTATGTATGTATATATAATGTATTACATATAACAGAATATAATTATTAATTTTGCAAAATTTAAGTTAATTGACAAATAAAAATGAGTTTTTAATATAATAGTCGAATGAATTACTATAATTATGATAATATTTATTATTTACAATAAATTTATTATTTAAAATAATTATTTTTGTACTTAATAATGTATATAAAATAACGATATAAATATAATACCGATAGCAATAGATATTGAAATACGTCCAATTTTTTATAATAAAATAATTAATAATAATATATATGTATATATGATGTAGAAAAAATCGTTATCTTTTAAAAATAAATAAAAAACAAATTGATGTGTTGAAATTCATTTTTTATAATAATCGTTTCGAAAAACTGCTTAAGTGATTAATCCAGATTTTCCCATTGCATTCTACGAACCAGAATTCATTTTATTACTATAATACTTTTGTATCGTATTTTTTAGTATGCCGCAATAACTTTAACCTTTGAAAAGAATTTAAGTTGATAAAAAAATAATGAAAATAAAAAGTTGTTATATTTTTACATTATACCTTCATGTTAGATTTTCGCGATGAGTCGAAGCTCACGGCACTCTCACTAAACTCACTAACTAGTGCTATCGATTATTTCCAGTCTTTATACTCACTCCCACTTCTAGCTAGTCGCATGCACCATCCATATACAACATTCAATTTCGCGCCCTTCCAATCTATTCCCAATGTGAATTTGAAAGTACGTAATGATGAAAGTAAAACAAAACAATTGAATTTATATTAATGGAATATGAAAATTACTATGCTTCTTAGTAAATTGTATACAATTAACCACGCACATTTATGTCTTCATAAGTGTATTATATATTTATAATTATATTAACTAAGAATTTTTACATATGCTCTATAATATAGTTTGGATATAATTATTTATGCATTCAAAATAAGAAAATAATCCATATATAATATTATTTCATTATGTTAAATTTACAATAAAAATTTATAAATCTAATATTTGAATTTTAATATATACGTTATTTTGAAAATTACTCATTCCAAATATTGTCGAAATTTGCAAATGTATTCTGTATTTGGAAATATATTGCTAGTTTTTTGTATATTTTTATTATTTTATATATTTAATTCAATCCTATTAATTATGATTTCATAAGAAAATTTCACAAAAAAACCCATTCAATATTTGACTAAATAATCGCTTTTGATAGATTTTTCTGCGTGTATATTTAATATATTAATTTTTTTTTAAATGTTCGAAGAAAAATATTATAATTTAAAGTAACAAGCTTCGTTTTGTAGGATCTTGATATAAATAATTTTTTATTTTTTACGCCATTTTAAACATTTAATAGTGATTGTGTAGTACCTATATGACGATTCTAGCATATTGAACATCTCCGAATTACATCTTATAGATTTTATACTTTATAGTTTTTCTTATATTAGTAATATTTTATATTTATTTCCACCTTTTTAATGTTTTTTTTCTATCTACAAAAAGTGACGAAACAAAATATTATAATTTAAGTAATTATTCAAAAAGTGTATTAAATATAATAGATATAATAGCTACAAATAATTTTATAAAACTATTTTAGATATTCTTCTATAGAGTTTACTAATTATTGAATTTATATTATATTTTTAATAATTTTATATTTAATATATATTATATTTTTAAAAAATATATATTTGATATATATTATATCTAAATTATTTAAAAGTTTCTATTTCGTATAAGGAAAAATTGGAAGTTCTTTGAAAACGGTCATTATGTTACCATAGAAAGTCGTGTGTGAGAAAGCATATTATTTTTTTATGTATTTACAACTCTTCTAAGGCTCTTCCGTTTTACTTAACAAGGTATTTTAAGTGTAATTGGAAAAAGACGTACTTTGCTTCCTATCGGCTGAGATTAATCATCGGCGATTCAATTAATTGTGTTATCAGACCGTTTAATTGTTATAAACAATTGACATGCTGTTTCACTTTTTATACTATCCTTAATATAAGATAATTATTATAAATTAAAATTTTTAAATACTTAATATATTGTTTGTTTTTATGTACTATCATAAATATTACGTTATGGTTTTAAATTCTAACTGTTGTAAACAATTGAGAAATTGTTCTACTTTTCTATATATATATATATATATATAGAAATTATACATTAAGTATATATCAAAATAGAATAAAAATTTTCGATACGAATTTACACGGGTGAGCTTCATAAATCTTGTAAAATTAAAAATGTAGCGATATAAGCATATTTCAAATTGACAAATACATACATATATATATATATATATATATATATATACAGTACAATGTGTAAAATACCGAGATGCACAAAAGAATTTTTTAAAATGAAATATCATTACTGTGGATAAAAATTTATCTAATAAATAATATAAAAAGTTTAGTAGAAGAAAAGTTAAAAAAAATATTATTATATAAATATTAAAATACGCCTATTTTGTTATTAATTATATTATTATAATAAAATAAAATTTATATACTATTTAATAATGTTCATAAATATAGTTGAATTAATTGAATAATTAAATTATCTTATTAAAAAAGTATACAAAAATCCTTATCTTAGTGAGCGAAGAAAAAAAGTGTAAAAGTAAATACCATTATACATGTAATATATTATGATGATATAAGAAATAATATGATATTTATAAGATATATTGTTTTCACCAATTTTTAACAATTGCTTACAGAGGGCTGGCAATGCGGATACAATTTCAATTATCAATTTATTTCAATCAATAATTATAGTTTCGCAGAGATCCATACATTTTTAACGTAAATTAAATTTTTATGTGAATTAAAAATTAAAAAAAATATACTTTTTTTATAAGAATAGAAACAACTTTACAGTTCTGAATATATAATTTTAATAAGAAAAGTGAATATTCCTAAGCAATACTTAATGTCCGTAGCTGATTTACAAGATACGCAATGAATTTTTCTGTCTCCAAATTTATCTTTATTTATTGTCCTTTGATAGATACTACTTACTAATCGGAATTTTATTATCTCAAAATTTATCGTTATTAATTATCTTCTTCATTATGCTGAACATCAGTGATGTTTTATGATTTAAAGATATCTAACTTTACAGCATCGCAATAATTCTAGGCATTGATCAATTATTTCATATCAAAATCCAATATAATTTTTCTGTCAACATTACCATATTTTTACTCTACTTTTTAAAATGTCAATTAGTATACGCATTGTATATACATATAATACTTTCTTCCATTAATGAATGCTATTTTAATTTACTAAATAAAAAAATCTTACTTAATTATTAAACAAGCCGGTAGAGGTTATACATGCACCCCTTCTCTAAACGAAAAACATATACATCTTATTCTGGAGTCCAAATTTTAGTGCTGTTTATCTGAACGAGTTTAATTCCACTATTTAAGAGCAAGAGTATGTCATTAATAAAAAAGCCCTTTGTATAACTCAAAAGCTTCTATTACAGAGATCATAAATCATTCACTTATTCTCTCATTTACCTTGAAAGCTTTGCATTAGTAGTCAGAATTTTAATTCATTCAATAAATTAGAAGAATTTATTCGTTTTTCGTTCAAAGATTAAAGTTAATTATTATTTTAAATTTACTATAAATTTGAATATAAATTGATAAATTATTTATTTTTGAAAAATTTTTTGTCATGAGAAAATCATTTAACAACTTGAAGTAAATGTGATTTTCTTTATGTAAATTGTTAATCCTCTTTTATTATCTTCACCCACAATGATTGCTGAATTTCATTCGCGTACATTTTTAATTAAATATAATTTTATACTTAGACTCAATATATACACTACGAATAAATTTTATATTATTCCTTTCATACAAACAAGTTGGTAACAAACCTATTGTAACGTACTCTAACTTATTCAATTTTCATGGTTTCACCGTATTATCTTATAATTTTTAAAATATAATACATGAGTGGTACAAAATACTATTATCATTAGTTGAATACATTAATTTATACATTTTATATTTTCACAATTTTTTTCATTGTCTAAAGTTCTTTAAAAAAAATTAATACTATTATTTTTATAAATATGTTTATTTTATCTTGATGACAAACAAATCCATTGTCACGATTAAAAATATTTAGCCTTTTTTAATTAAATTATTATTATCATTAAATTTATAATTTATTTATATGTAAATTATAAATATAATTTACAATAATCTTCAAATATATTTTTTTTTTGTACAAGAAAAATCTGGCATAATATACATATTAGTGGGTAAGCGCACGTAATGGCAATATTTTAAAAAGGTCTTGATAGCAATTTCTATTTACATGTACCATTAAAAAAGCACATTATTTTTTTGTTTCAGTATCTGAATTATTATATTTTCGTTTAAATATTTTTTATTATAAAATAATAAAATAAGTAAAAAAAAAACAAAAATATAATTGCACAAGGATATTTATTATAGAATTAAATGTTTTATTCGTTTATATATATATATATATATATATATATATATTAAAAACAGAGATTTTCACCATGGCAGGCTTTCTTATAATAAAAATTATAGGGCTAATAATATTACGATTCATTACGATGATGTCAACTTAAATGTTCTTAAATGATAACTATCAAATTTACACATGATTCTTGTTTCATTTTAGAAAATTTCTCTTTTCATAAAACAGAAAAAGCTTGTAAAACTTTATAATAATATTTAATGTAAGATTATATTTTTATTTGAGAATATACAAATAGAAAAAATGATTTTTTATTTATTTAATGCTGACTAAGTAAATGAAATACTGACTAAACATAATTCATATTAACTTTAATTAGCATCGCCATTATTCTTTATCTACATAAAAAGTATATTAATATTTTATATATTAAGTTATGTCATGCTTGATATATAGAGATATGTAATATTAATTCTGATATTTCGTTTTTGAAGCGGTGATTCTAGTATAAAAATTCTTGTTTTAGGTTCATGAAGTGGCAACTATGTTGAAGTTATTACGAATTTGTTATTATTGTAATCTAATTTCAATAAATAATTATCGTTATTCATTTATGTTTAAATATAAATAAAAAATATTTGTTAATTTATATAAATTGATAGAGAATGATTTATAAACTTGAAAATAGTTATAAATATATATTTAAATTAATTAAAATTTAATTTTAATTAGGATGTGATAATATAGAATAATATAAGTATTGCGAAGAAAATATTAAGGTACAGCATTACATATATTATTTGAAATTACAAAATATATGGAATTTTTATAGCAAAATATTTAACATTGTACATTATACGTAAAATGTGTATGATGATTAATATAATAACATAATTATAAATGATATGATTCAAATTATGTATAAATATAGGAGTAACAATTTTCAATAGTCAACTATATTATATATATATTTTATAGAATTTTATAAAAATTTTTAGTAATTTTTATGAAATATTATTTTTCCTAAGAATTTAATTTTTATCCGAATTATTGATTTTTTAACTTTTATATTTAATAAAATCTTTATATAGACCATAAAATTGATTACTTAAAATGATTTTTTAATAAATGTATCTTGATGCAAAACTTAATCGAAAATTTAAAACGACTATTAAATTTTTATATTTATGTTGAGGTTAATAAATTATGGAATTCAAAATTACTTCGCAGAAGTATTAACAAAATGATATTGTAAATATATAAACAATTAAATTTTTGTTTGACGTTGCATAAACTTTATTTATATAAAATGTTTTGTTTTTAATTATATAGCTATTGATAATTGTTATACATTTTTATTTTTAAAAAACTATTTTATTTTTCTTAATTAACCATATTCAAATACTTTATAATAACAATATAATAAAAATTTGTTATAGTAAATATAGATTTCATCACTTTTATATGTATGATAAGATGAGAAAAGAAAGTCTTGTATGAAAATGTTTATTATAGGATCAAATTCTTATAGAATAGTTTAAATAAAAATATTATTATATTATTATAAGTATAATATAAAATAAGTTATCATAAGCATACATACATTAAAATTAATATAAATTCAAATAAAATAATAGAAATAAATAAATTTTTGTATACTAAATAATTTTTAATATAATTTATTTCTTATATCGTTGTATTTTAATGGCTGTGCTATCATTTGCCATCATTATGTATTAATATATTACTTAAATTATCATTGATGAATAATGCTTTATTAGCATTTATAATAATAAAAAAAAGTTTTGTATTTAAAAATGTGCTCGTATAATATTACTTAATGTAGAAAAATATTGCAAACCTATTATTTGAATTTATTGTACTTAAAAGTACATTTACTACATCATGTAATAATATAGCAAACTTGTCTATATGTCAATGCTTATAAATATTCACGATAAATGAAAATATACTTTTAAGATAAATAATTAAACATAAAATAAAAAACGATGTACCGCATTTTGTAGCATCGTAGAGAATATAGTGTGTGAGAATGTCAATCGTGTGAAGCCTTTTCGTCGTGTGACTACTTAAGTAATCCCCACCATTGTTGAGTTGGAAACTACGAGCTCTTTACTTGCTTCTTGCCGGTATTCATTTGTATATTTAAGTAGCTATATGCGCACCGGCTTCCAGACGCTTCAAGTGTTTATTATTATTTGATGGTATATTGAAAATTTTGTTAACATAAATATATACAAGTTATAAGAATGCGCTTGCGAATTAAGGGCAAGCTACACGTATAAAAGCTCGGCTGTTTCTCAACGATTTATTTTCGATTGTAACGTGAGCGACTGCCATCTTATTTTTCGTACGTATTATTACCTATTTGATGTGAGTATATATTATTCCACTGAAGACTATATCTATCTTAGTAATATATTAGCGAATATGTTCGCGAAAAAAAAGATTTTTAAGTGAACAACGAAACAGTACATAAGCTGCTACATGTCAAAAACGTATTGCTGCTTATACAAATGTGGTCAAAATTTTTGTGTAAAATGCCAAGGGATTTGGATCTGCTTTTCACTATTTTTATCTTAATTTTGGTAATTCCATTTTTATTTTTTAAAACAATTAATAGCTTTAATTATTCCTTTAGTTTTACTTATACTATAGTTTCAGCATTTGATCAATGGCGTGTTTTCCATTTACCATCAGTGATGAGTCTGCTGTTTTGCTATTCTTATAATTATCTAATAATTATTCACAATGGAATAGAACTATATATTTTTATTTAACCGAGCTTTGTATATTCCAATTTAAAAAACTTGAATATTTTAGATTGTATAAAATTTTAGATAAAATAGTTTATAATTAAAGATTTTTATTTTGTAGCAAAGTTTTTTTTTTAATTCATCGGATAAATTTATCTTATCAGTTAAGTCATACGAAATAAATATGTTTGATTTAGCGTAACCATTGTAAGAATAAATGAATTAAACACAGCAAAAGATTAATTTTAATATTTATTATATTTTTATAATAATATATATTTAATATATTTGTATTGAAATTTTAGTTTTATATTATTAGAGTATAATAAATTCTAAAATTCTCATAAATTTGTTTTTAATAAGTTTAAACGTTTAAAAAATTATAATCCAATTATTCAAATAAGATAATAATTTTATTTAGTTATTAGTACGAAATTTTTATTTATTTATAATTTATGAAATGAAACAAATAACTCCACGCTACAATATTTAAAAATCGCATATTATAAATGTATTTGAATTTTTGAATTCTCTAATATATTATCATCGAAAAATAGACACACAGTACTTTTCACATTCAGAATAATAATAACATTGACATTTGAAGTTATTTATATTTAAATGGAAATGAAATAAAAAATAATTTTCGTTATTTAACTTAAGTTTTTAGAAATTTGTATGTTAATATATGAAGGAGTGCAAGGCTAATAAAAAAATTATAATTCTAACACTATTAATTAGTATTATATTACGTTGTCACAATGGATTATATATATCTTAAAAGTGTTATTGTATCTATACAAAATGCTATGATAAATAAAATAAAAAGGACTGCCTTTGCAAGTGGTAACGTTCTACCTTTACATCATTATAAAGTTATTACGACACTAGCAACAGTTGACAATTCTACAATGCTGTAAATTTAAAAGTACACATAAAAATTATCCGAAAGATATAATTTATCGTTAAAATTGTTTATGCCTTTATTCATGATTTTAGTCACAGTTTAAAGTATTATTTAAATCTATCATTTCATTTATTAAGTTTTAAATTTACATATATGTTTATGTAAATTTTAAAACATAAACTGTATTTGTTCAATTAAACTACTATGTAACTACTGTTTATTAATTAAATACAATGATATTGCTATTATGATATTGATTTTGAAATTTACATAGTTAAATTGTTAAGATACACAGCTTATTTAAGTGGAATAAAAATTAATATCAAAGTATACGATTTAATTAAAGATAATATGCCAAAGAATTAAATTTGTGAAAAATAATTTACTTTTAAAAATTATCATGTCAAATTAATTAGAAACAATTACATCGTTTTTAAAACCAATTAAATAATTTAATTGATTTTAACTCGTATGAGAATATTTTAAATGTATTTATAATTAAACCAGTATATCGCTTGTTAATATTTGTTATCAAAGTTTAACTGAAATATTATAAGATTCTATAAAAAATATTAATTAATCAAGAAAATTAAATAAATAATATGCAATTAATGACATAATTTATAAATAAAATTGTAAATAAATGTTATAGAATACATGAAATGATTAATAAGTGTAATTGAATTAATGAAACGATTAATAACTGTAATTGAATAAATATAATGATTAATAAATAAAATTGAAAAAATAAAATTATTAATAAATATAATAGACTAAATGAAAAAATTAATAAATATAATATATTTAGTAATATAACCGATAAGTTTAATGATTAATAAATTAAAATTGAGTGCCTTTCATAAAAATATAATATACCAAAATTACTTTTTATAAAAAAATTCTTTTTATCTTATACATTATATTTCATTTTTTAAATCAATGTCACAATAATTTCTTTTGAATTTAAATTTAATATTTTTATTAATAAAATTTTAATTGTGATTAAACTTATGAAACTAACTAAAACTTATAACTACTTTACTTAAAACCAATTTCAGTATAAGTATATAAGATTTCATCAATATCATTTACACATTAACGTAGATAAATTGATTATGATTATGTTAAAAAATTAATAACTATTTTTTAAATATAATATAATGTTATTTTTACAATAACAATTTTTTAAAAGTATAATTTTATAATATAAACCAATTGAGATATTACTTTAGAATGTAAGTCGATGTTACTACAGATTCTAATTTTAAAATTCATTATTAATAATTGAAAATTTATAAATGTATATAAAACCTTTTTTTCTATTCAATAATAATATTACAAAATTCCAGAAAATTTATGAACTAAAAAAAACTACATTTTAGTTAGTATATTAACGATTAATAATACTATAATATTAACTATATATAATATCTGTTAAGTTGTATATATTTTTTACTGAGAGAAAGACCATTGATTTATAAAAATCATCATTATACTATTTGCAACGATTTATATAATAAATATTATACAAAATCTAAAAATATATATTTTTAGTTAAATATAAATTACGTTTGATACTCATAGTAAGATAATAATTTTAAGAATATATTAAGAAATTATTTTTACTCAAATATTAGGGCCATTATAACTATTTTAAATAAGTTATTTTTTAGAACGAAAAATCATAAATGACTTCAATACACATGTATATTTATTTAAACTACTATCACAATAAAAATAATTTCAACTTCATCAACGATATTATTTTAATATGATTACTATTTGATCTAATAGATTTATTAACATCTATTTTAGAATTAAAATATTTCTCTATTTTTTATCATTCATAATTAAAATACATTTTTGTGATAAATATTTACAAATTTCTTCATATTTAATAATATATAAGATTAAATATTTTCCATATAATATATTAAATTATAATATAGTATAGTGAAAAATATAAGAAATAAGAAATGTTAAAAAATATTACTCTGTAACTAGTTAACTTACTATAATCTTCCTCAATGCATATGCTAATTTAAGTTAATCTTTTTCTATTTTCAACAATTAAATATTTATATAAAGATATTATTATCTTATTACAACATTATTTTTATTAATAACAAAACAAATTTATATTCATTTTATTATCGTTACTTTACTGAAGTATTATTAATAACATATTACATCATACATTATCAGATAGAGGGCACTATCAAGTTAAATTTTGATATAATTTTGATAGCGAAGAAAAAGTTTTTTTCATTTTTAGTACGTAATGATCATTGATTTTAATAAATAATTGAATTTCTTTAAAAAGTTTTATGCCGATTTTAATGAAAATAGATTTCATTTTAATTATAAAATTAAGATTTAGAAATTACTGCATATTTAAATAAATTAGATGTACAAAAGTTTCAGTAGGTGATTATCATAAATATATATGTACGTATATCAATACCTTATATATTATTTGAAACAACTGTTTTTAATCGTATAAAAATCTACATGATATATTTCATACATGTGATTATTTTATAATTAAGTACTTTCCGCAAAAGTAAATTTGCAAGTTACTACCGACATAAATGAATTGAGTGTGCGGTAAAATTTTTGTTTGCGTCATTTAATGAATTGAAAACTGATTACACAATAAATACAATGCAAAAACTTCAATTTTTAAAATAATATTAATTTAAATTATTTAAAACATGTAATTATAAATTATATTCAATGTTTAATTCATTATAAGCGAAAATGAAATGAAGAGTTTACTATAATAAAAATGTATGGTTTTTCATAATTAGATATTTTAAACAAATATTATATGATAATAAAAAATAAAATTTAGTAATTTTAGTTATTGGTCATTTCAAGTTCATTTTAAGTTTCAAGTTAATAATAAATTTATACATCAGATTTGATAATATACAAAACAAAACAAGGTTTACATTATATTGAAATTTAGCAATTATTTAAGCTTATTTAAGCTGATTTAGAAATATAATTATAATGTGATTATCGCATAAAGATATTTATACTTCTGTATATATTTTACTTGCACCTTAAATTTGTTTATTATTTAATAATTAAAATAATATATAAAAGAATACTTTCGATCATCTATTTTAAAAAATAAATTCTAAAATCGCAATCGCATCTAAAACGCAAATGAATTATACTTAAAGTTGAGAAATCAAATTTATTATATTATCTAAAAAAAAAATGGAAAACTATATATTTAAAATTATTTAAAATATTGCTTTATTACGATATTGTTAATAAAAACAGTTAAGTCATAATTTTAAAGTATATTATAATGAAACTGACTTAGTTAAATATTAGCGATATTTTTCTAAAATCAAATATGAGCAATATTTACAAAATATTAAAAACATTATTTATTGATTAGATTATTATGAGATATTGATATAGGATATTATATTAAAATTAAATTAAGAAAAATTCATTATTATCTTCTTCTTTTTCATTATAAATGAAATTTTAATGTTCAAAAAATTTATAAAAGCGTTTTATTTTAATTCTTGAAGTTCTTAGTTAAAAACTGTTTTAGTTGACTATAATATATTTATATTTGATGCTTACATAATTTAAAATATACACATGTAATAACTTTTATGTACCCATATATACATCCTTTTTATAATCAAATTGCAGAATTTTTTTAATTATTGCAGGTTACTAATACTACCATGGGGTACTCTCGTAGGTGGTTTGATACACATATGATGACTAATATTTCGCATGCAGCAGTGCCTCAAAGAATAGATATGTCGGAGTCTATCTCCATTCGTCGTAAAATCTTATCTAAAGGAAATTATGGTAAAAATTTATGGATCATTAAATTTTTAATTAAACTTAAGTAAATTAATAATATTTTTTTAATTAAATTGTTTAGTATTCTCAATTATTATAAATATTAATAATCATTCATTTTTACAGAAATTTCTATGTTTAATAACTATAATTTTAGCCATTCATAAGTGTATATGATTTTTCAAGTTCTAATCATTTATATAATCTAATAATAGTATTATTTTCTAATTTAAACATAAGATCAAAATAAGTTTTTTATTTATTTTAAAAGCATATGGCTAAAGCATTATTTATTAAAATGTAATTGGCCCGTAATTATATTTTAATACACAATATTTATTAGATTACAAAAATTTCATAAAATTATAATATTACATAAATATGAGTTCAAATATATTTAATTATTAATACATATTTGTATATGATAAAGATATTACTAACAGAAAGGATGGCAAAATAATTTTTCCATCAGATGACACGGATAATCAACCGCAGAGATACGTACCAGAACCATCCCCCATCTGCGAAAACTCTACATTTTGTGAAAATATTTTAAATTATCCAAACGATTTAGTGGAAACAGCTTTAAGAATGAATAAAAATTTGAAATTCCTTCCGGGAGTAGATTTAGTACGTAAATTTTTTTTTATATATTAATTTTTTTGTATGATTAGGTAAAGATTATATTATTTAAAGATTATAAAAGTTTATAATTTCACTATAATATTAACTTTAATAATTAATATTAAAAATGGTATTTTAATAATACAATATGTAACTTTTTCAAAATGTCTAAAGCTAAAATATTGTCATTGAATTTTTGTATAGGTACCTGATGTAGTACATCGAGTTAATGTACCACCAGAAGATTATCCATTATGCGATTCTAAAGTAAGCTCCGTTTATTAAGAACGACTATTTCATTTATTTTATTGTAATGTTAATATATTATAATGTTAAATAATAGTATATTATCAATATAATTCATTATGATTCTTTAAATGAACATCAAGAAGTGTTTTTCCTCATTTCTACATTCATAAAATTTTTATATATTTGAATAGAATATATGTGAGAAATAAAGACAATGTAATCTTCACAAATATTGAATAAATGTATATATTACTTGATGTATATGTATATTTGATTTTAAAAAATAACGAAAATGGAAGAATAGGGAATAATTTTAAAGTGTTTGGTGATTAATGAAATCATGATAATTAAAAAATCATTATCAACAACGATATTATTAAATAATAGTAATAAAAGGTTTTAATTTTAATTTAATTATTTATTAAATATTTATCTATGACAGAAATATAAAAAAAAACTATTTTAATTTGTGTAATAATTAAAATGATCAAGAATTTCGAATTCAACCAAATTCGAAATCTTATTTATAAATTCAAATAAATAGAAATTTCTTAATACCTCATTTATTTATATGTATCAAGGGAATATTATTTATCAACTTTTTATAAAAAAATTATATATTACAGGAAATGGTTATTTATCCAAAGGCCGCTAAGAATCAAGATAAAGAATGGATTTTTGTTATTAATCAAGGCGATTTCATTCAAAGCGTTCGAGTGGAAACATGTGTGTATGTAATTTAAATTCTATTTTTTATAAAAGAATAAATCATATTAATTTCTTAATAAATTTTCATTTATGTTTATCTTTCATATAATATAGCACATCCCAAATTTACATGTAATGTTCATTAGAAAAACTGTATGATCAATTGCCAGACTCGTTTTTATCAACAATTATGAGTTATAAATAATTTATATTTTTTGGAAAGATTATTAAAAGATAATATGAAAGTCTTAATTTCTTTAACACCCTACTTTTATATCTTCCGTAATATTAAATTAATAATAATAATATAATTAACTTAAGAAATTTTAATATAATTTTACTTGAAATTGATTATTATGTTTATTGTTTTAGAAAAGAAAATAGTGTATGTAATTTAGTCGATGACTTTGCGGAGGGTTATAAAACTACGTGCAAGCAGAAATATATTTATAGACAGTTGATGGCTATATCCTCGACCGGTCAGATCAAGCCAGAAGTATTTAAATTTCCTGTAAGCTGCTGTTGTCACGTTAAATTTACAGGAAACCCTCTTATTCGGATGGGTTTAGGTGTCAATAAGAAAAAGGAATTTTCAGCCTTAAATTCACGAAAGAAATAAAAATATCTTCAATTTTTCTAAATTTCCACTTGCTATAATTATTTTATAATATTTATATTATAATAAAATTGTTTTTAAAAAAGAATCTAACATTCTTTTAATACATATATTTCTAGGCGTATAAACAATATATAACCGACAAGTGGTATTTTAGTTTACGATTTAATAATATAATAAATTTAGTGTACTTCAATATCAATTTATATCAAATATAAAAATTGGCGAAATAAAATCAAATGAAGAAGATTTGTCAATAATATTATTTATTAAAATCTCTGTATAAATAGCACTAATAATTAAATATAATTATTATATAACTGTCATATTTTATTAATTAAAAATCAATTATTTCTTACATTATTAAGTTAAATATTCCTTATGTTAATGGATATATATTAATATATATTAACTATTTATATGTGTGTGTATGTAATTTTATATTTACTTTGACTTGAAAATGTAAAAACAATTTTAAACCATATTATTTAAAAAAAATTATATTTATATTTTTTTATATTTCTTTTAAAATTATATATTTAAAACATATTATGTATAATAAAATGAAATATAGAGTTTAATAATCATAATTCAACAACTTTTATGGCAATCTTTGGAATATCATAGAGGTACATACAATATCCAGACTTTACACTCGTTATTTTACATTCAATAGGAATATTTTTTATGTAAGTATCTTTTTTTTAATTTTATTGTATTTCAATTAAATAATTAATTTAACATAAGCATATTAACATAAGCAAATATAAAAAAAAAAAAAAGAATATTGAGCAATAATATTAAAATCGTAATTCTAGCAATTATATGATTCATTATACATAGTTATGAATTTATAAAAGTACGTAAAATAGTAACAGTAATTTTAAACTTCAAATTTTCTACAATATTATTAAGATTATGAAAACATGTTTTCTTATAAACTACTTTCTATTCACTTTTATTTTGGTTTTATAAAAATAATGTAATATAAAAAACGCGATAATTTTTCTTAATTAGAATTATTTTCGTAATTGTGTAAAAAATTAAAAAATTAATTTGAATACAAAATTATTAACATAAATACAAAAATGTTAAAAGACATAAATTTTAAGAATAAAACTTTTTTCATTTTTCTAATCGAATGTTAAATTTCATAAAGTTCATACACTTTTTTTCCTTATTAAAAATACGAATTTTCATTTGATAAATATAAGAGAACCACCTATAAACTAGAATTCATTATATGCTCTGCATTGACAAAACAAAATCTTTTGAACTAATTATTGTTAATAATTGTAAAATCACTAATATTTTAATGATCAGTCTTTGATTCCTTAGATACAAGCACTATTTCTTTGACTTATTTTTTTTAATGTTTGTTAATTTATTTAATATTTTACTGTAAATATTTACCTAATTAGAAGACGAGACATAAAGACAAGTGGTTTAATTAATAATAAAAATATATAATTAACAAAATTTAATTATATTTTTAATAATTGAATAAAAATTTAATAATTGTTTTTTTACGTAGTCTTGAAAATAAAGACAACATAAATCTAATCTTTTATTATTTCGTATATCCAATTTTTAAGATAACGAATTTTTATCAAAATTTAGTTAGCCTATAGCCATGTAGATTATATAACATTGATTTTTTTTATTTTTATACTTATGTAACTTTTTCGAATATTTGAATACTTGTTTTAGCTTATATTATATATAAATCAATATCAATATAAATTTATTCCTTTTATTGTATGTAATTCTTAAAAGTCACAGAATCTAATAATTTTTTCTATATTATTAAAAACAAATTAGTATAATGGAATTTTATAAAATTCAATTTATATTTATATATATACCATATACCATATAACAAAAATTACATGCTCAATAAATTGTTCTTTATTGTATTGTATCTACTCGTAGTTATGCAACTAATAAATTCCACTGGTATTTATTAAACGTTTCTATAAATAACACTTTGCAATCGTTAATAAAAATTTCCGGATCGTTGAATAGTAGGTCTAGTAATTTAAATGACAGTAAAATTCAAGCTACTAATTGTAGCGATTAGTATCGTTACTTTTTTCTAAGAATGCTCAGTGAAAAACAGTAGACATGTAGCCAAAAGCTTGTTTGTTGTTCACTTTTTTACTAGGGGAAATGGCGCTATCATTTTGATTGTCGTTCAAAATACTATTAATTCTTTTGAAATCGCTGACACGTATGCTTATATCATCTTTGAGCATTATCTAATACTAAAAAAAGATGCAATACTCTATTGAATTATTAAAATATAAAATATTAATTATATTATTACTCAACTTAAGTAATTTGCTATTTCGTATTGACTATTAATATTTCTGAGATGTGGTTTTTGATGGAAGCAATGCTCGTGTTAATGTTCTAATCATATTGAATCAATACTAATATTATAGGCCTTACGCACGTGTGTGTTTATTAAAGTGACTGTAGCTCACTTACAATTTACGTAAAAAACTTATTCATCACTTCATTTTTCGATGGACCTGTGTATTTTTTTTTCACAGATGATTACTTTCATAAAATAGTTGGTATTTTTCGATAACTTACTTACTAGAAAGATTTTAAAAATTAAACGCAGTTATTATTAACTGTTAAGAAGATTATATCGCTCTAATTAACTGCAAGAATTTGAAAAAATAAGCTTGTATTTATTCACTGACCTTGAGAACATTGAAAAAAAGTACAAACGCTGTTATACTAAAATACCCTAACTAAGTAAGAAGTCTCGAAAAATAAATTTCTCTGTCATCTTTGTTGCGAATCAAGCCAATTTACTCTTCTCTCTTTTAACTCTTTTATCTTGTTTTTTTTTTGTTCTATAGCTATTGACGCAATAATTGTATAAGTTTCGAAGTAGATATCTAGTATCATAGTATATGTATCAGGACGGAAGGTATGATGAAAAATAAGCATCAGATAAACTGTATACAAAATCTTTAGTATGATGAAGTTCCTGATGAGACGTAAAAGAAAGAAAATATGGAAAATTAACATGTTTTATTTAATTTAAGAAATTATATAGTATAAATAAATAAATATATATATATATATATATATACTGATTGCAACAGATAATAAAAAGCATAATACAATTTCACGCTTAAAAATGAGCGACATTACAAGTGTGTGGTTTATATTGAACTGTATCAATAAAGCAGAAATAAGGAAATAAATGAAAAAAAGTCGAGCCATAAATAATTTTCATACCATAAATAATTGAATGTTTTAGTATGTATACATTTTAATTGTTTTTAATCTGTGAGATACATGAGATACAATGTTTGTCTTTTACTTTTGAGTTATGCATTAATATAAATAAATCAATGTAAAATTATAATATAAAATATTGTATCTCTTGTTCGTTGTTGGTAATGTACCTTCTCAGTCTATGCTCGTTTCCAATCATTTGTATACCTGCTCCAGTTATATTTTCACGACCTGCACTGTATTAAAAAAATAATAAGTAAAATTTAAAGATACTAAATATATTCTAGCTTTGCAGCAGGCCTTAAACGGTTTTTTTTAATTGATAATTGAAAATTTCAGTACAATATATTAATACGTTAAATGTTAACATAATTTAAAAAGATATATATTTTTAAGTGAATATATTATAAGAAAATTCTTTATAAAAACTTTGTATGTATTGTTTAAAATTTTAATATTTTCATTTAAATTGAAACTCATAAATATTTTTTAAATGCTACATATGACAATTAAGAAGTACAATAAAATTTAATATAAAAAATAATATAAAAAATAGACTACGAAAAATTTTCACGAGAGTACCTTATTCTTTTATCTATTATATACCATATAATAGATTTTTATATTTATTTTGTAGTTGTTATTTCATAATCGCCAAAATTATTCCACGTATGATCCCAGTTTCCAGGATTACCTCTTTGGTCCCATTGTAAATTTCCTGGTTTTACAGTAGATGAATTTAGTTTAGAAAGTTCTTCTTCGAGCTGTTTAACTATTGTGGGAAATCTTTTAACAAATATAGAAAAAACTTATTCGTTATTAATATTTACTATGGTTCTTATTCATTTTATTAATAAGAATTAATAAGAAACAATAGTTTCATAATTTACATTGTAATTGATATTTACTATAATACGTTATATTTACCTTTATGAAAAATATAAAATTAATTTCATTAATTATAAATACATTCAAAAATAATACAAGTACATTTTAAATGTATAAAATTTTATTAACAAATTAAATTAAATTAAACAATAAACAGAACTGTAGAAAAAATAAATATTGAAAATAAAAATTATTAAATTAAAAAAAAATTAAATAAAAATATTAAAGATTTTCACATAACAAGTGATGAATTTATTAAAAGAAAAATCTAGTTTAATATATTTCAAAAACTATATATTTTTTTAATTTCATTAGTAATCTGTTTATTTATATAAATAAAATATATACAATTTTGACATTTTTAATTATGTTAGCATGTACATCGAAAGATTAAAAATGTTTATATTCAATTTAAATATTTCATAAATTTACTGAAATTAATTCATTGATACATATTCAATAAAAGTAACGTTTTAAAAATAATTGATTTAACTATTTGTTCAAAGCTAATGTTTTATGAATTTTCTTGGGTATTTCAGAATACCTACATTTATAGTTATATTTATAAGATATTCAACAAGAGTAATTACATAATTAAAAAGTTATATAAGTGTTAAAAAATTAACTATTATTTTATGGTAAAATTATATACTTATAATATAGATAATATTTAATATATTTTTAATACTGAATAATATTACATAGTATAAAAATTTAAATTGTCTAGTGACCTGTGAATTAATGATTGTTATAAATATAATTATTAAAAATAATATTCAATAAATATAATAGCTAATTAATTAAGTATAATTAAGAATAATATGAAATAGAATAAAATTTGTAAGTTAGATGTTTCTAAAATTTAAATATTTCTAAATATTCTAAAATTGAAGATTTGAAAAATATGACGTAAAGAGTTCATTATATTTTAAACAACATACAGCAAGAAAATAATTTATAAAAAAAATGAATAAATGATAAAATCATTTTTATATTATAAAATATTACTATTTTTTAAGTATTTCGAAAGCAAAGCGATACCAAAAAATTACTTTTACATTACATTAATTGGTAAAATTATTGTATTATGAAAATATGACATTATACATTTATTAAATTTATCATACTATTGTTTATATATTATCTTATTTTTTAATTGATTGTTTGAAAATTTCGAATTATAATTGTAAATCACGATCTACAATTTCAATACATTAACTAACTGCAATTTGTTTATTTATACATTAAAAATACCAGAAATAAATTAATATATAACTAATTAGTAAAAATATTTAATTTAGATTAAATTTTTATTAAATAAATTAATATTAATTTTTAGAACCAATATTTCATTAACTATAAAGTAAAATATGATGCTTTCATAAATAAATTATAACTACTTCATATAATAAATATTCTGGTAATAAATCAGTAACTTGATTAATAGTTTTATCAATAGTGTTATTTTAGATAAATATATATTTTATCTACGAGAATTACTTACTAAGTATCGTTTATATAAAATATATATTTTAGAATTTTTATAAAATTATATAATTTTACAAGTTCATCAATAAATTATGCTTCATATATTATAGACCTTAATACTTTCCAAGTATCAGTTATATTGAAGTAAAACTCAAAAAGTCACTTATAATTTGTAGTTTTTTTGAGAAGCCACTAAAGAAATCTAAATTTATATCATAATGATATCATATTTAAATGTCATTTCAAATTACGAAACTGTCATAAGTATTATTCTCAAATATATTATTCAAATCATTTATTAAGTTGATAAGGAATTCATATTTTTATTTAAATTATATAATAGTATTCATAATATTTGTAGTAATTTTTTAAAAGTAATAATCAACTATAAAGAAATATAAAGAAATAATCAATTAAACATCTCTTGGAAAATGAAATATTAAATCTATTCAATATTTAATAAAGAAAATATAAGCAAACCAAAAAGAGGCCGTGAGAATTAGAAAGCAAAAAATGAAAATAAACACTGTTATTCAAAAACCAGAAATAAGAATTTTCTGACATTTATATGTCTAATGTATCATAGTAAAATCTGGACCCATTATGATACTTACTTGCTGGCCAAGTTTTGCTTCTCGCATGGATCTTGACGAATATTAATAAGACACGATGAATTCATTGGATTGCATGGGCTTTTACTAACCATTTCCAAATCACAGTTTATTGTGGCCATACTTCGTAATACTAAAATTTTTTTTGAATTTAGTTTCAGCCCAAGCTTATTTAAAGCCTTGGCTACCGGACATGTATTAATGATGCTGTTTAGATCATAATCATAATCACGACCGGATGGTCCATACCATTGATCCCATTTTCCATTATACGAACTTCCTGTTAGCAAAATAAAACATCATTCAGATAGATGAAAATACTATAAGTTTTTTATACATTTCCATCCTTTATGAACAATTTTTTTCTATTTATTAACAATAAAGATTATAAAAAAATTTGTTTTTCATTTTGCATAGTCAGTTATAACTGATAATATATTAAAATCTAATTGATAATAAAATTTACTTGATTACAATAAAACGTGAATCAAAAGCAATTCTTAAATTATAACTTAAGTATATTAAAAAATTATACTATATTTTCATCAAACATGATTATATAATATATATATCATTTATACATTATTATACAAGAAAGAATTAAAAATAATAGCAGATTTTACTAAATTTTTATAATTATGCTCAAATGAAAAGATTTGCGTTTTAATAAGTTTGATAATAAATTAATAATTCATATTTATACATAATAATTTATCAGATATATAATTTTAATTTATATTTAATATTTAATTAGATATTTAATATGTAATTTAATTTAATAACAATTTAATTTTAATCATAAATATTAAATATAATAAAATTAATTTAAAAATTTTAGATAAAAATTTTAGTTATATTTTCATAATAAAGAAAAATAAATTTGTTTTATTTGTTATTCATTATTTATAATAATATTATAAATTTTTTGAAGGAAAGTAAATGTAAAAAGGCTTTTATCACTTTTATAAATGTTTTCATAAATATATTTTGAAAATCGGCATAATTTAAAATTAGAATACAAATTTTTTTAAATTTGAATAATAACGATATTTTACATGTAACTATGTTCCGATTATGAGCGTTACCAATACATACATAAAATTATATATGGAAATACGGACATAGAAGATTACACATGATCAAATGAAAAAGAAGAGTACAAAGTTTGGATAATTAAAGACGATGATTTTGATCAAGAAAATATTCAACTAGGAAATTTCACGTTAAAACATGAATATCATACATAATAGTTACTATTATGAAGACAAAAAAATTTACTTATTAATAATTTTAAAATGTAGTGATATTTATTTTTATTTTCATATAATTAAGCATGTTTCTATGAAACAGAATATATTTCATCACATATCAATTTTTTAATAATATTTGTAATATTTTAATAAGTATTGAATTAAATTGCTTTTTTTCTATAAATATGAAATTTATGCATGTATTTAATTGGTTGATGTAGATTTACAATAATATTATAACAAAAACTATTAATATAAAAAAATTATTCTGTAAATTAGAGACAAATTTAATCATTATATAATATATTTTAAGCGAGTGCATATGATATTATTTTAATATAATTGTTTAACTAATACAGAAACTACATAAAATATACACACAAAAAAATTAATAGCTATATTAATTTATCTACTCGCGTTTAACACTTCAGATACGAAAATTAAAAAAATCTTAGTGTTATATACATTTAATGATCATAGAGATATTAATGCTATTATTTAATTTATAATATATTTCTTATGATAGAAATAAAGCACGCCTAAAATTTGCATTAAATCAAAGTATTATTCTATTTTTTTATCTATATGAACACAGAAACATCCACCATAAGAAGAAAATTTCAGTGGTATCCAGTGACCAAAAGTGGACCATGATTGAAATTGATTGTTAGTACTTTATATAAATATACATTTACAATTGTATATTTCAAATTTCATATATATTTTTTAAAAAATATGATATTATTCAAAGCAAATACTTAAAATCACCATAAAAATAACACTAAATCTTACATTGAAAGAGATCATTCGAATTCAATATTAAGTCGTAATTTCATTTTGTAAGAAAAAAGTCTGACATAAAACTAATGAATTTTTATCTTTGAGGGTACTGTCAATATTCAATACATAAATAAAATGAAGAATTTAAAAAGTATGATGGTTGGAAAGTAGTTATGCATTCAAGTTTCGACCTGTTGAGATAACAAGGAAATAAAACTTCAGTATTTTACGCAATGACAACGTTAATTTTATTATACGCGATTTAATAAATAACGTGTAATTACACAAAAAATGTTGTAACGACTAGAATAAAGTTATTTCATTTACTATACTGTTGAGCCAAGTTTTTGAAATACAGTATATTTTAGTTATCCCATTAATATAACAATATAAATTGATATAAATATAATATAAATTCTCCAAATTTACCAACACTGCATGATCGAGAACTAATAAAGTGTTATTCATTTAAATCAACTAGACTACATCTGACTCTTACCATTAGCGAAAGTTTTTCTATTTTTTCTTCGATCCAACTTAGATGATATATATATAATAAACATACATACGTATGTAGTACATACAAAATACTTGCATCTATTAACTGCATTTAAATTTTGTTAATTTACTTATGCATAACAATTACTAATATAGTTATGTCCATAATGATAATAATAATAATTATTATTATGTAAGTGTATAATATTTATGCCAAAAATATTTTATTGCAATAATAGCATTAAAAAGATTCGATATTACGTGAAAAAAACATCATAAAATAAATTTCTATTTTTATTTAATACTGAATTAACTTAATTAATTTACCTTTGATGAGTTTCCAATCGCCTACAGTGATTGCAGAAATATTTTTGATATTGTCAATATTATGTAAAATTATCTTTCGAGGTGATTGTGTATTTTTTTTTAAAGCATTCCATACATCCAGACCATCAATATTTCTACTATTGTTTGGATATCCCCCAGCAGCTGACAATAGAGTTGGTAACCAATCAGTGATATGAAGTGTTTGATTTGAAATTCGTCCTGGATTGTTTAAGTGCTTTGACCAAATAAGCCCAACACCACGTACTCCACCTTTAACAATGACTCAAGGGATATTATTTTCTAAAAAACTTTAAATTAAATTTATTATAAATTTGAACTAGAACATAGATATTTTAAAAACTACTATAAATTTATTATCATATATAATTAGTTGAAAGATGTAAGATAGATAGCTTTAGAATAATAAAAAAAGAAATTATTTATTGACTTAAAGTTGGAACTAAACTTACTTGTAAAACATAATAAATAAATATCCATAAAATATGTAGAATTTAATATAAGCGTACTCTTTGTACAAATATTTTCAATATAATTTGATTTAATTATATCTCATGTACCTTCAAATAAAGTATCTTTAACACCTCTTAATGGCCAATTAGAAGCAGCATTAAAATTAAAACCTTGGGCAGGTCCACCATTATCCGTAGAAACAACAATAATACTATTTTCCAACATATTTTTTTTCCCAAGTGCTTCCACAACTTTACCAACAGATGAATCCATGATATTTGCTATAGCTTTTTAAAATAAAAATATATTAATAAATTCATGTTTTCCGAATGAAATCGTTAATGAAACTTAACATATTAAATTATTTGTGTTAAAAAATAACAGAATATATTGTAGTAAAAATATACAAAACTAATTATTAAATAAATGATGTCCAAAAGTGAAGTAGAAAACATACCACAGTAATGAAAGAATAACCTATATATATATATATATATATATATATATATATATATATATATATATATACTGGGAATTAAAATAAAAAGCAATAACTATCTATATGGTACAGTAATAGTATATACTTCTATTACTTCTATCTGTTCTTAATTCTATTGCATATAATATTAATAGTATTTGTAAAGAGTTGCAGATCAATTTTAGTTATAATATCTTCAAAACAAATTAATCGTCAGAATCTTTATAAAGTAGCTTATATTTTATCAAAATATTAATTTATCATTAATAAAAGTATATAATATTGATTACATAGTATTCAATAATTTATTGGTTAATATCAAAGAAATAGTGACACATTCATTTTTTAATAAAAATGGGGATACTTTTTTATTATTCAATATTCATAATAATCAAAGTGCAATAGTAAAGTAGTAAGTAGTCTATCCTCTATCCTTATTCTATATTATTTAATATTCAGTATCAACAATTATATTTACATATAATATTTTGCTAATACATAATTATTTTAGAAAATTAATTAAAATTATATTAATGATGGTAAAGTTATTATTTAATACATTTCATGAAAAATTATTTTTATTGTTGCAAAAATAATCAGAAATGAAGATGCTAATGAATAAATGAAGATTTGAATATCAAATTTTTACGAAGGATTCAAGATCACGTATTAGACTAAAATTAAATACTAAGTTTCTTGCATACTATGTAATAATTGAATAAATTTGTATAAATGAGAAAAAAGCTGAACAAATCTACATATAATAATTGAAATGAAATCTCGGATGAAAACTTGACGATAAAATAAATTTGACTATTAAATGTTATATAAAACGTATTGAAGCATGAAACCTTATTTACACCATAAGATTTGGATTTTTTACCTCTTAGTTCTTGAGGCAATATTCGATGTTATTACGAGTACTGCTGATATCACACGGAATACACTCGTATCGTGAAATGTGCCCTAAACGCGGACACGTATACATTTATTAAGATATTCTCATGCAATAGAGGGCATTTCGTTTGTAAAAGGCCATTTTCATTTATATCCTACCCTTAAAATACTTACAAATGAATTTTCGTGAAATTACAAGAATTTAAATTTTCAAAAATTAAAACAATGATAAATACTTAATTATTCAATTTTTAACAATTAAATTTATAATAGAAATATAGTATGAATACATTAATATAATGAGTGGTAATTTATAAATGTAACATCTATAAATTTCTTAAATTAATTCATTAAATTAATACAGAGACCTTTACAGGAGAATAATTTGTACTTCATTTACCAGCAAAACGACGTCTCTTATATTCAGGTATTTTTATTTTATCGACGATTTCATCAGCTGCAGGTAATGGATTATACGGATTTGCTGAATGTACCGCTGCGTGTGCAAGAAATAAAAACATAGGTTCACTGACATTATGATTATTTATTAATTTCACAGCTTCTTTTGAGAATACATCAGTTGAATATTGACCGTGTAAATCCCAAGCGGGTTTCATGTTACGCCTCATGTCGAAACCCCAATATGGCTGCAAAATAAAATTATTTATCGCGATTTAAATTTTTATTAATTATATTTGATTTTAAATATATATATATATATATATATATTAAGTTTTTGAAATTTCGAAAACTAATATAAATATTGATCTTCGATTTCTAGAATTTTTAATTCTATTATTAAGTTTGTTATTCCCACAAAAATTAATTTTTAAATAATTGATGTCAATAAAATAATTTTAATTACCTATTTTTATTAGTTTACTAGATAATTATTATAATTGTATGTGTAAAAACTGTTAATTCAGGTGTAAAATATATTTAAGACTTTGTGAGGTTTCATATTTTAGAATTTTTTTAAATTGAGATTATTTTAAATTATATAATTAATCAAAATTTTCTTGCAATAAAATTCGATACGATCTCGAACAATCTATGTTAAAAAATAAATCAGTGTAAAGAACCTCTATACGACATCTGAACAAGGACATCATTATTGTTGATATCCTGCTTTATATAATAAATACAAGTTCTAGTATTTTATTATTATATATATTCACTAAACCATTCGATCAATACATTTCTTTCGTGACTATAAATTAGTTTCTATTGCATTTACTTTTTATTTTTTATTTCTTCTGTTTTTGTTTTTAATCTACAACTTTAGGTATAGAGATTACGAAGACTGCTTAAGTCATTGAGCGAAATTAAAAAAAAGCAAGTTTAATAAAGAAAATTTTCAAGGACAACTACCGATATAAAGTATCATAGAGTACTCAGACAGAAATTAGTACATTTAGATGAATGAACAAGCCTAAATGTAAAATACATGAAAATATCATTAGCAAAGGCTTATTGTAGTAAAGTAATAAATTAAGTTTAACTAACTACTATCTAGAGGATATACTAACGATAGTTTCCATGAAATATATATTAATTGACTTACTATTTTGATGGTCAAGACACGTAAATATTTTTTTTTAAAGTTCGAAAAAGCATCTATATTTAAGGAAGTACAAGTGCTTTAATACTATGTAATATATTTTATATATTATTTATATTGTTATAAATTGTCTCTATGATAATATGAACTCAACAATACACGTATATATGTCATGACGATCATGAAAGACTTTAGTAATTTCATACAATAATACATATAATTATTCCAATTCTATTACACATATTTTATTGAAATTTACTAAAATACATACATTTAAGAATATTACCCTTAAAATATTTTAAATTAATTTAGTTAATAAATATTTTATTTAATTGTTTTCTATAAATATAATTTATTTAAAGAAACCTAATGCACTATCTATTATAAATATGTCGGATTTTAATATTATTTAAATTACTTTATTTTATTGATGTTTTATAATCTCAAAATATTATTCTTTAATACGACTTATTACAGTCTAATACTCCAAAACTAGAACGAAAAGAAAAATCTGAATTTGTATAATTGGTATCGAGAGTATTTTTAAAGATATTTTCCTACAAATATTATCGCTAATACATTACTAATATATTTCAATTTTATTTTAATATTATTCTAGACTAATGTTTGAATGAACAAAATTATTTTTCAATATACTGAAGTGAATTGTTAATTATGTTATTATTAATATACATATTATATATTAAATATATATAAACTAGTTATTTCTTGAATATTAAATTTGATTTGTGTGATTATAAATGTTATTCTTAAAAAAAATAGTATTATTTCTGCTTTTTACTCAATAAATATATAATATTATTTTTAATTTTACTTAAGTAATTGAATTATATAAAAGAAATAGGATAAATTTATGAATAAATTATCGCTATGTTAGAATAACTAAATGAGGTAAGATAGGTGACTAGGAATTGAACAAAAAAGAATCAATGTAATGAAGTTTGATCAGGGTCAATAATGAAATTATATCGATATTGTTTACGAAAAAAATAAAAAAATAACAAATAGAATGTCAGATGAAAAGAAAGAATATATATATATATAAATATAATTCGACTATTTTTCTTATTTTAAATTTCATTATAATTCTATGTTGTTTATTCGTTACATATAAAATGAATATTATTTTTTTCTTTTATCTCATGAATGGTTTCAAAACTTATTTGAAAATAGAACATTTACGTATAAAATATTTTAACAAATTTAAAATACCAAATATATAATTTTGCGATAAATATTATTTTAATGAATAAATTTTTAAATACATGCAAGTAAACAAATGTATATTAAATTCTGTTAAACACCAATAATGAACCCCAGTAATGGTAATATTATCAATTAATTATCAAAAATCCATAGTTGTCGGTATAATTATAGAAATTATTTTTTATTGTGAAATCTTTTATATAACTCCCTTGTAATTGTTAGAGTATATATTATGTTGTACATTTTTTCTGTATTACATATTTTAATTAGAAGTATAAAGATAATTTTTATAAAGAAAAAAATTCTATACCACCATAAGCAGTATCTCATATGCATGTAGATTAAAAGTATAGGATTAGATGGGTTCTATATATTTTAGAAAATATTAATTCTGAATATAATAAAAATAATATACCTTTGATTATATATCATTAGAAAAATCATAATTTTTTTGTTATGTTTTTCGATTTAGTTTACATAAAATACATAGTCTCGTTTTGTTTTGAGCTTAACGATCATTTAATATATTTTATTTGGATTGGCAATAAATAATAGTAATCCAGATTAATCTTTAATTGAAAACTTAATGTTAGTGATGGAAATAAAAGTTTCATTAAAACTTATACTAATAGAAAAAAAAATACTGTAAGATTATTACTTTATTTTAATTTGATTTGAGGGGTGTAAGCAATATATATATAAACAAAATCATTTTTAAGAAATACACTTTGTAATTCAATTGACACATTGTCGTATGACATATTATTGTATAATAGGAAACAATTAAATACTTAACATTTTACATATATAAACACTACCTCAAATCTACTCCACAAATGAACTCTCACTACTATCATTTTCAGAAGTGACAATACTCTTACATTATCGAGCAGAGAACTAGCATGACGATGCGTCAAGAATTATTATTCTGACACTTCTTTCTTTGATTATAACTTTTGTTACTAATCTATCTTGAAGCAATCTAAAGTTTATTACTTATGTATTTATTCGGAAATTATCTTGATATCTGTTACATACTTTAACTTTATTTGATAATTAAATTTTTTATATGTTTTATAAAATCTTTGTAATTTTTATTGTAAAAAATGAAAATGAAAAATTCAATTTATTCAAAATAAAGAAACAAATGCTTAATTTTTATTAGCTTTCATATTATTTTATTCACAATTATTTTAAATTGTGATATTAAAATCTATCTTCTCTCTATATAGCTATTTATATTCTCTTTTATATCGATTCTAATGAATCTTCTGAACTATGAGCAAGTTAAGGTTTAAATGATTATGCATTAACATAAATGAAATACTTACATTCATATCAACCAAGCATGTTTCTAAAAATATAATTAATAGAAAATATTATAAACTAAATATATTATTATTGTTTTTAATTAATGAATTTTTTTTAATTTTAATAGATTAGTTAATATATTTGATTATGTAATTTGAGATTTATTTTTAACATTGATTTGCTCATAGTAATATACTGTATTTTGTCTATAATCTATATATATCTATCTATATATATTATCTATATATATAAAAAAGTGAAAAAAAAGTTATCTTCTTGTAGTATTTACCCTGTGAACCTTACTATTAATATTGGTTACTCAGCATCTGATGTATTATGATTGGATTACTGTTAATCCTGGCACATAATTATAATAATATCAATGTCGATTCATACGGATCGTTTACTAAATAATCAGAATTTAACCTTGAATTGAAATATGTCAAATTGAAGTTTGTAAGCCAATCAAATTATACAAATATTAAAAGTTCTCACTAGTATATCAAATCAGTCACACAAGATCGTAAGAACTTACGGGTCTACTGCGTGCTCTGACGTATATCATATTAACATATTTAATAGATTGGCCCACAAACTTCTGGTATTTCTCTTCTAATATATAATTTGAACTTAGACTATTCCGATAGTCAGTTAGATGGTTTCAATTCATTTCTATTATTCGTTTCAATAATTCGCATAAATTAACATTTTTTACAGTAAACTGCAATTCAGTTAAAACGTTGAAATATTTAATATTAAGTTCAACTACATAATATTTACATTCTATTATACAAAACATACAATTGGGATTTTTTTTCATAACTAGATTTTTAAACCACTTAAACGTAATATAAAATAATACACATCACCTCTTCAACAGCAGTATGATCATAGTAATCATGATGACCAGTCCAATATCCCAGGTGACTTTCAAAACCACGAAAAGTCGGTGTATACTCTTTTTTATAAAAGCCAAGGTGCCACTTGCCAACAATGTGTGTTCGATAACCAAGTTCCCGAAGATATTCAGGGAGTAATTTCTCGGTCAATGGTAAGCCTCTTGGTTCTGCTCCTTTGAGTACCTATCTTAACATTATAATTATTAATATTCTCTTAAAAAATATCTATTTCTTTCATGCATTTACAATTTATTTAGTTAATTCATTAATAAACGTAAAAAATGTATTTATAATGTTATTTTGTATATATAAATTAAGTTTTTATAATATAAAGTAAGATGCTGATTATGCTTATTTCATTTAATTGTAATGATTAATATTAATTAATATTTATAATAAAAGAAAACAAGGTACAACAATACATTTATATTTGTTTTAGTAGTTTCTTTATTTACTATAAAATCTAGAATAGTATGTAGATAGTATTATAATTATTGTATGAGTGATGAATTAATTCACCTGATGACGTCTATATTAAAGAAATATAAGAAACAGTATTGTAACCAAAGTTACCATAATATCTTATAAATAATCAATTGACAAACAATTTATACATAAATATATATGTGTTTGTTATTTAGCTGATTATATGAATATTTTTAAAATTAAGCTCACGTAATTTAGTGCATATATTGTTTTTCTAATTTAATTTTTAAAAAGGCATATTTATGTGTGACCATTTTATGGGAATGAAATGTTAAAATCATATATAAGTAATTTTTTAAAAAATTGAATTTATTTCTATTGAAAAAATTTAGATTATTGAAATTATGGTGTTATAAATTTTAAATAATTTTCAATTTTAATTAATTTATCCGTAATTTTCCATTATACAAGTTAACAAAATAAAAAAATATTTATATTGTATCATAGTGCAACCTAAATAGTATTATTACTATTTTTAAAAATTACATATATGTATATTGTCAGATACAGATTGTAAAACTTTTTACTAACTATATATTAAAAATAAGAGAGAGTTTCTTCTATTATAATTTAAACATGATAATCGAATATAATTTTTCGTCAATCAATACTAACAAAAAATTATTATTATTAATCTATTTTAATTTCTGTATTATTTTAAATATTGCAAAATTAAATTTACTAAAAGAATTTTAATAAGAATTATATAAATCAAAGATTTATCGCAAATCTAAGTGGAAATGCAAATAATTATCTTATCAGAATAAAAATGCTTTACTTTTTAATACAAAATGGTTACTTTAAGATTTTATTAGCGTTTTACAAGTGCTTTTTATTCGTTCATTTTCTAAATGAATATTTGAAACTGTAAAATATCATCTTACATAAAAATATTAATATTTTTGATTCAATATTTCAATGCAATAATTTTTTATATTATGTGAATATTGGGAACATTTTCAGATTTTAACGAAAGAAATCTCTATTTAATTTACTTCTTTTTCAAAGTAATTCTAATAAAATGATCCAAATACATACTTAACATATCTTCCAGATGTAAAGACATAAATATTTATAATTCAAATAATAATGCATAAAATTTCATTTATTTTATTATTTATAGATTCTTTGAAATATATTTTATGGAAATTACCCCATGTTGCATGCCTGTATGAATAGGATACTTTCCAGTCATTAATGCACTTCTCGATGGAGTACATATTGGTGTAACATAATACTGATGCAGAATTAAACCACTGTAAGCAAGTGCATCGATATTCGGCGTTGGAATTTGCCCTGAACCATGAAATCCAACATCATTCCATCCCTTTAAGTTCAGAAAATTATATTGTTTTTAATTTTTAAATAAATATTTTATTATTGAATATAAATATTAGCTAACAAATCCCAAATAATTTTTAGAAATATCTTGCGAAATGAATTTTAATTCATCCAATAGAAATTCAAACATGGGATCAAACTGTTTATTTCAAAATGGGATAAAAAATTTCTATTAAATTTTTTAATTATTTTAAAAGTTATATTAAATTTTTAAATTATTTTTTAAATTTATACATTTTTTTAAATGTATACACTTTTATGAATGTTACTACTATTGGGAGCATACATTCTTAATTAAAATTTTTTTATTATAAACAATATATGACATAACGAAATGTTTCCTTGTCCTTTATATGAAAAGCGTTTTAATTATAATCATATAACGATAAATTTTTTTTACAATACAATCAGATAATACTTTATTTTGATTTTATGATTATTTATTATCATTTTATTCAACCTAATTTTATGAAGATGTAATGATTAATATGTAATTACTTGTATGTAATTAATAACAATTTCAGTTAATACTATTAAAAAATATATATTATTAACATTAACAATAGTAATGAGTATATTGTAAAATAGTTTTTTCCTAATTTTTGCAAATTAAATGCGAATATAAATTAATATAAATATTAATGTATTAAAAAGTACTATTGCAATTTACATTTTGTATTAATTTGTACGATAAATATCCAAAAATATGATAAAAAACTAAACATAAATATATAACCAAACATAAACATGCATAATTATTTTGTACAAAAAAAATTATAATTTGAAATATTAATTATTACGAAACACATTATATTTTATGATTTTGTCTTATCATAAATTAATTTTATTTGTCTATATTTTCTACAAATATTTATGAGTCTTTTTAATAAGAAACTATTTAACAGAATTTAACTTTCTATCTTTGTGTAATAATTTTCTGTACATAATCTATATTTCTATGAATATAGAATTTATATATATTTTAATTGATAAAATTTTCAAAACTGATTAAAATAATTTTAAATTATTTAAAATATCTATGTTTTAAATTGAATAAATTAATAACAATCATTTCCATAAACTTATGCTTAATTAATTTTTAAATAAATACATAAATAAATAATAGATATATATTTATAACTTATATTAAGTAAATAGTATTTATAAATTATAGTTGCTAAAAATTAATAATGAAATTAATAGTTTTAAACTTTATGAAAAATTGAATATCTATTTTCGATTACATTATCTTCAATTGTTAAACTTTTTTTTAAAAAACTTAATTTAAAAAATTTAATCTTACAATAAGTATTTTACAATTACCAAATCATCAACCAGAATAAAAATAATGTGCGGTCTGTCAGGAACAGTAGAAATCACATTTAAAACATTTGTAATAATAAGCACAAGCATATACCATTGACTCATAGTTTTAAATTATAAACTATTGCACTATATAAAACACTAATGAATACAAAATATAATATACAAAATGAAATAACAAAAAATACGAAATTAATTGTTTAAAATATCTCAAATACAATGACTATAATTATTTCATTTTACCAATCATTCTTTGTATAAGAAAAATAACTTGAATTACGATAAAACAAATACAAAATACTAATCACGAAGTATTTGATACGTTATTGATAAAATGTTTATTTGTTTTGACGTAGTGTATCTGTCACTCAGCTAAATCTATTGACTATATAAGTAATGTAAGAATGAGTGTGTGCGTATAAGCATGCTCATCACGTGATATAAAAGAAAGTAAGAACGATAATTGATAAATTGATTACAATTTAAGATACATTAAATAATTTGTAAAATTTAATAATTAACTGAACGTACAACTTACGTTTCAATTATTTATTGCAATATTAAACAAATCAAAATATAAGAAATATAATAATAATAATAATATAATTTCATAACTTTTAAGACAAAAAGGAAACTAATCGAATCGTTTAAAAGGATTATATCTATTTTATCAAATTAATTAAATTTTAGTTTAACTAATATAATTATAATATTTATCAAAAATCAATCCTTTATTTAAGTTATTATATAGTAGATAAAACTACTTTTAAATTTACTTAATAATGTTTTGAGTATTATTTATTATTGTTTATCTGTGTGTTAGTTTATGGTATAATTTATATTAATTGTATTTATTTCCGTATTAATAATTATTTTATGTATTCAAATTTTTTTTATTGCTACGTGTAGCTCTCTCTCTCTCTCTCTCTCTCTTGCGTGCGCGTGCTCTCTGTGTTGTCTGTATTTTTTGTGTGTTTGTATGTTACACGTTGAATTTCATTAAATATATATATCTTTACAATATCTAGTATGTGTACATATTATGTGTACATATTGATCTTATAAATAGTATTACTAAACAAATTTTAAAAAAATTTTTAAATCAAGTATATTATTTAAAAAACTGAAACATGGCAATTTCACATAATTTCTATTATATATTTTTTCATTTACATTTTAAAATAGTTTTTAATTTTTTTTTTTTTTTTAATTTTATATGAAATAAAACCCCAATAAACTATTCGCTATAGAATTATTTCTAGGCTGATAACTGTATCTTAGACATAAATAATATTGTATTATAATGTAGAATTACTCTTGTTTTCTATTTTCTAGCTCAATACATTAATTTCTTGAATAAATTGTACAAATTAATATCAATTCAAACTTAATGTTTTAAAGTTAGATTTCCTGCTTCTTCAATTAAATTATTTTGAAATGAATTCATGTTTGAAAGCGAACTTGTATAACACATACATATCCAACTTATTCAGCATAACAAAGACCTATTAAATGTATGAGAATTAATGAATAAAATTTGAAACATACAAATGTAATTCTTTCTAAATGGAAATTTAGAAAATATAACTGATCTGTTGTCACGAAGGAAGTCTTTCAATATAAATATTTTTATAAAAAGTTTTTTAAAGATAACTAGCAAATCTACATTTACACATAATTTTAAATATTATTCACATCTTAAGATTATATAAAAATGTATCTTTTTAATTTAAGAACCAGCAAAGATAATTATTTATATAGTTTGCAGACTACTTCAGTTATAAGAAAATTCTCGATTACAAATATTAATCTGTTATTTTTCTCTTTTAAAGGAATATGACCATTTAATTTTTGGAGTACATTATGTTTCCTTCTTTAAAGTTATCTAATACATTATTTTGAAGGCATTTAAAAATATATGTATTTAATCTAAATAATAAAGCGGGAAATGTAATAATTACATTGCACATATAAATTAAAAAAATTGAATGTTGGCAAATATTTTTTTCTATAAGTAGAAAATTGATTAATTTAATTTTTGCTCCTTTAAAATTTAATATTGTAATTCATAATAATTACTTAAATTAACGATATTAGTATTTTAGATAGATAGATATATCTATCATACAATTAAATTTATGTAATTGCATTATAGTAGTGTAAACTCTTCAATGCACTGCTTTTGTGCTATTTTGTTTAGAAAACGAATACATTACGTCGAAAAATAACCACTTTATTATATACATAATTTCATATTTATAAAAAAATATTAAAATTATTTTCAATATTATGTATATATATTAATTTTATAAAAATTTTAAAGTATTTTGAATATATACACAATAACGAGTAGCTAATTATAGATTGGAATTTTAAAAACTTAATATTTCTTAATATCTTTGCTTCCATTATAATGTTTAATTATACATACTTATATTGAGGTAAGTATCGACTAGAACAAATTATTATTATTAAACTTTTCCTCGTTAAGTTTTCTTTGTACACGTGTTATCTGAAACGATTATTTATACAATATTGAATTTTTAGCAAAAAAAAAAAACAGTTACTCAATTATTTTGCTAAATAAATTGTAAAATAAATGTCTATTTTACATCAATTTGAATCATATTATAATGGATAAGCTATTTTTATCCTTGAATTCCCACATAAATTCGTTTCTTAATAAATTCTCACTGCTGGCATATTTTTTTCTAATATTCTGTTCAGAATTTTATAAAAAATGTGAACAATTGTTATAAACTATATATTAAAAAATACTTTAAAAATTTTGTGATTGACTATATTGTAACTGGATATAAATATTTCAATTTAATTCTAATTGTTTATTATGATTAAAAATTGTTGCTAGATGTCTATAAAATAGTACTGATATCAAATTTAACGTTAAAAATCATACGAATAAATAACGTGGACAAACGTAAAAAAATATACTAAATTTAAAAATATATATATATAAGTTCGTTTATTTAATTTGTTGTAAAAGCCTTTTTTTAATTCGAATATGGAGCTCACTGTTAGTAATCTAAATTGAGATAAAAATATAAAACATTTATGTCAAAAGTAAATATTAACAAATAGCTTTTCATTATAGTACTATGATTTCATTTTATTTGTTTCGTGAATTTTTTATATTTTTATTGTGAACTATCACCTGATTAAAATTACCAAATTACCAAGGGCTTTGGCAATGATGCCGATATAATTCTAATCCCTAAAATAAGTACACGTTTCCTTTTAATTGATTATAAATTAAAATAAAATACTGTCATTAGTAATAAGGTTTTTCTATTAAAACTTTTTTTATTTGTTTAAGCAAAATATTTTCTTTTAATTAAGCATTTTAATGTAAACATTTTAATTAATAAATCAAAATATTAATATTCATAACTTATAAAATATTCATAGTTTTTATATTATTTCACGTATACTAAATTTTATAGTATAAAATCTTATAAACATCATTGCAATAATCCAAAGTATGCGTTTCTTATGTATATTCATAGTTCATAGTATTTTAAATAAATGGTATTGACGTTATAACCTGTACATTTTTATATGAAAGCCGCAGAAATGTTATCAAGTATAAATTGGTCCACAAACATGCGCTAGCGGCATTGAAAAAAGAACTATTGGAACTACCTATCATATTGATACTAAGCCAGCGCATAAAAAAATTGAAGCTTGCATAACTGCGTGTAGCGGATGATACTATACACATTTATAGGCTAAGCATATTAAAATAGAAATATTATAAACAAACACGATTCAAGATTATTCATCTCCAATTACTGGATTTTTAATACCTCCAAAATTGTCTATAATCATCATTCGCTCTCTTAATGAACCTTGAACGCGTCTCTTTTTCCATCATCATCATTATTATTTTTTTTATTCAATAATGAAATTCGACATTGAAATTTTATATTTTTATTCGTAAACAACTAAGTAACTAACTAAAATGTAGTAAAGTACTTTGTTAGAGACAATAATGAATAAATGAAAAAGTAAATACAAACATGTACTTCAAGGCTTACGCATTGATAGCTTTCAAATAAGAAAAATTAAACAGAAATTTTTCAGAAAGTACTTATTATTTCATAATTAAAAAATGTTTAAATTAGTTTTTATTATTAACTTCACATAAAATTAATCCAAGCGTCTAATATTAGAATTAATACAATTTTTTTAATATATTGATAGTATTAATAAATACGTTAATGCATTCACGATACTTTAATATTCAATATTTCTAAATATACAAGATCACATGTTGAATCAAATATTCATTAAAAATAACATAAATAAAATAACAATAAAAAATATTGATAATTTTATTTTAATAATATGTTCAAATAATATTTATCGATTTGACATTAAAACATTATATAAATTAAATTACTATATTTTAACACTATTTTTTATATTAATTTTAATACAATTTATCAAATAATAATACGATTTTTTATTTACCATTGCATTTCAATTTTTATAAAATAGTTATATAAATATTTACATTAAGCATATAAGTTCTTTTATAGAAATAATTATTGACAAAATTAAATACTAAGTTAAAAACTATTAAAATCAAACCCATCGATTGTAAAGTTCGACTAAATTTTGAATATTCTTATTTAATTAAAATGTACATTTTTAAATCTTAAAGAAAAGTGGATTACTTGAAGACAAAATATATTCATTTCAACATGTATTTTATCTTAATGTCATAAAATTATTCGAGTTCAATATACAAATTGTTTGATACTGCCCCTCGTATCTGCATGCCAAAAGGTGATTGGCTTCTTGTATTCAGGTAAAATGTACCCATTCTAAAACAATTTTTGTTAATATAAGTTCTTATATTATAATATAGTTAATTATAGAGAAAATTAGATTAATATTATTTATAATATCGCAAAGATAAATATTATTTATAATTAATATTAAATATGATAAATAAAACATGATGAATCCATAAAAATTTATTAAAATGAAAATTGATTAGTTTTATTTATAATAACTATTAGATTTAAGTGAATATTAATTATAAATAACATAAATCTATATAAATTATTTTTAAATTATGCATTTAACTAACACATTAGTTGGAGTTGCGTATCCCATTGGTATTTTCATATTTTTATTACAAGTTCCACAATCAAACATTTGAGATGAATTACAATATGTGCCAATAAAAGCATTTTCTGTTTCTAAAGATTCAGCATAATATTTCCATGAACGATGATGACTACAAAAATCTATAAATTGCCACTTAATTCATAAATTCATTATGATACCTTTACAAGTTTTATAAATTTAATAAAAAATATTATATTTGAATTGTTTAGGATAACTTTTTCAGACAATACAAATATTAACACTTTATTAATTTTTATTAGCAATAATTCTTGTATATAAAAATCTTTACCAATTAAAAATCAACATTAATATTATATACTATATTGTAATAAAAAATAAAATGAATAACACTTGCCTTCATCAGAAAAAAACTCATAATGAATCGGACATCCGGGTTGAACTCGATATCCTTTATTAACATAAAACTGTACCGTAGCAGAAAGACGTGCTGTTCCATATGCCCCTGCATCTGTATGAATCGTATCTACAAATGCAGCATCATTCATAGAAAGATGCGCTTCTGGATAATTAAAATTTGGACCCGCAGGATCTAATCCTATTAGTGTATCAAATAAAATTATTTATATATTAGAATGATAACTACAACATTATATGAATGTATTGTCTCAGAAATATACTAATTAATTACTTATATATCTATGTAATACTAAAAGAAAGCAAAATCATGAATATGTTTCATTGTAATTATTTTATATTTATTAAAGTATTTATTATGATATATTAACATTATATCCGAATATTCCTAAATAATCAATAATAATTATACTCACCAGTAATTCGAGAAAGTTTAAAGCCAATAGTACGTCCCACGATGCCAGCAATTTGGGCACCCATTGAGTGCCCAATCAAATGAATACTTCTCTTAGATATGCCATAACTGATTAGTTGATTAATACCTCCAGAAATTACTTTTCCAACTAAACCTGCACTATCTGTTAAATCTGCATAACTCTGAGAAGATATATTTCTGTAATCTATAGCTATTACGTTATGATCTCTACGCTGAAGATATCCTATCATAAAGTAAATAAAAGTTTTATAATCGGTACTGAATTAATCAAAACTATAATAAAGCTTTAAAAAACTGAAAAATTATCGATTATATGACAAACTTAATTACTGCTATCTAATACTATAATTTAATAGGAAAATCGACGATCAATCTAAAGATGAGTAATATCAACACAATGTTTTTAAACATTTTATTATTTTAAATCTGAGCATTTTAAATAAAATGTTTATTAGCAAACATTCTTCAACTTATCTATATTTTATATCAAAAGTGTTTAAAGAATAACTATCATTCATTACTTGAATCATATTTAAGATCATAAATAATTTATAGAAAAAAGATATTTACAGCATATAGGTTACATGAAAGTATTTCTATTCAGTATATTTAAAATTTATTAAAATAATAAACTTTATGAAGCTTATTTTTATTTTGAAAACATTCTTGTTATTTTTATTACGAATTTATAGTATCATTTATTATTAATGTTTATTACAAAATATTTCTGTTTTATTTTTGAAAATTACCTGTTTTTTATTATTCTCTTTGCTTATTATTTTACAGCCGGCGAAAATATGATATACACAAGTACAAGTAATATGAATATATTAGGAAACTGAATCAAATATTTGATTGACGAATGTAACGAATTTAATTATTAAAATTGATATGCTTGAAGAAATAATCTTAACTATTGATTTTAAAATAATTAAATTATAATATATTACTTTAAAAATATTATATTCATTGCATACCAGAAGTAATAGCAATAACGTCATCACTTTCAACATTGCCTAGATAACCATGTAAATATATTACAGTTGGTTTTCTGGAATCCATATCAGTAACTAGCTTATTAATGTCTTGAAGAAACGCATCTTTATAATTTTTGATGCTTATACTATAAACAAAAAATAATCCGATAAATAAATAACTATACTCTAATCTAAACTCGAAAATTTCCATGAAATAAACATTTTTAAAATTATGTTAGTATTTTTTCAGTTAATTTACTTATTAATTTAAATAATGCTATATAATACATCTATTTAATATAAATAATAGATTATGCTCAATTATTTCAGATAAATATATAATAAGACAGAAGAAATATTAATTACCCATAAATAATATATTTATAATTTTAATTGATAATTTATTATAATTTTTATTATATCTAACTAATTTTTATAAATTTATATCTCTTATATAAATATATATTATATATTATATAAATATATATTATATATTTATATTGAATGACGATAATTAACTATAAATTTGAAAACGTTAAGAAATCTAAACCTTGCATTTTATTCAGAAATATTCCGAAATTTATAGGAAATGTCATTTGTAAAGTTTATAACGGTATGTAATTTTTATCATCTGCGTTAATTTGTCAATGTCAATAAATATACAATATATGAAGTAGATGAAGCGATCTGACTGTTAATGATATTGATTTCCAAGAACATATATACACTTGTAAATTACATTTCATTTGAACATATTTTTAACCCGATGACTATTATTTCAAATAAGATTATGACAAAACTTGAAGCTTATTATTTTTGATAAAATGATGTTCTTAATTAAGATTTTCAAATATATTTGTTAATAATTTTTCTGTAAATATTGAAAATAAATATATATAAATTGTTTCGTTTTAATTTGAAAGCAAATTAAATGATATAAAATAAAAATATTATATTAATGTCAATATAAAACAATTATAATATTTCATGAAACGAAAGAATTTTCTACATTTAATGATGACAATATAAAAAAATACTTAGATTGAACAAAATTTCATAGATGCGTAAATAATAATAGAATATGCATCAACATACTATAAAAGTTTTGGAATTTTGCATCAATATTCATAAAAATTAGAAAATACTACAAACTCATCGGTCAACAGAAATAAAAAACTTCGTCTGAAGTAATTTTTACGTATTTCATGTTAATATATTCTGAGTTTAAAATTGATTTCGATTTAAATAATTTTATCCCAAATAAACTGCTTTGTGCTTTTTATATTTTATAAGTAACATTAGAAAAAAATTTTCAGTATTGACATTAAATATAATAAATTAAACATTTTTAATAACTCAACGAAAATGTAAAAATGAATTTTCCACATTAGATGAAAAAGATATAATATAATTATAGTTTTGAAATATTTTATATTTTTATATAATTTAATAAAAAGAATAAGTACCCAGTATATAATCTATAGAAAATATTGTTTATACTATCTTCAAGCCACAAAGGTTTCTTTTCTGTAAATAAGTACAAGTAAATTTGTAAAAGTGTGATATAATTAATTCATTTTGTTAGTTGGAATGTAAAACATTTGTTTTTTATTCCACAATATATATATATATATATATATATATATATACAATGTAATACACATGATGAATACAATATAGACTGAAACTTTACATTTCATTTTCGTAGTTGGTATTCTTACAAAAATACTAGTAATACTCTATATTGTTACATTAAATCATAGTTTGATTTGATATACCAATTCTAATATATAACAAATTTTCGTAAATATATGAAATCGTAAAAAAATGATTATATTTAACAAATATTTCACTTAATTATTAAAGAAATATATTGGTTATTAATTATTTTAAAAGCATATTATTTATCTATCTATTCTTATATTTAGAAAATTAAATCATTAACATTCGTGTTAAAGAAAAAAAATATAGAAAATATAAATAAATAAGATTTATTAATGTAATTAAAATTTTTAAAATATTTAGTTAAAATTTTTTTTTATTACATATTCATTATATTATTATTAATAATTTTTACTTTTGTTAATTATATATTATTTGTTGGTAAAAGGAATAAACATAAATAATTTTTATCAATTTGCATATAATGGGCATTACAGAAAATCAACAATAAAAAAATCTATTTGGATGATTAAATTCAAACTGAAACCTAATTAAAATTAAATTAAACTAAAAAAATATATATAAGACAATATGTTTATATGTGTTTCGTATAGTAAGGATGGAAATATAGTTGAGTAAATATCATTTTGTTCAAACAAATTAATCACTTTTTATACAAATGAAAAATAAATAATTCATATTTGTTATACATGATTAAAAATTTTTAATTTGAATATGTTTAATGCTTTTGTTTCAGCGAAAATAATAACATTTTGTTTCATTTCTTCTACTAGAAATTAAAAAATTTTTAATCATTTCATATGTTCATTTCCATATGTACTCAACAGGACTATATTTAAAATAAATTTACTTTTTAAATATGCAATAAAAATTTAATTAAGAATTATTTAGATCATATACATAATGTTTTTTCATTATTTTCATCCTATTTCTTTATCTTTTTCTGAATTATTATAATTATTTAATGAGCTAAGTATAACATTAAATCAATTTAAATAAATAATTCAATTGCAATATATCAAAAATATATATTTTTATAACAAAATGTTGAGATTTCTACAAATTATAATCAACTCATTACTTTTAATATTTTTTATGTTTCTTCCAGTTAATATAATTAATAATATTAAAAAATTAATACTTTTGGGAACTTTATAAAAAAATAAATATTGATACGTAACAATAAAACATCTATGTTAAGTTTCGCAGGTTTAAATTAAAATACAGTATAAACTAAATAACGATACTCACGCATGAAACAATTGCAATTTACGCAGATTAGTAGCGGCAATAAGAATAACAAATTCAAAATTGTATACATAGTTTGAATAAAATTATTTATGATATAAAGTATTTGTATATATTTCTATCGACTGTGGCTTAATTGCTCGTTTACTCAATTTATAAGCTTTAAACCTTAACTAATTCACGTACACGTTTCGGCGGGGAATTTATGGCCTGATGTGAACATAGCAATCGAAGCGGAAATATTGCGCACGAATGAAAAAGGAAGGATATGATAAATAAGCACAAGAGGTAAGATACGCGGGAAAATTGAGTTAAATCTAAACGGACAGGCCAAGGATAAAAAATAAGGGGAAATATTTCTGTATATTAAAAGATTAACAATGTAGAAAATATTCAGACTCTGCAGAATTGATGTAATCCATTCATTTTGAGACAGTTTATTATCTTAGAAATGATTTATCTATGGACTTATGAAAATTTTCTAAAATATAATGTTAATATTCATAACTATTAGGTAAGTATATTTAACAACAAATTATTTTAAAAAATTATATCGATTACACATATTTTAATAATTTATTTCTTATTGTATATTGTTATGAATTTCAATAGTAATAACAAAAAATACAATGTAAAAATGAAATAAAAAATAATTTATTTTATTTTAATCAATGAATTAATTAATGTTTAATTAAATATTCACTTAATTCATTATAATAGAAATAAAAATTATGTATAGATCTAATAGTAATTATAGATAATAGTGTTATCCAAATTCATTATTATTATATAGCAGTTACTACTTTTAGCCAACTAAAACTATCTAATAATATTCATTAGATGAATAATCAGCACTAATGGCACAAAATTAATACTTAAAATATTATCAAAACAGTTTTTCCTTATTAATTTAACGATACCTTGACGCGCGTAATTTACTTCAAGGTTTCTATATATCAATTAACAACATAACATAATTTGAAGTAATTATCTCATTTCAATAAATTCAACTTACAATATAATATTTATTAAAGAATAGTTATGTTTAAAATTTCATCTGGCTTTTAAATAGTAATGTAAAACGATTTTACCATAAAAATGAAATTCTAAATGAATTACAACATTAAATAAAATTATAAAAATACAATAATTAGATATTATTGTTAAGAAAAGTTAATTTCTTTCAAAATAAAATAGTATTTAAATATAACAACATTAAATGAAGTATTAATTCAATTTTTCATTTTAACCACATGAACAGTAAATTGTTATACATATTTAAATTATTCTAATTCTATTAAACATAACATAGAAGTTTTGTACGCCTAGATTATGTAATGCCTTATAATACCTCTTTTTCATCGCTTTCAAAGATGCATATTTACCGAATTAGATATTCTATTTGAATAATTCAAGAACAATGAAGTGTATTATATATATATATATATATAATTTATATTCGTATAACACTACTGTTAAACTGAATTGTATAACTAAAAACTGTCTTGTTTCGCATAAATTAAGTCAAATATAATAATAATTAACGAATTTTTTGTCTCTTTAAATGCAAATTAAAACCTAAAATATATTAAGAATAGAGACTGTTTGAGAACACTTTTCACGTTTCATATTCAGTTTATTATATTATGTTTTTACGCATTTATCTGATTATACTATTTATATATTTTTTTGTTTAACTTTTACACAAGCATTCAAAATTTAAAAAAATATGACATAGAATTATTTAAAAATTAAATAAAAAATTAACATATTTTTTGTATCTAGATTGATAATAAATTTATAACAAAAAATGTATAAATTATAACAGGGCTTTTCTTTGAAGAAAATCATATCTGTGCTTCTTCTTCCATTTTCTTAAAATATAAAATAAAAAATACTTTATTCATTTTGCTTGATGATCACTGATAAGTCACACGATTTTCATGCGCTCTCGTACCGACCAAACAAATCGTTAAATAAAAATAAGAATAAAAATAGAATAGACTATAGTTTATTAGTAATACAATAAATCATATAATCAAATCAATATATTTAGCTGATAAATATAGAAGCTATAGTTTTGTCCAACTTACGAATAAAATTATTATATTTGAATTATATATTAAAATTATTCGGGGGCAATTGATAAAATTATATTTATGTTGATCGTAAAGTTAATTTTATGATTAATAAGATGAATTTTTTTATATAATATTTCTGATATATGATTATATAAAGAATTGTTTATTGATGAACAAAAGATATATATACGTTTTAACATATATAAATTAAATTAATAGAAATATAGAAGAGTCAGTAAAAATCTTGTGGCAATATATATCATTAAAATTGTAAAATCCGATGAGATTGTAATAACATAAAGAAATCAACATTGGATCAGTCATTTTATTCCTGGAGCGTATGTCAATATAAATGGAGATCAAGGATATTTTATAATATAAAATTTAACTGAATTTATATTTTTACATTACAATAATGTATAACTAAATTATATGTGTAGTATCGAAATTGGGTCTAGTATATCAACAGATACCAAATTTGTTAAGTGGAGAGAGAAAATGAGAGTGCATTAAAGTTGTAGTTGATACCATTTATATAGTAACAATCAAGTATACTCCCAATGCCATGAGAAAGATATCATTTAATTTAATATTAGATGCAATTGTATATATTTTTTATATATTAAATTATATTATCTATAAAAAAGATTTTACGATTAGAAGAAGCACGATTTTAATTTTTTTATATAAATAAATATAAGGAATGTTTTTTAAATAGAAATGTTTTCAGTTAAATAAAAATAAAATATATAAATGACAACAATAAAAGAACAATGACTGAAAAGATAAAATATATGTAGACATAGGTAAGTCATTTACGTTTTAAAGAAAACAGGAAGTTTTCATTTCACAATGTTAACAGTAGTAGTTTACAAGTTATAAAAACTTAAACTAAAAGTAGCAAATGTGAGCCTAGAAAATATTTCTATAATGAACTATGTATAAAAATTAAAATTAAAAATTTTTTAAATTTTTATTATGAATAAATAATAGTAAATATTATTAACACAAGCCATGACAAATAAAATGATTATTTAATATATAAAATTTTGATTATTTTGAACTTTTTGTTGAAAAAATAGGGAAAATATTTTAATATAAATTGAAATATAAAATTCAGAATTAACATAGACCGTTGCAATGTAATGTAACAGCACTATCAATGAACTGTTTAAACCGGAAGAAAAAAAGAAAACTTGGAAAGCGATTTATTTAGGTCACGCCGTAAATTATTTAATTGTTCAATATCTTTGTAAATAATTTATTTTTGTAATTATTTTGATACCTATAATACCAAAACTAAAACTGATCGCAGTACAATTATTATAGTAACTTAAAACTATAAGCATTGTTATAATTAAAAAGTAATGTAAGTTTTTAATTAGTTAAATTAAATGACTTTTATGATTGTCTAAATAAATAATATATTGATTTAATAATTTAATTTTTGTGTATACATTTTTCAATACAAGTGCTTATTCCTGCAAAGCATAGTCTATAATTATTTTATTGTATATTATATGATATATCCCTTTTTTTATAAAATCATATTAATTTTTTTAGTATTTTCAAAGGATTATATATTTAAATAGAAGCCTCCGCAATGAGATTATTTATATTATGAAATTTCAAGAAATACGTTTTAAATTTACATGTTATAAATATATTTATAATGTTTATTTATTTATTATATAAATGCTTATTTGTAGTCATGTTTAATTTAATAAAAATATCTTTTAAGTTTCTAAATCACTATAAACAAATTGATAAATTTGTATTAATATACAAGTTTTATACTTTTGTAAGTTCAATATATTATCGCTTGAATATTTTTATTTATAATAAATTAATAGCTATTGATAATTTTTAAATTAATTTTTAACTTTATTATAAGATTTTTTCATTTGAAACTAAATATTATAAATAAATAAAAATAGAATGTCTTTTAAGACTTCGAATCAGTCCTTATTATTATTAGTACTCAATCAAGAGATTTTACAGCTTTTTAAAAAATCTATTGCATGAAGCAGCTTAATATTATGATCAAGAAATCAGATTATCACTGCTTTTTTTATTATAAACTTGCAGTTATAATCATTTTTGTAGTCATTCTTATACTTTTTACATTTGTAACGCATTTGATTTCATTTCGTTAATTTCATACTGTTGTATATCTCTCTTGATTTTACAATGCTAAATGCGTTGTTGAATAAGACCAAACCTCAATTTTATTACTCTTCTGTTACATTTTTCTTAAAGCATAAGACACCTTCACTCTGTTTTTTGTCATTATACTGCTTAAAAAATATATTATGTTGGATCTTTTACATTTTTACCATATCAGAAATATTTATTTACCCATTTGTTTTTTGAATGTACTAGAAGTATATTGTTTTATTTATCTATCGCTCTAGTATGCGAAATACATACCTCTAGTCTCTTTCCGTTATCGTTCCAATTTATCAACTACAAGCTTAGACGTAGTAGCCTTGTCACCGGTAGAATAATGATTTATGGTGAAAAGGGCAATGATAAATACATGATTATTAATTTCATCGACAAAATTAAATGCATTTTAAAGACATTTAAATAAATTATTTCATGATATCAATAATATCCAATAATGCATAAACTGTAGAATTTGAACCTATACTTCACTTATTAAATCAAATTTTTAATATAGAGTTAAATCTACTATTATACTATTGTAAAATTCGATTTGTTAAAAACCAACTCAGTTAACGTTAAGAAAAAGAATTATTATTACTTCTTGTTCATATACTTTGTAAATCTAAATTTTCATAAAGAATAAATTATCATTTTTCATCACCAGTCTGCAGAATCTAGGGTATAATTGCCATTGTATACGATAAAATATCAAATTAATCAGCAGAAACAATTAGAAAGATTACAGTTGATGATGTAGTCGGAAGCTATATAATTTTAAAACTTAATTTTTAAACTTAGTAATCAATGTTTATTGCATAACAGATATGACTAAAATTATGCAATTTTCAAAATATTATTAAATAATAATGCAATTCAATGTAGTATAATTAATCTTATAATTCAGAAAATATTCTTTTGTACGTGCCATTATTACACGTTTAATGTGTTTACTATGAGTGAACAAATTCAACTCTATATTAGAATTGGGTTTATTCTTGCTATTATTACTGAATCATTTATCATTCATATAAAATTGAAGATTTTCTGAACATCAATATTTTCCTGGAAAATATAGTCATTTTTTTGTACTTAATAATTACATACTTACATAAAGTAAGTAAATATAGACGTAAAAAATTATACAATAAATAAATAAATTGTGTTTTTAAAGTTGACTATACTTAACTATAATCAAATGTACTACTTCAAGAAAATTCTAATTTTTTATTCCTTAATAATTTAAAAAAAATTAATAAAAATATGTAGTAATGATATAAGAGTTATGATACAATTGTTTTTACAATTTTTTTTTTTATTTTGTTTTGAATTATCAATAAAAAAATGAAATTGTAGTTACGGATACTTTCAATTTTAAATTATAAAATCGTTTAAGGTCTAATTTACAATATTGTTATTTTGTTACAAAATTAGTTAGAAATATTTATTATACTCTTTAAATATGTATGTATATATGAAATTGTAAAAACGAAAAAAAGAATAAAAACGTTGTTAAAATATAAATCGATTAATTTATAAAAAATTTTAATCAGAAACTTATAAATTAGTTGTAATTTGTATTTCTAGAAGAATTTTAAATAAAGTATTCAAAAGAATTTTAATTTAGGAAAAAATTAAATTTTTTTCATTTTTTTCACATAAGTATACTTTCGTTACAAATATCTATCAAATATAGTAATAGAATTTAACAATCTAAATAATATTATACCTTAATTATAAATAATAAATAACTTAGGATAAATTAATAAATTATTCTAAGGATAAATTAAATTAGGATAACTCCTAATTTATCCAGTGTTTGAAATTTGGAAGATTTGTTAATTCACTTACATTTCGATAGTAAATTAGAAATGCATTAAATAAATCAGTTATTATCATGAAGCTGATATAAAAATACTTATTAGATCACTGCTATTATTATATGCTTATTGTTCAATATAATTACATAAATCATGATAAAAAATCAATCAATTTATACTATGATGCAGATTACATTCTCTCTGCCTCTCTCCCTCTCTCTCATAAAAACAGAATGTACACAATTTGCTGTTTCCCTTTCCTATGCTCTTTCCTCGTACCTTTTTTTCTACATTTTGTATTTATATTCAATCAATACCTTTTTTTTATTTTCTTTTCCCTTTTTATTCTCATTAGGTTTAATTCAGGCCTTAAGCTTGCACCTAACAAGATAATTCAGCAGTATTATATATTAGCATTCGTAATAGAATTCATATTTTAAATTTTTGTTATGAAATCGAGTTGACGAGAGTATTATGTAGTTGTATTATTTAAATTAAATATAACATTATCAATGAATTAATTAATAAGTAAATTTATAAATAATTTATTAGTACAAAATAATTAAAATAAAATTGTATAATATTTTTAGGTTTTATAGTACAGTAATAAAATAATAGGAATAAATATTTATACAATTTATATCAGCACATAAAGATTTATAAATAATAATTCTTTAAAAACATAAATAATAGTTTAGATGGATTATATTCGTCTTGAAGTCCAACTAGAAGAAACATATTTATACATATGTAAAATAAAAGAACAAATCATTTTTATACTTAATGTTTTATAATCAACTATAAAGTATAAAATTTATTAAAATAACAATTTGCATTATTTATTATATCTTAATTTTATTTAAAATATTAACTAATATAAAATAAGAAAATGAAATCAAATAGATCACAAATTCGTTAAATGGAATAAGATATTAGCTTTCAAACTTAAAAGATATTAAGTAGATATCTCTTATGAGTATTTTTAACATAAGACATTTGTTAAAATATCTAAAGTTTTTGTATCTTGGAAAGCAATCAAACCTCCATCATTAGAAATTTCATTGTCAAAACCAGAGTACTTTATAGTAGCAGTATAACAATCAGAATTATTTATGTACTTTTTAAAATCTAAAATACTACCACCTTGAGATTTTAATATGCAATGAGGAGCACATATATCCCATCGATAAGTTGAACTCTTAGAAAGTACATAAGCAGCAGCTTGGCCCAAAGCAACACTTATAAGCTTGTAACCTGCTCCTGCAACTTCCACAGTCTTAAATTGAGCTTCTTCTAATTTAAGTTTTATACTTGGATCCTCTACTCTACTAATTAGAACTATTTTGTTTGGTGGTTCGTCATTGTTAGGAATTGAGCAGCAAGATATACTATTATCAGAAAATCCCCAATAACACATACCTTTCCACCTTAAAGAAAGAAATCACTTTTACTTTTTTCTACTTCTAATCAATTTCAAATATAAAATATATTTTAATAGTTAGTAATCTGTTATACTATTAATTCTTAGAATAAAATAAACATTAATATTAAAAGAAAATGAATGTATTATACAATTATCTAAAAAGGAATAATTTCAACTAATATTTTATTATAATTGAATTAATATGATGTTATAGAATAAAATAATCAATTTACTATCTTCTATCCTCCTTTTGATATAAAAAAAATAACAATTTTTCTATTTTTTCATTGAAATTTTTCATTAACCTTAACACAAAAGAATATTTTATATTTTTAATGTATTACAGAGTGTAAATACTTACAAGAGTATTATTTTATAGTATCATCAAATTTAACAAAATAATGAACATCTGATTTTTATATTTACTTTGTGCGTGCGTGTGCCCGCACGTGCATGCACATATTGCAACATGTTTAAGAGAGAAATTTTTGTTATAATACTTTTATACTTAATCATTCATAATATTTTAAACCATTGAAGCATAAATATTACATTATATAATAAAAATTATTACACTAAAAGTAGAAAATAAAAACCAATAATTTTAAAACATAATTAAAAAAATAATGATTAACTTCATACAATATTTTCAATTAAAATTGAAGCATGAATTCATATAAATAGTATTCATATAAATAATTGCATTATATTTTCCCATGCTTACTGAGTTTCTATTTGTGAGTAAAATGGTTGATTTACTACTCCTATAACTGGTAGGCCAGAACTTCGACAATAAGCTCCAATAAGTACAGTAACACAACGTAATCCACTCATATGTAGTCCAGTAATTTTATCAATAACTTCTCCTCCATTTATATAATCAGCTGTTGAATCTATTTAGATGTACATACATGTATATAATATACTGTAAGTCAAATGATCTATATGTATATATATTATATCCTTATAATAATAATGTAATATTTTTTAAAAACATTAATTACATGCTTTAATAATATATACCATATGATATTTATTGTTAAAAAACCTAATATATTATTATTCTGATAATTTATTATATATAGATATATAATTTAATTCTAGTTTTAGTAATTGCAGATATATAGATATAATAATATATAATATATCAATTTTTTATACCAATTGGATCAATCCATATTCCAAGGTCTGATATATCAGTTTCAAAATCTGTAGGAATATTTATTGGATCAATTGCAACATCGGTTAAAACTATATTTTTATGTACTTCTTCAGAAAGTAATTCTGCAGTTGTTTGATCATCATCTAAAACTTTTCTTAGAAGTTCAGCAGTTTTTTCTGAACTAGAACAAATTTTAACAATAATTGTCTCTCCCAAAGTATTACTAAAAACATTGTTTTCTTCTCCTTTAACTGCATCAGCTAGTTCTGGAAACTGATATTGCTTATACACATTTTTATTGTCTCAAGTTTTCTGAAAATTTAAATAAAAGTAACTACCTCTAATCCAATATCATGTCTAATTGTTTCTTGTATGAGAACATCGGCTAATGTCTTAAAATCTTGAAAAAATCGTGGATTTTTTTCCTGTGCTGACTTTTCTTGAATAAGCAATGTAAATAATGCCTTGTTTTGTCTACAAATTCGTGCAATATTTGCTGCTTTTTCAGATACTTTTAGTAATACTCTTAAAAGTCGACTACCGTCCTTCATTTTAAAAAATATTATTTCTTTCTAAAAAGTAAAAAATGTCTAATATTTGACTATTTCAATTTAGTGTTCGATTTTAGAACTAAAGCTTACAAAGAATCCATATGAAGATAACTCTTGAATAGCATTAATATAATTCCATTAGTAATATCAAATCCTATTATTAACTACATCAAAATACTATTGTTATTCAAAATCGCACTCATACAATAATTGAAAAGGTTATATTATACATTCCATTCATACCTTTTCATATTTATATAGAAATTTTAGAATTCAAATAAATTTTTTGGAGTTCATATAATAGCAGAAACATTTTAATACTCCTTTCTCGTTACTATACAAAAAATCTATGCAATGTGTTTATACAAAGCAAAATAATATTTACCTTTATAAAAATTCTTCCTTGTCAAATAGATTTGATAAATGTCAAAACAAGATAAACGCAAACCACTCGCCACGATACGACGATAACAAATACGTAATATAGACGATGTATCGATTGTTAAATATTCTGCTACTTTTTTTCTGTTCTACATTATCTATCGCCATCTACGATCTTATGGGTCACTAGGTTAAACTTTACAAGCATCATTGTACCAAATATATACAATCAATAATTAATTATAATTAGAAATAAGTTGAAAATATTTCTAAAAATGTGAATTCTTTAAAATAATTGTCGAACATTTTTTTATTTCAAATTTGAATGAAGTCTTATTAAATTTGATTCTAAAGATCGAATTAAGTGTATATAAAACAGTTTTGTAAATATTTTAGAAAGATTCATCTTTAGCATATTTCAAATATTGTGAAATTCATTAAGTTACAAATTTACAAATTAAAGTTTATATAAAATTTTATTTTATATAAAGTTATTTAGTTTATATAAAGTTTATATTAAATTTCAATTTAAAATGACAGCAATTTTAGGTGGAGGAATATCGGGCTTAAGTGCAGCATATTATTGTCTTGAAAATTCAAAAATTGGGTCTGTTGCTCTTTATGAATCATCAAAGCATCTTGGAGGATGGATTAAAAGTATAACAACACCTAGTGGAGTAATATTTGAAAAAGGTCCACGAACTATTCGATTAGGAAATAAAGCAGCGCAAAATACTTTAATGTTAATTGAAAAACTAAATTTAAATTCTAAAATTATACCAATTAAATGGAACCATCCAGCATATTCTAATAGATTAATTTATGCAAATGAAACATTACATGTTTTACCAAATAATGTTACAAACTTATTTAAAATTCAGGAACCATTTAATCGACGTTTAATTTCAATAGCATGGAATGAAGTTAGAGTTCCAAAAGAAATAAATGAAGATGAGAGTATATATAGTTTTACAGAAAGAAGATTAGGAAAAGATGTTGCTGATTTTTTAATTAGTCCACTTATTTCTGGAATTTGTGCAGGAAATGCTAAAGAAATAAGTGTAAAATTTTTAATGAAAAATGGTTTTGAATACGAACAAAAATACGGTTCAATAACGAAAGGTATTGTTTTAAACTTAATGAGGCATCTTTTGTCAAATTTTAAAACAAATAGTCATAAAGAGAAAGAATTGACAACTGATTTAATTAATAGAGCTAAAGTTGAAAAATGGTTTGCATGGGGCCTACATGGTGGACTTGAACAATTACCCATAGCTTTAAAAAATAACTTAAACTCTAATTCTAATATTAAAATTTATAAGAACACACCATGTGAACAATTGACTTTTAAACCGGGTGTGGCAGAATTATTAACTAATGGTAAAGTTGAAAAATATTGCAAAGTAATTTCTAGCATTTCAGCAAAAAGTCTTGCTCCATTGTTAGAAAAACAGCATCCACAATTGGCGCAAGAAATTAAAACAATACCATTTGTAACTGTAGCTGTTGTTAATCTCCGTTATTCTGAAAATATTTTACCACTTGAAGCTTTTGGATTGCTTGTACCACCAAATGAAAACTTACCAATATTGGGAATTGTGTTTGATTCTAGTATATTTAAAAAGGATTCGAGCACGGTAAATAATTAAAACTGTAACATGTTTTGATAAGTCATATATTAACCATAAAAAAGAATAATTTGAGAATTTTTAAATAATACATTGATAATTTTAAAAAAAGTATATTTTCTTAAAATGGCACATATAATACTTCTATGATAAAAATATCATTTTGCAGGTACTGACAGTTATGATGGGAGGTGTATGGTTTGATAAATACTTTGGTGATAATCCAACAAATGAACACTTCTTGTCGACAGCAGTGAATCAAACAAAAAGTATACTTAATATGAAAAAGGATCCAGTAGAGTATGATGTAACTGTGTTGAAGGACTGCATCCCACAATATGTTGTTGGTCATTATCAAAAAGTACAACGGATTCAAAACTATATATCAGCACATAAAATACCCTTGGCACTTTGTGGTTCATCATTTGATGGAATTGGTTTGAATGATGTTATTCTGTCGGCAAAAAAGGCCGTTTCTCACATTGCTTAGTGATTTGGCCTTTTACTTAAAGCTCAGGTTCCATGCTCACATGCATTATGTAACATGATGTCTTGCAAATAATTATTCTAAGCTTAAAACAATGGAAATAAATTTCTGGGCAAACCTCTTTTTAAAATTCAAAATTATTTGTAAAATATATGTTATAATAAATAAGAATACTGTTATATTACATCAATGTTATACAATAATTTTTAAATAATAATTTTTTTACGTATAAATTTCTAGAGTATTTTATACACAAAAGAATAAAAAATAATAAAAATTTTTATAAATAACTATTAAATCTTATCTAACAATTTTAACAATTAATCATGCTTAAGTAATATTTAACATGCATTTTATTTTTCTTCGGTATAAACTTAATACTAAACTTTGTCACACAAAGTTAATTAATGCATTATAGACTATTAAGAAATTTCATTATTAAGAAAATAATTAACACAACTACATCAATTTATATTTTTTTTATTGAGTAACGTTACCTGCATATTTAACTTCATCAAAAGCTTTTCTTGCTTTCTTCAATTCTTCATTCATAGTTAGGAGATCCTTTACTCTAGCATATTTTCGAGGATCTTTTCTTACTAAAATAAAAAGACAATCATTCTTTTATAATTATTTACAAATTAATAAAAATGAATAAGACGATTTCTGATTATGGTTGATAAAAAAATTTTTACCTAAAAACACAATATCCTCTACCTGAACTCTTCCAGTTCTCCCTATTTCCATAGCACGATGAGTCATTTCTGTGATATATTCTATTACAAGATCCTCAAGTAAATCAACACTTTCTGTATATGGATTTTGATCATCACCAAAACCGTACATCATACAACGAAGTTCTTTTGAGAAAAGTCTTTTTTTTCCACTAGTTAAAGTGCCCCCGATAGGAATTTCACTCTCCTCATCTTCAAACTGAAAAACATAACACAAAATATAAAAATATATTTGAATTTCATATTTTCAAATATTAGTGTTAAAATACAATAAAGTTCTTCTAATTCCTAAAAACGAAATATTTCACAAAATATCTAATTAATTTTTTATCCGAAATTGTTTAAAATAATTCATTTATTTTATTTTTAAAAAATAATTGCAATTCATTGCTATACCTAATAGAAAATTAATATACTATATTAATAATAAATTAAAACTTTAATTAACATGATATTTTTTTAGAATGAATGAAACTTCACAATTTTCAAAAAAACAATGAAAAACTATTGAATGGGAAACATTTAAAATGATTATAGGTTAGGTATGATTATTCTACCTGTTCGAAAGTTTCCTCTTGTGCCATTTCTTTCCTTTTATAAAAGAAAAATTTGTACTACAAAATAATATCTGAGAATAAAACGTTTTCCCAAGATGTAGACTTAATCAAATAAGTCTTTATGCCCACTAAAAACAGTTAGGATAAATAATTTAAATTGTACTTTGAATTATATTTAATGATAGAAATATAAATACAGAAGCATTGCAAAATGCGACTCAACAATGCTAGACACTGCTCGATGTTCCATTTCACAGTGCGTCAACCAACTGTTAATATGTCATGACTTAGTTGCAGCGGCGTCTTCAGATGGCACTGCCGCGATGATTGAACCTTCTGCTATAGCAGCCGATTAAGAAGCTATTTAACAAAAACACAACAAAACCTATTTAATTGTTAGCTCCTATCTTATAAAAGGATGAATTCTCGTAATTTATACGTTATATATTATTAGATATTCTTACTTTTCTTTTCAATAACGAAATATTTTTTATTACATAGTAATAGGTACTTGCAAGATCTACAAGTCTTATTCAGTATATTTTCCATTGGTTAGATTGACTGTTATTTCAAATTTTTCGTACTTTTACTATCATTGAAAATTTAGTTCACAATTTACTTATTAGCATGAATCTAACTAAATACCGCTGCTCCGAATAAGTGAAAAACAGTGATATTCAAAAGAAAAATATAAAGTTGATGAAAAGAAAAATCAATAAGTTGACGTGACTGAAGGATGATACAAAGAAGAAGTAAGGCTCGTAGCATAAACAGCTATTTTCATATATGACATTGTTACGAAGATACAGGAAATTTTCAAAATTTAATCAGAGCGATATTTCAGAACAAAGAAAAACGTGCTGTATAAAAAATTGATGAAAATATATTGGTAAGTATGCGTGATATTTCCACAGCAATCTTTAAACAATGCACGCATATATATATATATATATATATATATATATATATATATATATATATAATATATAATATATATTAGTGTGTGCGCGCGCGCGTGCGAGTTGTGTGCACGCACGCTTGTAAATATATAAATATATATTGCAACGAGATTTCTTGCACAGCTTTCTTTATATATTAAATCACCAAACAAACCTAGATAGTGTAATTAACAAAAAAAAAAATAATAATACAAACTAATTGTACTAGTAGTTACACACTTTTATAATTTCTGTTTTATGTTTGTAAATGTTTTTCAATACAGAAGTATTAATCTTTATTAACTACAATATTATATTACATCTATTTAGTTTCATTTAGAAAATATTAAACCTTTCTAAAACTACTTTTAATTTTCAGGTTGAAAATGACGCATTAAAAAGATTGTATAATACAATTAAGATAGATATAGTTATGCCTATTCTTGATAAAAAAATATATGGAAAAAGATTCCAATCAAAAGCAACATACGATAACACTTGACCAAGTGTCAAATCTCACGTTTTCCATTTTACAACAGATATTCTTTATCGAATCTATTTATTTATTTCTTCGACTTTTTATCATATTATAATTATAAAAGAAAACTAGATAAATACTAGATAATACATGCTGTGTACATAATAAAATGAAAAATATCTATTATAGTTAAAATTTAGTTAACAAAATTTTTATCAATTTGAACATAGGTAATTAAAAATCTATTTTTCAAATAAATACTTCAAGAATTAAATAGAAATATCATATTTTATTTGAAATAATCTATAAAATTTAAATATATTAATATTTTCTATTAGAAATTAACTGTAAAATATATATTTTCTTTATTATAAAATTCTATATATTCAATTACTTCAATATCAGTAGAATTATATAAATTACATGATAAAATATTTGTTTATTCTATATTACAATATATGTTACATTCATTTTGCATTTTTAAATTTTAAATATTCGTATAAATTATTATTAAATTAAAAAGCATAAAATTTATATCGTTTTTTATAAGATAGATTTTTATTTTCTGTGTCTAAAATTATAGTTTTCTAAAATATAATGTGCTGAAAAGTAGAAAATAAAAAAAAGTATATTGTATATTTTTACAGTATATCATCCTGCAAATAGTCATTTTAGTAAAAATATTTGATGAAGTTGTAAAAATGATAGAAAACTAGCTGCTTAAAACGATTGTTTTGATATTTCAACAAAGTATACGTGATTGTAAATAAGGAGGAAAGTATTGGCCAATTGTGCTTGCAGCTTGATATATAAGCTGACTAATAAGAAAATTCGATTTACTAAGATGACAGTTCTTCAACGGCGTACAGACGTCGACAGCATACATATTTGCGTTGATGACAATAAAAAGGATTGTTTAACATACAGATGTAATTATTGGACAAATCACAATTCCTGGTCGGAAGACATCGAAAATGCAGCACCAAACAAAATATTTGAACAGTGGCGCATTGTTGAGCGTACACTCTTTAATGAGCAGGACCAATTATCGGTAGGATTACTTTTTGATGAATGTGTGCAGTGGAGAAATCAATTGAGTCAGTTTAGAATCCTTGGTCGGAACATTTTAAAGGAAGGAAATAAAACGAGCAAAGCTGTGTGCGATAAAAGAAATTCAAGAATAATAAACGCGAGCAACAAGAAGAATGCTTACGGCACCAATCTTTGTAGTTATAAGTATGATTGTTCTGTGAAGGTCAGTATTTTTTGAATATTTTTTTACTGTATTTAGCTTCAGATATCTAACGGTAACTATTTACTTACAATTTTTGGAAAATCTTACAAAAATTTTAACAAAAACTGCAATGATGATATACAATTTTGAATAGTTTTGTTTTGGTTATTGATCGTGTAGTTCATATAACAATTATTTAAGCAAATTTGGACTTTAGTATATATATATATATATATATATATATATATATATATATATATATATATATATATATATATGTATATACATATATATATACTTGAGTATCTTTAGTCATATAATTTTTATTTATTATGTTATATTTCATTATTTTGTAGTCAAAAATTATTTTGGCTTGAGTTATTGATAGGCAAATAATCATTGCATTCTCGAGAGGTAGCACCGTAAATTTTAATATATATTGAAAAGAAATTGCATTATGCTTTCATTTATGATAATAAAACATTAGTTATTTAGTTATTTAGTAACTTTAGAAATAAATACTGCTATAACATTTAATATGTAAAAGGGCTTAATATAACAAAATTATTGTTCGATTATTAAAGCACTAGTCGTATTTATAATAATGACACTCTGAATGATGATAATTGCAACAATATAGCTATCAGAAAAAAATTCGAATTTAGACAAATTAACTTAAAAATAAAATCTAAGTATCTGATTGTGAATGTATTACATCGTTAATTTTTCTTCGTCATTTGAAATAATAAAAATATAAAAATAAAAATATCTTTGTACATAAACAAAATCAAGTCAATGAAGTTAAACGCTCTGCAAATTACTTTCAAAGAATTAAATTTGTAACCCGTACTGATGATTATATTTTTAATAAACTCAAAAAATAGATCTATTATATTCATAACTATATTAAGTGATTGAGTACTTGTAGTGTATTTAATTATATGAATAATAAATTTTTCGTTAAATATAATATTTTTAAATACAATCATAAAAAGTTTTGTTTTCTTTAAAATAGATTAAATGATGAATAATAATAAATAATATACTACTTAATAAATCAATAAGTACATTCAGAAACTATTGGAAAATAGTCAAGTATATAATATGATTTTTTCAAAATACATAAAAAAATATGAATTTAAAATCCTCTCCCTTATAGAATATTTATATATTTATCATTTAATTTTAATCTTGATGAAATTAATTTATTTCTATAACTAATAAGATAAATATAATACACCAAAAAGCATCAAAATAAATTTATAAAAAAATCTGTTTATTTTAAAATTAATTTAAAAAATTCGTTTAAAATTATGCCACATTAGTTACAACTACATATATATTTATCAAAGCTATTCATATTTTTTATTTTTAAACAATTTCTATTCATTTCTTTAGATAATCATTAAAAAAATGTATTTTTTACAACAATTTACTTAAACTTTATTTAGTTTTTTAATTTAAAAAAACTTTATTATCTCATTTTCAGTCAAATCGAAATCAATGTAAAGATAAAATTATTGATATTATTATTGATTTCATTTGTAAAGAAATATCTGAAATACAAATGACAAAAAAAGTCGATAATTTTAATGATAATTATCATGAATTTTTGAAAATTGTACCTGCGCCAATATATACTAAAAAAAACCCTCTTGTTAAGAACTATTTTTACCACAACAATGAGAGAACTAATACACTAGCAAAAGGTAAACGTCAAAAAAAGAAAGAAGTGGAAAAACCTAATTACCAGGATACACAAATTCGAAGAAATAGATTAGGCACTGTTTTCAACGAAAAGATCATCGTTAGTCCAGTACCATTTATCTCTACAACGAAAAAAAGTTTTTCTACTCTTAGTAACGCTCCAGTTCACTTTGTAATAGAAAATCAGAATTTTTCTAATAGTAATCGCTCTCGTGAGTTACTTATATAAATATTTTAAAATACACTAGAACTAATATATATTAATTAAGAATAATTTATAAATATTTCCTTCAAATTTAATAAGTATAAAATTATTAAAAATAATTTTTTTATTAAATAAGTGGAATTAAAATAATGCCTATTATTATATTCATATCTTATATTCAATAATTTATATTATTAGATTATAATTTTAAGTCTACATAGAATTCCTCATATATAATAAATATATTAAATGTAATTGTTTTAGCTATGAAGAAAGATAATACAAAGCAAATATTATCTCAAAGAAGAAAAACATCCTTGTTATCAAAGCCACAAATTCAAACATGGAATACATCAGGATATCCTACAATTTTACCGAAAAATGTTAAACTTTCTCCGATAGATACTACAAGATTATCAAGTAATAATCGAAGGTAGATTTAACCTTAATATTGACCTATTTATGGAGTAATATATATGATATAGATTATATGTAAAATTTAAACATATTTAATATAACTTTACAATTGAAAATGTATCAATTTAGAATATTAATAAAAAATTAAATACTCAAAAATTTTATTTAAATTTATCATAGCTATACCATATCGTCATTATACTTAAAAATACTTTTACAGTATTTTATATATTTTAAAAATTACTATTGTTATGAAAAATAAATATTTATTATATTTAATTTGTATATTTTATACATTAAGAAATGATGGTTTCATTTGCATTATTTCTTAAAATAAAAATTTGCATTGCAAATGTTTTGATATGACTTATAAAATTAGCTAAATAAATTTATTTGGCCTTTTCATTTATATAATTCACATATTTAATAAAAATTTTAATAATACCATATAAAGTTGTATTAATAATAAATGAGTTTATTTAAATGGTGTTACGTATTAATTGTTATAGAATGAAATAACAGTTTCTGTTTTATTTACAGAATAAAAATTGAATTCGTTAATTTACTAGTTAGATAGATAAAATGATAGATAAAAATTTAAGTTAGATAAATAGACGAATAAGCAGTTACATAAAGAAGAATGAAGTGATGGAGCGTACGACGGGGGGGGGGGGGCTTCGTAATTTAAATATGTTTTAATATAAGAAAAGATCACCAGATAAAAATGATTGAAATTTAATAAGTAGCACAAAAGACTGTAAGAACTCGACTAAACCCGTCCACCATGAGAAATGCATTTATATATTAATAATGTATTCAAATTTTTTATGTCGGGTTCTTTCCTATATTGTTTTATGATAATATTATATTTATATCTAATATTCTTAATTGGTGTTTAATTCAAATATATTCATAATATTATATAAAACGTACAATTAAATAATATTTTTAATGAAGCTATAAATATATAAATAAATATGAATTTCTAATATAATTCAATGTATCTCATTAATATAATTAATTAATTGATTAATTAAATTAAAATAATAATATTCAATCATTTTTATACTACTCATACTAAATTTAAAGCTATTTATATTATTATTTAATTTATTGGATTTCCGTAACTAAAAAATATTTAAATCTATTTTATTATACAATAAGAGTCTATAAATTAATTTTTTTATTAATAATAGTTTATTTTTATTTTATTTATTAATAATTTTATTTTATTAATAATTTTACTAAAGTAAAATGTTAAACTTATAATATGAACTATATTTATCACGAACATACGATAAGTCATAATATCGGTATTAAACTTACTTACAATTAAGTATTATTTATTTTTATAATATAAAATAATTTAAAATATATTAACTGATAATGTATAGAATACTGGTATAATAATGTCGATTTTTGAACATCAATATAAATGAAATTTTGAAGTAAAATATTATTCATGCTTATATCGACTTGTAGTGGTTGTAATTAATATTCGTTTTATAACATAAATGTGAGTTCACTTTATGAATTATTATCAATACATATGTTAAAATTATAATAAAAATATTCAATTATACTAATTCAATTATACTAATAATTTTACTATTACTTCAATCATTCTAATAATATTAATTAATGTAATTAGTTTTCCTTGTATTTTACAATAAAGACTAACATTCCTATCGATTTTTAAATGAAAAAATATATGCATTTAATTTTCCTACGAGAAAAGTTTATCAGCAAAGTGTCGGTAACATGAGAAACTTACTTTACATAAAAACTACTCTTTTCTCGTTCGGAAATACCTATGTAATATACATGTCACAGCTCAATGACTTTATAATATCGAAAAAAGTATTATTTGACTTTAAAAGTATTATTTTTTTAAATTTTTGTAATAACCTAAATAATAGATTTAGTATTAGCTCAAAGCTTATTTAAGTGGGTTACTTCTTTTTAAAAAATTAAATTCTTTAAATTCAAATTTAAAAATCTATTTGTGCATCATTAAAACCACTATTATTATTAAGACATCCTTAGTAATAAAAATTGTGTTTGTTCGTCTATTTTCGAAAAATGTTAATTTGTTTAAATTTCTGAGTTTTTATTCATAATTCATAAGTTTTTACCAGAAAATATTCAAAACTTCCTTAATTTTTTACCTCAGACGTAATAAAAAATGAATATTGTAATTTTTTACATACGTACATTAACTATAATGAAAAATTGAATTATTAATCCATATTTTCGTTTAATTCAATATTATGAGAAACTTTTATTATGAGATATTTTTGTATGATATTTTAAGTTTTATACAAATCCATTATTCACAAAATCTGTTATCTAATATAACTCAAATGGAAACTTATTTTCACTTTTTTTTCAATACAAATTAATAGTATTCATATAACGATTTATTCCGTTATTATTATTTTAGTATAGTTCTTACGTAATCGTGCACATTTAAATTCATACATTGTTTGCTTTTCTATTATTTCTATTGACATATTCATAATAAAATAAGAAATTACACAAAATACAGTTATCATGTTGACTCAATAGAATTTTAATTGTTTTTCACCAATTTTTATATAAATTGACCGTCTAATAACTAATCAAAATTAAATTACACGTACTAAATGATTTAATTTAATTTACGATTTAATTTAACTAAATGATTAAATTACACATACTAATGACTGGTTATTTAAATAAAATATAAATATAAGTTAAATATACTTGTATATATTAAACTATATATTTGAAATATATTGTTTATATTTACATAAACATTTTTAATAGTTTTTTTTCTATTAATATGGCAAAAATAATAACACAATAATTACTCGTTTCAGACTAACCAAAATTGCAGAAATCTTACCTTCCCGTTCTAATCGCAACTCTTTGAGTCCAATTCTGAACTCAGTGCAATCAACTTTTCATAACTATGTACAATACGACAGTCATAACTCAAGCCTAGAAATCCATGGCTCAAATACAATGGCGCAAGTACCACAAGTTGAGAATATATCAACAAAGGAAATTTCAACATGTTTAAAACGCAGTGATGCTCATTATCTTTTATGATATTCGTTTTTATTTGATTAAAATTAACATACGTAACTTTTCCATCAGTTCATAAATAAATACCGAATATATTTTTTATTTAATGTTAATTTTTATATTACTTATTTGATAACAGCTAAGCCGACTCTATATAACATACATCTACGCGCTTATGTGTAAGTATTTATCAATTAATTACATTATTATTACAAAGCATTAATAATGGAAGTTTGATATTCTCTAAGTACATATATATTTTTTGATAATAATATAATTTGATTTGTATTTGGACTCATTTGGACTACACGACTCATTTGAAAATAATAACTAGTTATTTTTTAGAAAATCTTTACATGTTTCTATTGTAATTAAATATTATTAAATTTATGCTTTTCAAATAATTTTAATGCTATTTAGATGTGATTTAAAAAAGGTAAAAGCAAGTGTTTGAAAGAAAGGCATTTTAAAAAATTAATATAAAGAAAATTTATGTATTAAAGATCAAGATAATATTTAGTGCATCGCATACATAAAAATTATGAATACACATGAATACGAACAAATTATATTTCTCATTCGTACCGATACTTATGTATAATTAAAAATGTATGATATAAAATGTTCTATCACAAAAAAAACTTTGTTATGTACTATTGCATGTATATAATATGAAAATATACATAACATTATTAAATGTAAAACATTTTTTTTATATAAAATTTTTCAAAATATATCATATATGAAAAAGATATTTTCAAAATTTATAAATAAGAAAGCAAAATTGTACTTACGAACAAAATGTATTGTATAATTATAGAACATTCAAAAATGCAAAATATAAATGTATTCTCTTCAAAGTAAATAGACTTTTATTTTACATTTATTTTCAACCACATGTATATTGTATTATATTTTATAAATATTTTGTATTTTAAAGTTTAATTATAATTAAATATAATTAAAGCTTATTTTATGAAGATATAATGTATACAGAAAAATTAATTAACTTATAAATTAAAGTTACATTCATATTAATTTTTTATTTTGCATAAAATTCAGTAAAATTAAAAAGCTAATGTTAATTAATTAAAATAATTAAAATTAAAATTAAAAATTAAAAATTAAAATTAATTTTTTTCTTATTTTAAAAATTACTCATATACATGATACTGTAAATTCATTCTAACGTTTATAAGCTTTTCAATCATAATCACTTTTATTTATATATTCAATTGCCATGTAATTACTTTTATATCAATATACTTTTATATAATTTTGTAACGAATATTATAAAACTTTATATCTTTTTAATCTAATATTACTTATTTCTTTTCTAACGTATACATTTTGAATTATAGTATAATGTTGAGTATTTAAAAATATTATTAAAAATATGTCTTCAATATAAAAAATCAAATTATACAGTGATTATGCATTCGCAAGTTAATATTTTTGACATAAGATAATAAACATTAAAAGAGTTAGTTGTTCTTCAGATCTTGTAAATGCAACTGTAACCTACCCTAAAGCAAATGGTAATTAGTTTTTTGAATATCAATAGTATCATTTGGCCTTTACATTATATTATTTATTTTTATAAACATATTGTTATTGTAACGAAATTGGATAAAATAAAATACAAAGTATAAAACAATTTAAATTAATACATGTAATGAACAAAAACTAAAGGTTACTTTAAATATATTTAATTCAATTTAGATTTATGTATTTTATGTATGTGTATATATATTTTCTAGCTATGTCATGATATATTATAGATTGCCTAACAGCCTGAGAAGGCTTGGTTTGACTTATTATAACTTATTCAATGGTTATACTTTCTTTTCCCTTCTTGTATGTGACTGAAGGATTCATTAAATATAATTTATTTTTAAATACTTTGTAATATAATAGATTGCCTTCAAATAATATTAAGAAAGACTTCTGTTTAAGTGTTATTATATAGAGTAATTTTATATTTGAAAAATAGATATGAATCTTTCTGTAATATTTTTAAATAATAATGCAGTCTACTTGATTATTGTTTTAGTTATTGATTTTACCTTATAATTAATTGTTCCATTTAATAAATATGTGAAAAAGAATGTGAAAAATTTAAATAATCAATTTACTACTATTGCTTTGTTTTCTTTTAGATTATATGCATTGATAATATATAAATAAAAACTGTATAAAATTAATTAGTGATATAGTTCATTGAATAATTTAAGAACGTAATTAATTAAACTAGAACCGCATCACTTTTCAGCATATTATATACTATTTGATTAGAACATTGAATACTAAAATATTAAATTGAGTTTACTAAATGTTTAGTTACAATTTATTCAATTCACTTATTATAATATTCAAAACCAGATTAAATCATAAAAAAATGTTTGAAACCATAGATTTATATGGAATCGATACTAAATTGTCATAATCTATACATTTTAGTTTCGTTTTATTTAACTAATTTTTTAGAAAACTGAAATATGTGAATTAAAATTGTAATATTTTCTTCTTTCATGAATGGAATTGCCCCTTTAAGTGATGCACAGTCTTATACGTAAAGTTTTTTAAAATTTATTTTTATTATTTTTACTCATTATTTTAACAATATTTAATAAATGAAAGCATTAGATAAGCATAAACGACATAACTATAAAGGAGAGTAAAAAGATACAAAAATAGATTTGAAATGAATAAAATATACATTCATTTTTGTTTAAATACGTATGACTGAGATATAGCATATCGAATAGATTCATAATAAATGCTATAACTGATGTGGTAAACAGTTTTTAAACTAAATTTCTAAAATTTCTAATTTCTTAAATATTAAAACCAAAATTGCCCATTGTATATGTGTGATTTATATGCATTACTTGTTTTATTCTCACTAATAAAGTCATGTTTGTTTATATATTTCAACACATGTATATAATAATTATATATCTGAAGTGAAATTAAACAAAAATATGAAATTTCCAGATACAATTAATACAATTAAAAGAAAAAATTGAAAAAATAATTAAAAAATATATATTTATACAATAAAGTCATCAAATAATTATAAATTATTTAATATTAATTTTAAAAAATTAGTAGATAATTAGTTAAAAATTTAACTTAATGCATAATTATTTGATAAAGTATAATATTCAATTATTAAAAAATATGTTAAGAAAAATATAAGTAGAATATACAAGCTTTAAATGTATTCGAAATACAAAGTACAAAATATTTTATTTAACTAAACTTGTATTATACTAAATTCTATTTACATTGAAATACTTTATAAGTATAAATGAAATTGATTTTTTTTAATTTAAAAATAATTTACTTAATTATAATTAAATAACAAATGTGTTTAATTAATTAATCTTAATATTGGGAATATATTCTTTTTTATTTGATTCATTAATAAATATATTTAATTTTGTAATCGTCGCAAATCATATGATATTGAATAGAATCCACACACGCGCACACGCACATGTGTGTGTGTGTGTGTGTGTGTGCACTTAAAATTATATTTCGAATAACATTTGGGATACATTATCACAATTAACTACTGAACTTTACTCTTTATTTTTTCACTTTTTACTTACAGCCATTATACTAATCATCTTTTGGAAGATTCACAGATCTTATGTAACTGGAACAAGTTAAAATTTTTCCAGTATACAGCAGACCAATCTACAGTAAACAACAAGCGTTTAGATTACTAAGCAAAAGTATTTAAATTCTTCGTTATGAACATTAGTTTTGATGGTAAGCGTGTTCTTGTCACAGGAGCAAGTAGAGGTATTATATATTAATATACATAATAATTATAGTTTATTTTAATAATATTGCAATTAAAAAAAAATTTGTATATGTTTAATTATTCTATATAAATATTTGTAAAAATATATTTTAATAAAATCATCTTTAAAAAACAATAGAAAATTGTAATTAATAATATAAAATTAAAAGCCCTTTACACTATTATTAGAATTTGTCAATAATATCGTAATAATTTAAACAATAAATATAAATATAATACATTCAATAACTTTTTAATAATTAGGAATTGGAAAAAATTTGGCTTTACGTTTATCAAAATATAATGCAACAGTTATAGCATTATCTAAAACAAAAAAGTACCTTGATATCTTAACCAAACAAGAACCAAATATTCAAACTATCTGTGTAGACTTACGTAATTGGCAGGAAACTCGACAGGCAATAAAAAATATTTTACCAATTGATTTATTGGTCAATAATGCTGGCGTAGCGTGTTTAAATCCATTTCTTTCTGTCACGCCAGAAGACTGCGATTTAACTTTTGATGTTAACATAAAATCCATTATTAATGTTTCACAAGTAGTAGTTGAAAATATGATAGAAAGAAAAGTCGCAGGAAGTATTGTTAATGTATCATCCCAAGCAAGCTGTTGCGCACTAAATGATCATGCAGTTTATAGTGCCTCTAAGGGAGCAGTTGATATATTAACAAAGTAAATAGAAATATATTAAATAATTAATAATAATAATAAATTAGTTAAGTTCTAATAGAAAATTATACAATTAATGTATGTATAATTTTCTATACACACGATTAAGTTTATTCATTTGTTATTATTCATTTATTTGATTTCTTAGAACTATGGCATTAGAACTTGGCTCTCATAAAATTCGAGTAAATACTGTAAATCCAACTGTAACTATGACGGATATGGGAAAACTTGGCTGGAGTGATGAAACAAAAGCTCAACAAATGCTAAATAAAATACCATTAGGTCGATTTGCAGGTGAGATTTCTTTATTAAAGAATAAGATGTTAAACGTGTATAAAAATAAAAGTTGGAGATAAAGAAACAACTAAGAATTATATAAAATAATATAATCAAATGTAATATAATAATATCCTTTTTTACTTCAAATAACGTATAGATGCATTAAAAATTATATAAAAAAAACATCGTTTCAAAATAAAATTAATTTTTGCTTTAATGTTTATTTTTAATTTAGTGATAAAATATATAAATGTGTTATAACTGAATAATTATATTAATTATTACTTGATAATATGAACGTTTGTATGAAATTTTAACTTGCACTTAAAGTAAATGCTTAAATTACTAAATAAAAAATTTCCTATGCATATACATATATAAATACATATATACACGTTTAACGTCAAAATAATAATATAGGCAATAACAGCTCAAAAAATTAAATTTAAAGAAAAATTAATTGATAATTGAAAAAATAATTATACTATTTCATATACTGACTATTTCATGTAATTAAAAATAATTTATTTTTATAAAGTGTAACATTTTAATGTGTTATTCCATTATTATTCAATTTCTTTAGTATTTATTTCTTATATAATATCTTATAATGAGTTACGAGATAAACAAAATTTTTCATTGAACTATAATAAAATTATCTTATTACAATCAAATCCTATATTTATCAAAATTTTATAATTTAAATACTTATAATTTATCTAACAATATTGCCACTAATAATAATATTATTAATGTTCACTATCTATTACAAATCTACAAATTTTCATTAATATTTAATGAATATATTTATATATGTTGCTGAAAATAATTGTAATAATAATAATAGTATTTACATTTAAATTAAAAAAAGAAAAGTAATTTTTCATAAACAAATTTTTTCATAGAAAAATCAATTCTAAATAATATTTTTATAAAGCAAATAAATATTACTAATCTTAATTTATATAATTCAAGTATGTTTAAAACTAATCTATTTCATAATATATATAATAACATTATGAGCATGAAAAGTAAATACTTTAAATTTTTTTATTTTATTCTAAAATATATATTAAAATGTATTAATAAAAATTAGATTAAAATTTTCATAGCGTTTCTTAATATATAATCTTCTCCTGTAAGTTAATAACAATATTGTAAACCTAATCGTAAATATTGATAAACCATTTTTAAAAATATGCTTTCCATAGAATAAATAAAATTTCAAAATTTTGTAAGCTTATATGGTAAAATTCAGATTTAGTTTAAACGAAATTCAATTTTCTTTATTCTTTATTATAATTATCATTAAAATTAATATACACAAAAAATTTCTATTTTACTTAATAATACTTTAAGTAGTATAAGCTTTATTATATACATATATATATATATATATATATATATATATATATATATATATATATATATATATATATATATATGTGTGTGTATTTAATTTTTTTAATAATTATAATATTATATATATAAAAAAGTAAAGTATTAGAACAAATTAAAATTGTAGTTTTTATTTTAGTTTTTAGTTAGTTTATGTTAGTTTCTAAAAATATTTTATTTCAAACTCTTTTATACATAAAAATTTTTTTTTTCTTTTAGAAGTGGATGAAGTAACTGATGCTATAATATTTCTTTTAAGCAATCACAGTTCTATGATAACTGGTGCTAATATTCCAGTCGATGGTGGCTTTCTCGCTACATAATTGAAGAATTAGCAATATTTTCTATATGTTATTATAAAAGAATGTGTGTGAATACATTATGTATAAACTATTCACTAATAGATGAATTTTTTATATTTTAAAATTAATTGAAAGATGATGTTACATTTATATGAACTTTTGAGTTTGTATTTTTAATTTTTCTAATATACATGTTAGAATCTTTTTCGAACTTTATAAACATTCGATAGTTGCATCATATGTAAGACTGAGACCATAACAGAAAATTAAGTATATTATTAACACAACGTTTAAGTTATGGATCAGTGAGAATCCATATATTATACAGATTTCCATGATATAATAATTATATATGTAATAGTATTGAAGCTAAAAAAATTTTTATGTAGTTCAGTAAACGTTACCTTTTGATTTAAATTAAAGCGCTAACCGTTAACATTTGATTTTTATTTTTAGTTTTTTATTTTTTTAACTTTGAACATTATTTTCGTTTTAAATATTATCACTTTTTTAACTTGAATGAAAAGAACTTTTTAGAGTTTTAAGATATTGAGAGCATTACAAGAATAGACAAATTTAATTTTATTATTATATATGCCAAAGCATAAACAAGTGGAAAAACGAAATAACTATAAAAGGTCTTATGGTTTTAGAGTAAATAAATAAATAATCAATAGTTTTCTTCTGCAGCGAAAATAATATCTTCAACGAAGAGCTACTGTCTCTCTCTCTCTCTCTCTCTCTCTCTCTCTGTCTGTCTGTCTGTCTGTCTAAAGCTATTTGAAAAATATAAAAACGAAAAGGAAATACAACGAAGAAAATTCATAAGAGAATCATCAGATTTTGTATGGAAGAAATTGTTAAGCTAAATAGAAATAATTAGATGATGTTAATAAGAAAATTTTTATAATATTGAAATATCGATTATTATCCAAAGATTAAAATTGCAGAGTTTAATATGCGTATCCATTACATATGACTCGCTTTTATAAAACTAAATCAGATGTGTGGAAATCTTCGTTTCTTAATCTCACTAATTTAATCTTTATTTAACAAGTCAGCAGTGGTATAGACAATATATTATAACAGGCATATTATATCAGCTCTGATCATTGGATATTATTTATAAAATAAACATACAATAATTTTTATTCTAATTTCTTTATATACATAAACATAACAGATATATCAAAATTTTTTAGTAAACAAATGTTTTTTATATTTACACAAAAATTTTCCATTATAAGAAGAACATAAAAATAAATAGATTAAATTTTATCTTTCTGTTCCTGAATTAACATTCATTATTAAGCATCAACAGAAAACCGTAACATTCTATTACAATTTTTAAATGTTTTGTTAATAAATTTATATCAAATCTTTTTATCATATTTACTTTTTGATTGTAATTATATTTAATTCATTTTTAATATAGTATATCATATTTTTATTCAATTTTTATTCATCATATTTTTATTTCACATTAAATATTATAATTAGGCGATCTTTGTATAAATATTACTTAATACCAAGAAAGGTAGTTTGTAAATGTATCGATGTGTATGAAATCATCTAATATACATTATATTCTATAATATATTGCATGTTATAATATTATAAATTATAAAATAATATATATTATAAAATACAATGTGCATTATAAAATTTAAAACTTAAACATGACACCACAGAAGCAGTGCAAGTATGGTTCTTATACAGAAATATATATTTGCTTAAGTATTTGTTACAAGTTGGAGAACATATTTAGATTTTCTTTTTAGATTCTATTTTTATATAATATTTTTATAAAATAATTAGTATCAAATAATAAAAACATAACATATATTTTTGACAATTGTATTTCAATTTATAAAATTAGAATCTCGATTTAAATTCACGTTCTTTTATTATATACTTAATGTAGTATCACCTCTTTTGGTATCTTATATACTAAAATATTTAAGTATGTGTTATTTGAAATCAATTTGAATTCTATTGTAGAGTAAATTGGCATTCTTGGAGTTTGCCTAATTTTGTTCCTTAAACTTCTTAAATGCATTCAGATGAAACATGGGCAATGGGATATTCACAGCTATTTTATTTTTTAAAAACTGACACTTTGAATATAATATATATAGATATATATGATAAATTCAATTTACTCTTGCTTGTATTTACAAATTTATACATATTTTTCCAATATTTACATTACATGCATGACTTATGATATTTAATTTTTTGTATTTCTTAAATTATTTTAAATATATTAAATTCAATTCTTGTTTCTATGTTAATTAATTAACGCTTATGCTGAAATTTCTTGCTTAAGCAGAAGAAATTTTACAAGATATATAAGATTATTCTATTATAATTGGTATATAATAGAAAGTATACAATTAGCTAAAGTATTATAATAGACTTGAATTTTTGTATCCCTTAATACTCTGGATAATTTGAACATTAAAGTCTGACAAATGATCAATACTATTTTTTCTAATCTTCTATAGCAGAAATATTTTATCCTTTCACCAACTATTTTATTTGTTTCTAACAAGAATGTTTTTTACTTTAGACACATTCTTCAAGAATTGTTGAATTTTCTTTTTATTGCACTATCACCAACTTGCTAAAAACTTATTTTATTCTTTAGTTTAATCATTTTATTTCTGTTTTTACACATATTAGTATGCTTGTCACTATGAGCCGTGAAATGTAACTCAGATACACCCTTTATTCTAGAATACTCATTATATAACTTGTCATTATTTTATTATGTATTATTATAAAATCATAAATATTTTATATTAATATTAATAAATATGTAAATTTTATTTGTAAAATAGATATTGGAAAATGTTAAAATTTATCAAAGACTAATTGTAAAATTTGTATTTGTATTTGTATTTGTTACTCAAAATTTCATATTTTCTCTCAAAAACTTAATCTGCTATATGGCATTTTATTATTCAAAATGTATATCAATTATAAAGCGTCTTATTTTCTTGTATAAGTCACACATATTATATTTAAGAAAATGTACTCATTAAATCATTCGTTAATGAATTGCAAACAGTTTTTTTAATTATTTCATTTTTCGTAATTTTCAAGATTTTTACTCTGTTTCCAAGTTAGTAATTCATCTAAAACACTTATTAAGTAAGGATTTCCTCCAAGTCTTTCAACTTCCTCTCTAGCTTGCTTATCAAGATCTGATAGAATTCTTCTTGTATATGCAAATGAACCAAACTTATCCATTAAATTTACACAATATCGTTTAACTTCAACATTCTTTGTTCTTTGACGAAGAATATCTATTTTCACTGTTAAGAAAATACTAATTACAAATATATTATCCCTTCAAATTGAATTTTAAAGGATACTAAGAATTTGTCCATCATCTGCACCACTTTGTATAGCATGAATTATTGGGAAACTAAATTTTCCTTCTGAAAGATCTTCACAATAGCTTTTATTTTCTGTGTACTGAATAATAAAAATTATAATAAAAAAACATGTAACTAAGCAGACAAAAAACATAAATTTAAGTTTGTACTACTTTAAAATACATAATACCTCTTGTAGACACAAGTTGCAATAATCATCTCTAATCTGAAAATATAATCCTAAAATTCCAGCTAATGGAGTAAAATCTTCTTTGCATTCTGAGAAAAGTTGCATTAAATGTACAGCTAAATTAAATAATCCACCAGTTTCTATTGATACATTATAATTCTATTAATATGATATATAAATAATTAATTAAATTCATTTATTTTAATTTATTACTTACTTCGAATAGTCATCATTCTATATTCGGCTTCTGAAGGACATATAAAATTATCTCTCCAATAAATTTCCATACCTTGACCTCTATGGAGCTCTAAAAGTTGTTCTGTATATACTTGAGTAGCCTGAACAAAAAGCAAATTTATTAATTTTGTAAATTCAAGTATAAAATATAGATTATTATTTTTAATAAACAAACTTCTGGATGATTGAGAGAAATCACTCTTTCTAATGCAATAAATAATACATAATTGGCAGCATTTATAGTACTAGCAACCCCATAAATAGAATGGGCAACTGGAATTCCTCTACGAAGTATAGAGTTGTCTTGAATGTCATCTATTCTGTAATTTAAATGTATTAAAGGTTACTATAAAAGAAAAATCATATTCAATTAACTTACAAGAGGCTGGAATTATGCAACATTTGTGTAATATCTCCAACAGCGTTAAGTTTTTCTACTGATATTTTTAGCCAATAATTAAAAGCATGTGCAAGTTTTCCTCTTATTTGCTTTCCTGGTACTTGAAGTATATAAGTAAAAGGTTGCAATAGCTTCTGCAAAATTAAAATATAGTTATAAAAACTTCATAATATAATATTACCAAATATATAAATGAATACTATATTGTATAAAATTTCTTTAGTTTTAATGAAATATTTTAATAGATAAATTTATGAGTTTCTCGGTTTTTAAATTTATAAAACTATTTTTCTAGTATGAACATTAAATATTTCTTAGGAACTGTTTGTCAGAATATTATATTAAAATTGTTGATATATATATAAAATTAATTCAATATTAGTTATGAAATAAATATAAATTTAGCATTAAAAATAATAAAACATTTAAAATAATAAAATTGTTTAAAAATTTTAAATATAAGATTAAATAAATTTCAAATTCTAACATCATCTTGCTCTTTACTGCCACTTTGAGAGTAAGGAACACTATTTTTTTCAGAATCCATAATTAGAAATACGGCATACAGCACAACCTCAATCTTAATAAATGAAGGATACTTTATTCCTTATAACGTATAAAATTAATCAATCTCATTAAATAGTGAAGAAGAACAATATATATAAATTCTATATTTATAGAAAGATATTTTTTTTACGAAACATATTTTTAAAAAATTAAGTAATACACTATCAAATTGTTAAAAAATCTGTAAAAAATAAAACTTATGTATAAAGAATTAATGTCGTCTGCTATAATCTCAAATGTCTACAATAGATTAGCTGCAAAATATATCACCAAGTGACTGCATATGTGGAACATACTTATATTTGACCAATAAAAGTACTGTATCTTACCATATACGCGTAAATCAATGTAGAATTCTATATGATAGTTGAGCATCGATAATGGTCGAACATTCATTTTAAAATATAAAATTCATTAAAAGATTTTAAATTTATAAAGTATTCTATTTAAAATTAAAAAAAAATTAATTTTCAGTAATTATATTTAAAAATGTGGATTATATTGTAAAACTAATAATTAAAATTTATGATTTTTAGCTATCATATACTTCGCAGAATAAAAAGTTAATATATATTATACAAATAATCAATGAATTTTATTTCATACTCCTACACGTGTGAAAATAATAAAATAAGCATTCCTTTTTGATGAGCATCAAACAAAAGTCAATTGTGTGCTATTAAGTATAGAAAATGAAAAATAGAAATATCAAATTTATTTATTTATTTAATTGTCAAGGATACATTAATCAAATCCTCAACATTTAAAAATCCAGTAACAGCTACGAGTATAGATAAACGAATCTAAATTCAAGTAGATGATGATGGATTAATAGAGGCTGGAAATAGCTAATATTTCTAAAATTGTTCGTTCTACCGATGATGATACAATCTATTTTTTTAAAGCACGAAGTGATAGCAGGGAGAGATCAGCATTCACTTCCGCATCTAAGGACTGACTCTGACCCCCACGTATAGTGCCCGAGTGCACGAAGTGGTAGCGGGGAGAAATCAGCATTTCGCGTCCACAAGGCATGGATTTGCGTTTTGTATATTATGCTACATCTACGTTACATATTGAAGTAGTTAGTGATTACACAACCAATGGTTTCATATCCGCATACAACAGAAGGATTCATCACGGCATTCGAAGATTCTCGGCTCGCAGAGGTATTCCGCATACATTGTACTCAGATTGTGGTGTAACCTTCATTGGGACAGATAAAGTTCTTAAAAAAATGTTCACATAAGGTTCTTAAGAATATCATCGGATAACAACAATACTCTCGCCAGACAGCTCTCGATAGGAATTCAAACCACCTGCTACACTTCACATGGAAGGAAAATGGGAAGCGGTGGTGAAGTTCACGAAATTTCATCTAAGATGTAAAATCGGGGAAACCTAGCTCAGATTAAAGTAATCTTGAACTCAAGGCCTCTAGAGCCGTTGAGCGATGATCCTGATGACTTCTCAGCGCTAACATAAGATAACATAAGATAACGCAACAATACCTGAATCATCCCTAAATTACTTGGTCACTCCAAGACTGTCTCGATGGCAATTTATACAACAACGAGTTCAACAGTTTTGGTCACAATGGTCAGCGCATTACTTACAACGACAATAATCGATATTCGTTTATTGGTACTTATCACCAACGAGCGCTTTCCACCTTACAAGTGTCCCCACGACCGAGGGCAGGGATGAGCTGAACAGAGTAGTCACACTAAAAACAGCTTCGACCACTGTGGTTAGACCAATATATAAACTGGCATTGTAATCAATCTCTAACAAAGGAAATAAGCATCAGTAGAATTGCTGATGGCGGGCGGAATGTTCGAGATTCCGAGAATCTCTCGAATGTTATCATTTCGGGTGAAAACACAACGGCTATTATTTCGGGTAATAATTCCAATAGTTATAATTTCTGTGAAATTTTCCACCGGTCATTGGAGGTCCGGAAAAAACAAGTACACAATCGCATCCATTGTTTCAAACACCACAATCGCCTCCTTATTGTCAGCTAACAAAGCTGCCGCGTGGATATTTAAGGCAAGCACATCACGAGATAGGGGCAATTCAGCTATGAGCTAGTCGCCCAAGAACGAGTCACTCGATGTCATAGTGCCCTGAGCACGAAACTGTTGCAGGCCGTTTTCATACGAAGTGCCGTCATGCACACTCTCGGCACTCTCTTATAATCTGTGCCAATTGCACTAACTCAAGTGGTCGCTTCCACAAGTCCAAGCAAGCAACACCATTCGATGCCACATCAAGGTATCGAACCATTTGCTCACCCTTCCACACCACAAGACAGCTTGGAGGAGACCAGGAATCAAGTTACCACCACGTGGCACTACATGAAGAAGTGTCAAAAGAATTACGACCTCTTACTTTTCAGTGTAGTATTTCACCACCAAGCGCACTGCATCAAGAGGATCCGGAGATTTACGACCTCCTACCTATATGAGTAGTGCATGCTGACACCACGTGGCAAGAACCAAAAAACGGCAAGATATATTATAGTTGTAAAATAAACGAAATAACAAGTACGAAAAGAGATGTTTAAATACTGAATTCAAGCGCTACCCTTTCTACTTGCTCACATTTTTCTCCCACCAGGAGACTGATGGTTATAATCTAATTCAAAACACATTATCTATAAATTAATTCATATATAAAACATTTAATACTTAGATTTAAATATCGAACAAAATAAAAATACAATTTTATTATATTATATTGTTTTATTATTTATGTTATATTCTCTATTATTTGATATATTACAATCTTACATAAATATGTCCAAATATATTTCATTTGATAATAACATATACAATAGATATCTGTCCATAAGTATAAACTTTATACACCATTTATGTTATACTTATTATTAATTCACATTTCACGACGAATTAATCAAACAGTCTCGGCATGTATAATACATTACTAATTAAAATACGATTTTGCTTAAAACAAGTATTCAATTTCCGTAAAGCTATTTTAATACTTAAATATGAAATTTCCTAATAAATGTATAAAATAAATAAAACATAATAAAGATAATAATAAATTATACATGACCCTTTCTGAAAGAAGATATGCATTTCATAATTATAAATCTTATAAACTAAAGCCTTATTCACCATTATCTCGTTTATAAATAAATATATATCGTTAAAATCGCAAATTAAACTTAAATATATAAGGTATTTAACAAAATTAATTAAACAATTAAAATGTACAATCAAGTAATTGGTAATAACATTTTTATCATTAATAATTAGGATTTATGGTATAGCTAGAACAATTTGTGATACAATATTATCGACATTATGTACTGCTTCAGTCTTACTCGATTTTAAATTTACATTTATGTAAAATATATAATTACATTAAATGATACTGTTTGTAAATGAATTCCTTGGTCTACAAGTCTCATACGACTATATGTTTTGCCGCATTTTTCATCAGACATTGTACAGATTGATTTTTCACAGCTCTACTAAACATATTAAAATTATAACTTATTGATATGAAATCAAAAGTCATATCCAATACATCCAATCCCAGAACTTCCAGAACTTATATCCATCAATTTTTTGTTCAGTCTGAATTTAACTATTATACCATATTCTATCATCTGTTTACGGAAATAAAACAAAACTTTTATAAAACGTTTTGGTACATATAATTTTAACTCCATTAAATCTCCTGTATATGTTTATAGACCAATTGTGAATAAACGTACTATACAAAAAAGTTTCTATTTATCGTGGTAAACTACTGTAAAAGTTTTAAGAATATAAGAGAAGTGTAAGTAAAGTAAACAATGCAAAAATGACAATAAAGATAAATTATTCATACATGGCTGTTACAGCAATCTTGCATATTTTATTTTTAAATATGAAAAGTTATGTAAAAAGTACAGTATACAGTATACCTTGAGTTTCATATTAATTAACCAATTTTATTTCTTAAACTTGAATTAAACATTCTAGTCCCCGTATACATATATTACGAAATAATTTCAAATAATATTTGTAAAATGTAAAATGTAAATCATATTTTATATTTACATAAATTTTCGTAAGTTTAATAATGTTTACCTTCAGAAGTAATTTTTCTATTTCTTTTTTAAAAATCATAGTATGTACGTGATACATAGTTATAATTTAACATATATTGTCTTATCAACATTGAATTATAAAATTTAAATAGTTTAATAGTTTAAAATAAAATAAATTTTAAACTATTGTAAAATAGTATCACATCACTATTTATTGATATAAATTATTTCATTCATATAAGTTAATAAAAATTGGTTGACTTTAGCAATTTCATTTTATATAATTAAGAGGTTAATTACATACTTGAATAAATAAACTTCAAATTATTTGGTATTGTGACATAATAGTAAAAATATATTTAATATAAAATTTTCTCAAATTTGTATTTTTCATAAAATTATTTTATGTAAATTATTATTAAACAATACATATTTTTTAAAGTATTTAAATATAAACAAAAATGTATTATTTTTTTGTAATCATACATTTTTTTGTAACATTAAAATATTATTTTAAATACATTTTTTAAATTATTTACGTTGGGTTTTTGAATTAACCATAAAAATGTAATTTTGAAACATATTAATATTTTTCTTAATAAGATTCCAATATTTACATAAATTATATGAACTAAAGAAAATAATTTCATGTTAGCAAACTCACAATTCTAAATGAATGCAAATATTGTGTAATTTAACATTTTTTTATCTATTCTGAACATTTTATTAAAACTATAACGTAATACAAATAAACATATTTTTAAATACATTTAAAGTACCGTTTAAAATAAATGTTTAAAAAACTGTTAATGTAAAAGACTTTAAACTATAATTACCAAAAATTTAAAAACTTATTTATACACTACAAATTTTTGTTGAAATCTGCTAGAAGATCTATATGAAATATTAGTATTAAATAATTAAAATAAAGTATTCTTCAATAATTTATTTTGATTTTATACTGTTTGAAATTTTCTATACTATACATTCGATTCCGATTCTTAATAAAATCAGTATATTATGAAATGTTAGTATTAAAGTTAGTATTAAAATAATGTATACTTTAATCATTTATTTTGTTTTGATACTGTTTAAAATTTCCTATACTATACATTAACTTCTGATTTATAATAACAACAGTATACCATTTATGTATTTCTTAATTGAATTTAAATAATTATAGTAAAAATCAGTTTATACTTAATTCAAACTAATAAGCTTAATAAATTTTCATATAGTTTGTCCATACATAAATCTATTTGTAATTAACTATAAAATGAATAAATTAAACTTTTCTAATACTCCCTATTTGCAGTTACTTATTTTCAAGATAATTTCTAATTCTCTCATTAATATAACTTACTTAATTTAACTCACTAATTATAATGGAACTAGACTTTCTGAGAAAAATTCATTTGGTAATAAGAACATTGAATGCTGAGATCTTGTTAATTAATCTCATTTTCTTGAGCAGGGCACTCAAAATGAACACAATGAAAAACCTAAAAATTACAAGTACATTTAAAAAATCAAGTACAGTTTAAAAATAAAACTCAGAATAATATGAAATAACTAAATTATAATTTAAATTATAATATAATTTAGAGTTGTAGTTAAAATTAGAATATATATGATACATTAAACATACACCTACACCATTAGCAGTATTGTTTGTTCCAATTATTTTTATAAATACAACAACACGAGGTGGACTAAAACGTAAAATTTGCCAAGATCGACAGGATTCCTTTGTTTTATCAACGATAAGTTCCCAATTTTTTAAATCACTAGAAACTTGAATGTAGTAAGAATAAGATCTATCATCGCAATCCCATAAAAGTAAACTGAAAATAATTGTTAATATAGTTTTTTAAATTATCTTTTGTTAATTAAAAATAATATACCGCATTGAATCAATCATATATGGTTGCCCAAGTTGTATTTGAATACAACCAGAATTAAGTTGATGACATGTATAACCACGTTCCCAATCATAATTTTGTAAATCTCCATTCAACAAGACATTACGTGATCTGTAATATAAATTAGAGTATGTGAAATTTGATTTTATATATTTTTAAATAATAGATCATAAATACGTCGAAAATTGAAGAAAATAAATAAATTTATTTATTAATATAAATGGCAAATAACATATAATTTTAATAATTGTATTAAAATATTTCTTGAATATTTTTGCAATATAATACATAGTACGATTATTTTAATTCTATTATAATTGATTTGGATACTTATATAAATGATTTGGATTTAATTGTAAAATTAAAAAATATATAATTAATTAATAATATGAATATTTATAGTCAGATACTGAAATTACGAAAAATATTTTTATTTAAATAAGATAATAATTTGGTATTATTATTATATCATCATTTTTCTCTACTAATATTTGAAAATGTGTTCTTATTAAATTCGGAATCAAGTAAATTTTATTTATAAGAATATAATAACAATGAAAGTAATTGAAGATATAATACTTAGTATATTATTTATATAATTTTACTGAAAAATATATAATAAAATAAAATACTATAAAATTAATAAAAATAATTGCTTACCTGCTAACACCTTCATTTACACAAGCACCCTGTTTCATTAGTGCTACATTTCGTGTTGGTATAATTATACCATTTGATAACTTTTCGCTGTGATGAATAAAATAAGCTTCGAAACGTACTAGGTGAAAAACCTATTTAATAATAAATATTCACTTAAGTTTATATATATATTATAGTACTTTTTATTCATACAATTATAAAATACCTACTTTGTTAACAGTATTATTTGTCCCAATAATACGTATATACAAAACAACTCGAGGTTCAAAGTATATATATTGCCAACTTCTACATAGATAATCAGAATGATCAATAACTTCCACCCAATTCTTTTTATCCACAGATACCTATGATTTAAATATGTAATTGTATAGTTATGTAAATAAAAACTCTATTATCAATCTACCTCAATATAATATGAATATGAGCGTGAATCTAGATCCCAAAGTAACATTTTCATATGATTTATTATGCACTGGTTACCGAATTTAATTAAAATACAATTGTCTGGAGGTCCATTTATTTGATGCCATGTGTATCTATAATAAATATACATACACATACACAAACATATATATATATATATATATATACATAAAAACTTATTTTATCTAATTTTAACAAGATAAAAGTAAAGAAAGTTTAAAATAATTATTAACCCTCGTTCCAAATCATATGATACACAATCTCCATCTAAGAGATAATGTCCTGCTTCTCCTTGTAATACTTCAGTATCTATACATGAACCAACAATGTCGACATCTGTCAATAACAATCCTCTATAATTTAAATGTAAATTTTTTGGCTCTAGATTAGCTGCAATTGCATCTAATATAGCATCAGAAGATACTAATGCTGTTGGCCGAACTATTTTTAGTAAATGTGAGATTGATATCAAATTTAGTCTAACTTGTTCTGTCGAATATTAATTAAATATGTATTGTATTATTTATATTTGAGGTATTAAGATAAGAAAATATTCTTACCTAAAATTTTATCAAATTCAACACCAGTATTTGCTTCAATCCATGATTGAACTGCTTGAAAAATTTCAATTTCTACAGCAAAAAAGGAATCCCTAGCCAAGAGATCAATAAGGGCGCAAGAACTTAATTGTAAAAAGCTTTTATGTTTTATAATCTTTGCAGCATCTTTGTCCATAAAACTATAACACACCTTAAATTTAAAAGTACATGGTCAGTCACAAATATCAATTATAATTTCTGTAATAAATTTTATAAATGTCAACTATAAATACCTTCATTAAATTTTCTAGCTGATATAACCGTGCAGCATCAAATATAATACAAACATTTTCTAGACTATGAATTTCTATTAAATAATCACAAATAGCTGATTCTAACTGTATGAAACTATATTGATGAACTAATCCCAAAATATCTAAAATAACCTTTAAAAAAAAATTTAATTATTCTTAATTATATATTAAATTATAATAGAATATTTCATTGTTCTTACCTCTTCTTTTTGATTAGATAAAGATATGTGACCAGTGTATATATACTTTAATAATTCTTTAAAGGCTGGTATTGTAGGTTCTTTTAATTCAATTTCGCTTTGAGTAGATTCTTTTAATCCACCGTAAAGTAGTGCACGAAAATATTGACTTCTGGCAGCTAATATAGCTTTGTGAACATCAAATCTTTGACCACTTACTATTAATGTTATATCTGAATAATCACCTGACAAATATAATGCACCGATATCCTTTGATAGATAATTTGTATGTTCTATTTCCCCAACAAAATTTGAATGACAGGAACTCATATTTTTTTAATACTCAATTTATCAAAGATTTTGCCTTATTCAATCATTATACATTTGGTATATGTAAAACTTGAACATGTAATTTATACTTGTAATAGTAATGAACGACTAAAAAGAAAATATAAATATATCATTACATATCTATATTTATATTAAAAAATAATATGAAAATTCATAAATATTACTAGTTTTACGATTAATTTTAAATTCCAAAGATAACTCGATATTAATATGTAAATACAATTTTACTTAACCTATACATTTCATTAATTATTATGTTTCACAATGGACAAGAATTAAAAAGATGAATAAGACAGTGAAAAAACAATTATTGATTTACATATAGTGTTGTGCTACATATTTTAAAGCAATTATCAACAAAATAGACGTCCTATATACATTTATTTAGTTACCTTCATAATTGATAATTAACATAACCAATATATTAATCACTTTAAAAATAATTTCATCGTTGCTTAACTCATTAAACTTAGATTTTTCATTATTGCCATAATATTGTTATAAAATCATGTATCAATTTCAGTTAAGAACGTTATATATTAACCATGAGAGATCGTATGGTCTTTCAGATATCGCGTAGCGACAACAAATCAACCTAAAAATGTCACTGCGCAGAATCCAAAAATTCACTAATCTCATTTTACAATTATAAAATCAAAATGATGACCTAAAATTTTATACAATTCTGTTTTGCGACTTGTAAACTATGTGTTTGTTGTAATATTATTTTTACTATTGCTGCTGTATTCCACTTATTTCTTCGATATTGACCTTGGAATTCTTTGAATTTGATATAAGATCAGGGATTTAAACATGGTATGAACGTTTTATTTATTGTTTTTTATTAATATAATTGATTTTCAAAAATTAAAAAGAAATTTAACTAAAAATGCATATATAATATAGTTATAATTATAATTATGTACACATGCTAAACAGTTTCATAAGCTGACATTCCCATGAAGATCCTTAAGCAACAATAATTTACACAATCCATTTAATTACCATTAGGATTAAAGTACATACAATATTAAAACAACTATAATTGAATAAAATAAACTAAATAATAAATATTTTACAGTTAATACCGTAATTAGTCTTTTAATATTACATAGTAATAGTAAATAATAAACTAGAATGTAAAACTTTAAATACCAATTAAACGCTATTTTTAATAAATAAATACAACGATACTCTTATCTTTATTTATAATACTATAATATTTTTATTCATATATAATAGAATTAAAGAAGTTTAATAATTATTTAAAAATATAACACAATTGAAGCGAATTTCTAACATTGGAACCACGTATATGAAATATAGAATTATATATGCATAAGAAAATAAAAGAATTGTAAAATTGTATGATAATTTTAAATAATAAATACTTTAATATGCTAAAAGGTAAGTTTAATTTTAAAATTATATTATTATTATTATTGTTATTTTTAAATTCATTATAACAAAATATTTTAAATGAATAGAAATTTATTTTTTGATAGTACATACAATAAAAAAAGAATATTTTTAAAATAACACTAAATAAAAATTTTGTTTTGCATTTATTAATTATCATAGTAGTCGGATTTTTTATTCAATGAAATATATATTTTAATTTTTTTATATACATATGTAATAAAAATGTATATATTAAATGTTATAATAGTCCTCAAATGTATATTTAGTATCATTATGAACATTTTTCATATTTTTATAATACCTTGATATATTCTATATTTATACCCGAATACTGAACATTATTAAATAATTACTTATATATTTTCACGTTATTTAAGTATTCATTTAAATATTTATGGATATTAATACTGCAATATAAGTTTTAGAATTACAATTTTTCTTATTTTGTAATTAATATTTATATATTCATTAACATCTCTTATTATTATATGTGAAATCAATCGATTGTATAACAATAATAATGCCAAAAGTCTAAGAAAAACTTAAAAATACTGTATCTATAATATCAAAATGGTTCTATTTATTATTTAAAACTCAAAGTTAATTCTTGCTATTATTTATTTTTTCCAGATAATAAGAATTATAAACTGTTTCAAAATACTAAGTGTCAATGTCCATAAAAAATTTGTTTACATATAAATTAGTATTAACGATTAATCATATTTACCATAATCAAAAAATCTTTAAATTATAATATTTTTATAGCATGTTAACTGAAAAATTAAAAAGTATTTATATATATTTATTTATTTATATCATTAATCATTAGAACTTTTTTTCAAACAAAAAGTTTAAAAAATAAAAAATGTTTTAATTTATAAAAGACTAAAAATAATAATAAAATTTTGAAATTATAATTTCATTATTTTGAAAAACTAAAAATATAAATATTAAAATATGCAAAATTTCTCTACAATTTAAAATTATATATATATATATTAATAATTTCTAGGGACTATATTATATTTACATATTTATTTAATGTTTTTAATATGAAATTTTGAATATATATTTATTGAAAATAAAATTTTAATAATTAGATAGACGTAAATTTGAAAAGAGATTAATAAAAATAAATTAATAAAATTAATAAAATTATTTTTTGGTACATAACATATTTTTTCAAAGAAAGTATAATAAATCGATCATTTTCACATTTTCATAAATTTTATACAATAGTTTAATCATTTTTTTTAAAAGCATGATTTTATTAAAATTATAAGAGTTTAGAAAATAATTTTTAATTTACATTATAATTAAAATGTATTTAATAGTAAAAAACATATACTTAATTTAGTTATATGTATCTTAGACATTTCAAAGTGTTTCAATTATTCAATAACTAAAAGAATTATTAAATTTTACTTATTTAATTATCAAAGTTTTTTAATAAAAAATATGTTTTATAGGAATATAAATAAACATATAAAGATTTATTTTAATTCATATTATAGTAAACTATTAAAAAAACAATAAATAATTTTATTTTATATGATATTACAAAATCTTGTATAACTTTTTACATGTAGATATTTTATCCATCCTTAATGAAGTTCCAGTGCATAAAGTATTTTAAATAATTCTTACAATTCCATATCTTAACCATTATTTACTTTAAACAAATTTTTTATATAAATTATTTTTTGCGTTATTCTATAAGTAACATTATATATAACATTAATAGTTTCGAAATTCATTTTTTTTATAAGACCATTTTTACTATCAACTACACAAATATTTTTGTAAATTAAGTGAAATCTATATGAATAAGTACTAGTTTGTGTTAATAAATCATTTCAAATTTCATTCATTTAATAAAAATAATAATTACTATCAATTGTGTTATATAAAATCTAAAAATTTATTAAAAAATACATAATAACATGCTTTTATTCTATAATTATGTTTTCGTGATTGCATACATTTAATAATTCAATGTTGTTAAAATTTGTTACACAAACACATTGTTATTTTGTTTAACAATTTTAGATAACTTAAATGATCGTTTAATCTATTTGGCTTGAGAATTAATTAAAACAAAATAATCATATAAAGTATGATTGAAAATTTAAATGCAAAATATTTAAATTAAATCAGAAAAAAATCTAGCGTTTCTTTTTATTGAAAATAGTTGTAAAACATTAAAGTAAAAATAATTTAATACTTCAGTTAAATTTTAATACAGTAACATTTTAGAATATCATGGAGTTATTTTTACAGATCAAGAAAAATTTTCCAAAAATTAATATATAACAAATTCATGAAAAATTTAATATACTCCAATCAAGTGATATTTAATATAAAAATATAAGTAATATTTAAAAATATGTTTATGTTTGATATTCAATTATTAATAAATGCTCGTTTATTAACTTACATAATCTCTTATATAATTTAGTTATGTTCCACTAAAAATTTTAATTTTCTAAATCCTTCACTGATTTAAACAGTAAAGAATTTATCATAAAATGAAGCTTTTAATTTGATATAAATATTTTGTAACAATTTTATATTTAAATATTATTAAATGTTATATCAATTATTAATATAAAACATATAAACTCGTATGTAGTCACATTCTATCATTGTAAATTAGAGTATTTATATTTGTAACAATGCCTGAAACATTAAAAAAAAGTGAATAATTATTTTCTATTAAAAAGCTTTACTATTTGATGATTAAGTATTAATATGGAAACAAGTTTATTAAAATTACAAATGTTTTATTAACAAATGTTTAATCTTTTCTATAAAATTATAAAGTAATATAAATCAACATTCAGCTCAACAAAAAATAACATTTTTTTATGTATATTAAAATAATTAATAGTTAACCAGTTTGGTTGCTTTACACAATATATTATTGAAACATAACATATTTTATTAACATCATGAATTAGAAAAGATACAATAAAATTGTGAAATTATCTAAGTCTGTTATAAAAATCACTTTTATGTAAAATAATCATAGATTAAGGTAGGCAGTAAATAATATTAAAAATCACAGTAGAACAGATCAGATATTAATTTATTGAATAACTATTGTTAATATTACAGGTACATTGTCTACTATACATATAACAAATACAATAAACTAATGTAGATTACAACGTTAAATTCTCTATAAGTAGTTCAATATAATTAACAGTATTTCATATAACTTCATATTTTAACAATACAATCAATTGCCGAATAATGCTTTACATACATAAAATAATACAATCAATAAATTTATAATTTTAATATAACTAATATTGTATCTTTTTAATATTATAACGAATTTCTCTTTTTATATGTAGAATAAAATATTTTGATTTTGCATACACATTTTTTGTATACAAATTACTTATTCTTAATTAAAGATCAACTTTAATATTATTAGATTACGTAAACCAGCACGTTCAACAATTATTTTTTAATACTTCATATATCTTTATTATTATATAATATTTCTTTCAATGATTCTTTGTCTTTTAATAAAATTATATCACTGTTTAATCATTAATATTTTTTCAGTCATTTTCTTATCAATTTCTTACAATTAGACCTATAACTTCGTGTAACTTCATTAATATATGCATATTCATAGAATTATTTAGAGAGCATCAGTGCCATATCTTGCAGGCTTTTTTCTAAAGTTTGAGCAAATTTCTTTGCACTAGTATTTTCATCACTGTGGAATGCAGAACATGAAAAAATAAAACCATTTTTTCTGACATTATAGCCACAACCGTACCCATCTGGGACAACTGGACCATAGCCGGCGATTACATCGTTTTTCGTTGTTATCTAAAATTAACATAATATAATTGTTAAATTTTACTTTTTGGTATATTAAATACTATTTTAGTTTCTATTCTAAAATTCTATTTTTAAATATTATAGAACATATCATAATATTCAGTAATATATTAATTTAATACTTTACTTAGATTATGTTCTGTAAAAATAAATTATAATTAGCTGAGACAACGAGAAACTTTAAAACCAAAAGTACTGACATAACTATAATTTTATTTTATTTTATATATCTATATATCATGTGTATTTTATAGTATGCACGGAAAAGGTAATTCTTATAATCTAGCTGATTTTTAAAGTATTTATAATGTGAAGGTGTTACCATAATACAGTAACTATAATACAGTACTAATATATATATTATTTTACTTTAATTTACTTTTATATATCAAATTTGGAGATTAACAAAGATCTTTTACAAAAACTTTGATACGTTTAATTTTCTAAATTTGTTTCTTTAATTTAAAATACAGCAAATTAGATGTGACTGTTATTCTTATATTAGTATTTTATATCAATTGTTTGAATTTTTTTATAATGTATAAAAGTTTGGAAATCAAATAATCTGGACCTTTTTAAGCTATGCAATTGTTTAGCTATTCGTCATTTTACTTACATATATCCCTTTCAACCTACCTAACAATAGAGCTCTACTTCATCTAGTAAGGAAGAGTCAACTTTTTATTTTTTATTATCTTTTATTCTAAACCATATATTGAATGCTATTAAAATAAAAATTTTAACAATAAAGCTAAATTTACTAACTCATACAACTATACAAACTGAAAACATACTTTTCTAAAAAATAACTAGCAAATCATTTCACCCATTTTCCTAGAAGAAACACATACAAATGTGACGGCATTCGCTTTATTAGAAAAAAAAATTGAATAAAGAAGTTCGATCAAATAGCAACAGAAACTGATCTCACACTAAAACAAGAACAATGTAAATCTTTAGTAATTTTCTTTAGCTAATATTTCATAACAAGAGATATAGTCATCAATAAGAGTATGAATATTTTATAAATAGTACTTTTACATATGCATTTCAAAAAAGAGCATAAAGATTGGCATTAAATTTTTAGTAATAAGTAGTAAGTAAAAAAATTGTTGTACTATTTATTGATGTATTGATTTACATAGCATTGCAGAGAAATTCATATAAATATAATGGATTTAGATTCAATTTTTTCATTCAATTTAACATTAGCCTGTGATATTAATCTATTCCAATTATGATATACTTAATTTTCTGTATTAAATAATTTGCTTTAAAACAAAAACTTTTTAAAATTGATTACATACATATAATCATATATAAAATATTTCTATTTGTATTGAATGTTTCTTGTACTTCCCGAAAATACTTCCTAAGAATTAATTAGTTTTTGTTTCACATATAATACAATAATTTAGTTAATCACAGCAAATAGAATCTTTAATAGGGATAAAAACAATAATGTTATCCTGCAGTCAAATTTCTAACCTGAGATGTAGAGAGTGCGAAGTGTTGGATAATTTTAAAAGCTTCGTCGTTGAAAATTTCTGGGATAGGTTCTCCATTTTCCAAAGCTGCATAACGCAAACCCATTAAATGATTATCAATTCCCTGACCTATTATATTATCTAACATTTCTTTTGTTTGTCTTTGAACGGCTTTGTTGAATAGTTCCTTAATTTTTTGATTCTGCAAACAAGGGGTACTTTGAACTTCAATTGTAAAATATTATCGTTTAAACAAAATAAAATTATTTAAAAAATAAGTTATATTCAATAACAAAAAGAAAAATTTTACGAAATGATTTTAAATGAGATTTTATGAATGAATTTTTAATCTACTATGATTTAATTAAACAATAAAAAAATATAAAAAGCTATATATAACATTTAATAAAAAAATACAATAATATACAGAATTAAATTGTATTAAAAATTAGAAATCAGAAATATATACCTCACTAATAATATGTATGTATATATATATAAAATGAAGATGAAACACAATAGAAAAAAATGTATATGTATCTAACATATATATTTATTTACGACATTTCGAGGAGAAGCTGTGAAACACATTAATTTTTGAAGGCAGAACAAAAATTATGAAACACAATGAAATATGTAAGAATATAGAATAGTAGTAATGATGAAAGCAAGATAACGAAATATAAATAAACGTAGAAAGATAACGTTTTGAAAACGAATTAAATGTGAAAGAAGGCTTTAACGACAAACAATAAAATGAAATGATAAAATATACGTGCATTGGACAAAACAATTGATTTTTTAATTAAAAGTTAATTATTATCTTCAGTTACACTGTAAATGGTGAACTGAACTTTTTTGGCGCCTTCCTCTTGCACAATACCACCTACGTGAGCTTGTGGGTCACCTTGACACATTGCCTTCACCCAAGCGAGAGCTTCTGGGCTCGCGGCTCTAATTACATCCACCCGACCCAGAGCAAATCTTCGAACGCTTGCGCTCTCATACGTCGACACCAGATGCTCATGAAGTCTAATAATGTAATCTACTATTTTTATCGAGGACAATGCCAGGTAATAAGAAATAATAAGCTATTTGTGCAATAAGACTACTCCAATGAAGCGTTTTTATAAGCCGCCTTTAATATTATTGCATGTAATTACACCAACTTTTCAATTATATAAATTCAAATTGCTTTAGTCATATTGATTTAACAACAAAATAAAAATGTAAATTTTTCGAAAAAAAGATTTTACATACTAGAATTTTATATATTCAAAGAAAAAATTTCTCTCAATTCTTTAAATTTTCTTTATAAACAAATAATATAAATGTTTTTTAAATAAATGAAAACATTAGTAATTCAATGCACAAAAAATATCCTCATCAAAACTTGATTATAGTATTTATACAAGATTTATAAATTTTTGTTGATAAAATTACATTTTTATATAAATTTTTTTGTAATTTTATAAACATGCACCATGCGCGTGTATGACCTCCGCACACACACACATATATATATATATATATATATATATAGTACTATTTATATTTATCATATAGTTACATATTCTATATGACAGAATTTTTCGAAAACATATACAATATTAATTATTGTACTTACCGAAAATAAGTTAGTTGTAATGCTAATTGGATGTACACATCTGGACTAATATTGCAACTTTTAATAAATTCCTTTGAATATTCATTGAACCATAAAATACATAAATCTAAATCTTCTACAAGCCTGAAAAATTGTTTTTTAATTAATATCGTTATTTTATTATTTATTGCTACCTATTACTTTATAAATGTAATGATTTTTTTTCTTAAGAACTTTAGTAAATTTTAACAAAAAAACTAGATGTTTACTGAGTAATATGAAATTGCCTGATTATACAAAATATTTATTAAACCTTTAGAACGTTTCACTTAATGTACACTAAAGACAACAGATTTGTCGATATTAATTAAGATGTTAATTAATAATATGAGACTATTAATAAAAAATGCAATTGAATTATTGATTTGATAGAGCAGAAAATAAAATTGTAGTAAACAACTTTTATTTGCTTAGTTAATGTAACTTTTTAAGCATTTCGAAAAAGTATAATATTTCAACTTCTTCAAAATACTCTTTTATTTCATTTTACAAATGACTGTTTCCATTTATTCAAATATTCATATTCTGAAGATGTTGATGAAAGGTTAAATTTAGTTATTCATAATATATTAAATTTATAATTGTAATAATATTTCAATTAAATAGTATTTTTTCATCAAATGAGATTTTTTAAGTTGTATTACTTTTTGTCTTTATTTCGTATTGTAATCCGAATATCACATAAAATCAAATTAATAATATAGATTCGTTTATTTTTAATATATAATATTAAATGATGTTCAATCAACAAGACTATAGAGATAAGAAATCTATGTGAATTATAGTATAATTTACTATTTTTATTAAATATGAACAAATGTAGCATAAAATATATCAATGACTTTTTCTTAATTATTTCATTTATTCAATTGACATTCTAATAATATTACTTATCTATTGTTGATTTTATTGAAATATTTCTAGATACATAACTTTATTTAGACATATAGAATCTTTTGTATTATTTTAATAATACTACTAAGTAAATTTAAAATTAATATTTGTTTCGTTTTTAAAAACTATCATAATTTACCATAGATTTATTTTAAATTTGATATGTAATTCTCAAATAATATTTATAAAAGATGTTTATAATTTAGATGTTTATAGTAATTTTTTATAATATTCTATAATATTTGATTAATTTAAAATATACAAAAATTTAATACATACGAAAATGTCATTCAATTATCACAATTTTGTTTATTTTTTAATTTTGTTTAAAAGGATTTTAATAGTTATTTTAATTATTATTTTTATATATAATTTTTAATGATTAGGAAAAAATTGTTTAGACTGTTCTGAATAAGAGAAGATTCTTACATATCGATTGAGCTCATAGCTTCTAATATGTCCTTGCAACTTTGTTCAGATAAACACCATTCAAGTTTCTCTGGTTCCGTTAAATAAGAACGAAGAATATTCTCTGATGATGGTAGGGCGTTGACAGTTTCCGTTAGTTCCTCGAAGATTCTAAATATTGCCGGAGCTTCACCACCTGAATGCTCGTACATAAGAGCCCACAAGCCATCCTACAAAGACAAATTTTTTTTAAACATATACAAAATTATGTTTTGGATTTAAAAAAACAATTTAAAATGAGTTCACTGTATCTGCTTTTATTATTAATTATATTTTAAACATTTCTTAGTATATTAAAATTTAAAATTAATAATACTTTAATAAAGTAGATAGATTTTTAATGAATATTATTCTTGGTAATTCAAACATTTTTTTCTAATAATATTCATGATTACAAACATATTTAAAATACATTTTTAAATATCTTAAATAATTTTTTGAATAATATAATAAAATATTTGAATAATATAGGATTACTTTTATTATCTTAAACACAGCTAAAATTTTCAAATTTTTATTTAATTATATTTTAATAGATATATCAAGTGTGAGAAATGAATTAATGAGTTATGCAATGTATTTGTGCCGAACACACTAGACCCAGTATTATGTTCCCCTTCTCTGACTGTTAAATCGACGCACCATACGCAATTCGAGCTCTTCACCCTTTCTATTCTGATACCCTCTTAAAGAGAAAGATTTTGTTTCATTCTATAAAAAGTATCGCACAAATTCTCTTTTCAGATTCTCTTCTAGACTGAGCGTTATTTTTTTATGCATTTCTCTACTATTTATCTGTAGCATTACATTTGAGCGAATCTTCCTCCCTTCAATAAGTTTAGGCACGTTTTTCTGTTACATTGAGGCGTGTATATTCTCCCAACTTTTTCGAATAAAGTTAAGTTGAACGGTATATATGAGTATAGCAAGTCCTACCAAATTAAACCGATCATTTAAAATTAAGCATAATTAATAATATTGTGTTCCATTAGACCTGCACAATGAGTTTGCTTTAAAATGTGCGTTTCATTTGTATCTGCACAATTAGTTATAAAGAATACCCAAGAGTAAGAATTATATAATTATGTATAGAAATTTTTCATTTATACAAAATTTGTCAATGAAAAATATGAAAACCGAAACCTCGTCTTTGTTTATTATTTAAAAAAATAATAGCTACTATACCCTCCTATTTTAATTTTCTCAAGAGCTATTTAGACTATGTAAATATAGTTTAATTGTTACATGAACAATGCTAATTTCTATTAAATCAATTAAACTGTTGCAAAATAATTTTAAATAAGTTCTTCTATTTTTGTATTTAGTAAAACATTAAATAATTTCGACTTTATACTAAATCAGTTTAATATAAAATATAAAAATTAACAAAAATAATATTAATAATATAAATTTTCAAATTTTTTTTATAATACTATATGCTAAGAAAGGTAAATAAATTTTTAAATTATAAATATTTGTTATTATAAATTCAAATGACAAACAAAAAGAGAAAATTAAAATAAATTTGATAATATTAGATCCATTATTTATTTATTTTCATTTTATACCGCTTTCCAAATATATTAAAATTTTTAATATAGATCGTAAACTTGTATAAAAATTATATTTTTTCAGAAATTATATTTTTTCAATGTTTATAAAACCACATTTATAGTTATTCAAATAGTTAATGAAATTTATGTAAAACTTTTAAATAATGTTGATAATTCGAAATTTATATAAAAATTGTTATTGTTTTCAATTTGATGCATATGACGATGACAAATAAAATCACTACTTACAAAAAATCGATATATTTGTTAGGACAGAAATATTAAAAAAAAATTATGAGTTTCGTAAAATCAATTGTTATGAAAAGAAATAATCAATTGTACGGGTTAATATATCAATAACCTGATACAAATCTTACATTTAATATAAAATGAGACAAAGAAAATGATAGTTTTCTGGAGTACCAAATACAAATTTCTATCATAATTTTTAAAACTATGTGGCGACGAACACCTTAAGCTCAAAAAATATTGAATACTATTTTCCTTTGCATACGCATAAATTCTCGCTCTCTCTCTCTCTCTCTCTCTCTCTCTCTCTCTCTCTCTCTCTCTCTCTCTCTCTCTCTCTATTTCCCCATTCTGTTATAGTTAATTAAAGATCTTATTATAAATCTTATTGCAAGTTAGTTCCAAGAGATATTAAAAAACACATTCTTATATGCAAAATTTTATAAAAATGTTCTCACTTTATGTTTAATATGACAACACACTACGACTTAGTCCTTGACACCAATAAACGTGCACTCAGAGTAGCATCATATTGCACTTGCTTAACTTTGCGCACACGGAGAAAGTAATACAACCTTGTTATATATGAGTACATAGTTATTTTTTATATGATAGAAAGTTATTTTATCTCAATTATAATTATTATTATAATTTTTTATTTTCGTCTTTATGAGTTTTTGATATATATCAATTTAAACATGAATGATTAATGATAATTTATGAATTCTTAGCTAGATTTATTAATCAAAAATTGCATTGTGAAAATATTGTATACATTTTTTAATCAATTGCTAAAGTATGGGTACATAAAATTTTATATAAAGTATCTTATTACTTCTTACAACTTTCTTATAACATTCAATTCTCTAATTTTACTATTATCGTGACTTGAAAAAATTTTTTACTAATTTTGTAATAAATAAATTTTTGCAATTAAGTTTTATTTTTTACACTAATGGCAGAAATTTTATAAAAATTTTATGAGAGTAACTTCATGAATAATACATATTATCAGACACTTATTACAGTATCTTAAATAAAATATAATTTTTATAATAAGTGAATGTTTTAAACTCATATTTTATATTATGACTTTTTACATTTATAAAATTCTAATAAATTGATAAATCTGTTAAGTTTTATACAATTAGAATTAAAATATCAAAAAAAAAACACTTTAATAAGTTTTATAAGAATGTGCGATTTAATGTATTTAATATAGTGTCTTTGGTTCTTTATTATTCAAACTTTAATATAATCAAGCATTCCATTATAAAATTAAATGATTATTATGAAATCAAAATGGATTAAAGAAGCTGAAAAAAAGAATTTGTAACCTTTCCTAAAATAATATGCACGGTCTTATCGAACCAGCGATTGGCAGCAAAATATCGCGAACCTCCACCATGGAGTGCGTGGTGGAGTACATTTGCGTAGTCGCGGTTACCTAGCCAGCAATCCTCTTTACGGTAGGGGTTGTTAAACGTTGTTGGTAGAACGTCATCATCGATGCATACGATACATAAGCAGTTCTCGAGCAATTCGATACTGCGTCGATTTAGCTCATCTATAACAACAAAAGAATTTTTCATTTTGTACTAAATACTCAATATACAGTTTCGACATATAAATTAATTCTACGTTAATTTTTTCAATTGTTAGCCCGAATTTTAATCTTACTAGAAGAAAAGAGTGCATTGCTCATTAAAGTACTTAGATATTTTTTAACATTTACTTCAAGTTATTTATATTATAATAATTTACACGATACTATAAACTAATGATAAATTGAATTTAATAATATAAAATTTAATAATTTATATACTGATATATTGTTTATGATAATATTTTATATGATACTGTATTTTAAATGTATTTTAAATGTTATATTGAGTTAAATATACTTTTTAAAAGTTCCTCTCTAGCTTTAGCCCAAACTGGTCTTTTTGCAGTAGTTAGAATACCAACGGGGACTACTTTCTCATCAGCTGGGATTTCCATGATTTTGAAGATTTGTTGAGTCAAATCTGCTTCTGTAATACGTTCTCCATCTGGTGCTCTTACCGGGACATTATAAAACTGTAAATAATATATCAATTATTATATATACAAAAAATAGGGCAAAATATTTTCTAACTGTATTATATATCGAAACGAACTCTGAATACGAATATTTTGTATTCGAACGACAAATTCTGTAATAATTTACTTGGTTATGATGAGCGACTATTATATGATCTCCAGAAGATGCTCTATTCAAATGTATACGTTCATCGACGGAACATCCGGGTCTTCGATAAAGTCGAAACATTTGATAATGTTGCGCCATACAAAGGGGTTGCATCGTTTTACCATCTTTAGATTTTATACGTTCTACTTCCAGTTGTGACCTATTACAAGCACAATTATCACACTTGATAATTTTAAAATAAATCTTATTAAGATAATATTATTACTTATAACACTTCTGAACAATGCCGTTTATAAAATAGTTACGTTCAAATACATTTTTTAATAAATAATTTTTTATAAAATTAATTTATAAAAAATAATGAATGAATATATATTTAAAATTCATTTTCATGCAAAATAATTAAGTTAGAAAATTCTATTCTCCTTTGATTAAAGAATTTGTTTATTTCTTCATTATTTTTTATAAACAAATTAAATATATCTTTTGAAGATCGAACTTTAATCATAAATGTTAATATAACGCATATAAATTATATAAATACACTTTATAACAATATATATATATATATATATATTACAGTAAAAAATTTCAATGAATTTATTATTTATATGTTAGTTCAGTTTGTGTAATTAATAAAATCACATGATACTTATTTGACAAATATATCAATAGCTGTAAAAAATGAATTATTTATATTTAATTTTTTCACTTAATTCTAATAATTTAAGTGAAGTTATTTCTAGGTTCGATTTACCAATTATGTAATTATTAATATTTTCTATTTTTTATACCCTAATACTATAACTAAAATTGGCTTACTCATTTAATTTTTTATATGCTTCAATAAATCTTAGTACATATTCTACATTTTTTTTCTTTGTTTAGTTTACTACTAGATAAAAAGAAACCGCGCAAGTGCTCAATTTAATTCAGCGACGCTGTCTTCCTTACTAAAGGAAATCCGCCTTGCAGAATCTATAGAAAATGAACATAAAGGTACCACCACTGAAGAACAGTTCAAAGCATCTACGATATCCGGTGACTTGTAAAGTAAATTGCTCTAAGGATGTCGTTATTTTATATATCGTTTATCCATATTGCTTTATGCATTTATAGAAAATTCGTTGAAATCTTCTGTCATATTATAAAATTATTCAATCTTTCTAGATGAAAAATTTAAAAATATTAAAGACAATATAATAGGATTTATTGTATAATACAAATCAGAAAAATAATTTATGTACTCTATTCTATATGCCACGATATATTAAAATCTATTTATAGTTGTATAATATCAAAATTTTATTTATACTTTTACAAAAATAATGATATATGTAACAAATATTTTCTTCCTTACTAGAAAATATATTTCTTTTAAAATAAGCAAATTATTTGGAAAAGAATAGAGAAGCTTTTAATAAATTTTTAAATATCGAGAACATCTCTATAACTTATTAGTCATGAAAATATTGGAAATTTTCTTTTCATAATACGTAGAAAAATTTATCTATTTCCAATAAGTATATCTACTTTACGGTATCGTACATTTACATTGATATGTAATAAAGATTATATATATATATATATATATATATACAGATAAACACATTATAGAAACACATATACAAAATTTGTTTTATATACTTTAATTTTTTATATATAAATTTCATTCTAATTATTGAATGTATTTCAAATTTTCGTACAGTTTATGTATTATCTGCAGCAATTTAAACAATTTCGAAATTACATATAATATTAAAAATAAACTAAAAAATTATCTCTCTCTCTCTCTCTCTCTCTCTCTCTCTCTCTCTCTCTCTTTCTTGTAGAGTGCAAAGAAATATTTTATTACTCTTTTTAGACATTAAATTCTAATCGCAATGTAATTTCTTATCTATTAATGTATCCTTATCATATTTCTTTCTTAAATTTTCATTTGAATTCTAAAGCTTATCAATCATTATACTTTGGCTATTAATATAATTTATGTGCATTATTTATATTACTAACATATTTATGATTCAATAACATGTTTTTAATAATAATTAATCTAAGTAATAACTATATATTATTATTATTAATTATCAAAAATAAAACGAATTGTTTGAATCAAATAAAATTTACGTATATTTATATTTTAATAAACAATTTTGTTATAATTTAATAAGCATTGGAGAAAATATAGATTAATTTAATTTTATATTTTAGTAGATAATTGAATTTGAATATATTTATACGTATAAAAATTATGATTATTTCTTACGTTTTTAGTAACTTACTTGTACAACAAATATAAACTATAACACGACTTTGTAATAAACTAAGCTGAATTCATAATTGATCAATACAATAATTATGTATATTAACGTAGAAAATATTTAAGTATAATAGTGGTATGAAAAATTTGTTTTACACCAATGGTTAATATGATGAAGAGTAAAGGAAAAAATATTAATAAAACCTTACTTGTCAAGAGTCTCCTGATAACCAAGAAGCTCGGTAAGAAAGCGTGCAAGGAAGACTGCAGCATCTCGTTGACTAGCAAATTGTTTCGGTCTTGCTACAAGGCCAGGGTTGACATTAATCGGAAGCTCGAGAGGAATCGATAAATACATATCGTTTATCCACCAATCTGTTGCCTGTACATTTTATCATATATTACAATATCATATTTATACATTTGTATACATAGATGTACACATGCATATGTGAATGAGTGTGCATATTTTACCATATAATCTATTAATTATTATTCGTGAATTTCAAATAAAAATATATTTTTATCACTTGTAAAAATCTATTTACTACATACACGTTATTTCTTTATAAGTTATGATATTAATAAAAAATATTAACTTCACATAAAAGTGTAGAACTATTAGTTTTGTACGTGTTTGTATGTATAGTAAAAGGTTATAATAGTATAAACAAAAATGGTTCACAATATAAAAAATATTCTTTACACAATTATCGAAAAAGATTTGTTTTATGGAAAATGATTTTAAAAAATAGAAAGGATTATTTAATAAAATTAAATATTAAATATATAGATATTAATACTGCATTAAACAATTTGTCAAATATTTAAAAGATCCAAGTATATATACTAAGATATTTAGATAGAAAAAAAATTATTCGATCTCTAATTGTATGAAAATAGTGTGATTCATAACATTTTAATAATTTTTTACAGTTTGTAACATCAAATTCTTAAATAATTGATCTACATATCAGTTGATCATAAAATAACTAAAAAGTGATTTTTAGTTATTGATAAATTTTATTTATTTCCAAATTACAAATTAAAAAATTTATATATTCAATATTCTATAATGTATCCCCCCATTTAATGAAATATTATCCAATTAACATCTACGATCCATTAATTTATTCATTGATTGAAACATTAATTTATTCGCAAATAATCTACGTTTGTAATAACATTATTTCAAATAAGTTGACTCTATATTTTCCTGTTTTTATAGTGAGTATTAAGATTTAATGCTATTGATATCATATTGAATTATGTGCATTTACTTAATCTTTAAATATTTTCTGAGTTTCGTTATTATGTACAAGGTATTATTAATGAATTATATTAAAACTATTAAATTACATTGTTTTAAAAAATGTATAATTATTTACTTAAACTCATTACTGAATTATACTATTTGCATATGTGAAATCAAAAATTGACATATTACAAATTACAAAAATTTATTCAATTCTTTGTTAAAAGAAAGGAATATGCTATATATATTTTTTACCTTTACATTAAAAAAGACAAAATTATGTAATTACCTTTTCATAACTTGAAAATATATTTTAATTTATACAAATTAAAAAAAAAAATTTTTTTACTTCTATTATTTATAAACACAATTATCCGAGCACTCGTTTGATTTACAAAACGATTTTGTTTTGTAATTGGATTCTTCTACAGAACAGTAAATGGATACATAAAAATACCTATTATTATTTTTAGACTTCAATTTTAACTAATACTATGAAATTTTAACTAGAAATGGAATGAATTATCAAATTTTAGTTAATTATATAAATTAAATAATAATAAACGAAACTTTAAAAACTAAATTTATTTGTTTTTTTTTAAACCAATCATATTTTGGTTTTCAAACAATTTTATAAAGTATAGATGTTTATAGTATGACAAAATAGTTTGTATTTTATATAATTCAACTCCTGTATTAATTTTTTAGCTTAAATTTGTTATTTGATTTTGTTGTTTATTAATTCTGTAAATTTTGTTTTAAAATTGCTTATTTAAATGTAGTCAATAAGTGAATAACGAAAGAGAAACACGAAGAAAGACCAGACGTTATAAACGATACAATACTTGTTCGTGACTGGAGAATTAGATTATTAGGCATTTAATTAAGGGATGTAACGTTCTTCATAAAAATGTTAAGTTGTATATCAAGCCTATAATTGTTGTTTCCCATATCAAATTCGGACTTCGAATTCATTGAAACTACTGGTACTTTATTTTATGATGCACTCGAGGATAAAAATAAACTTTTTATTAATATGATGTTATGAATAATTATATGTTCATACATATTTTGATTATTATCTCTATTAAACCGTTGTTTATTTTTAGTTAAATACTTTTCTGTAAGTACTGTAGAATACACCAACATTTTCTCTATTGCCCTCTTAATGATCATAACGATAAAAGAATAATTGATTTTTTCTTAATCAATTTGGTGACAATAAAAATCATTCTGATAATTATGAAGGGATAGTAATATGATAGTTTGACCCTTTTACTGACCTATAAGAACACTACAATAATTACCATTCTAAATAGTAGAGGCCATAGATTATTTTTTTATTACACGGACGGTTAATGTCATTTTACCGTGAAACGAAAACGCCTGTACGAAACAGGTTGAATAATCAGATTCAATAATCAGATTATCGTAATAATAGTATAGTACTATAGTACAATAAGAATATTTTGATTTCGTATGCTAATATAGTTGTTACAAAAGTTAACGCAAGAGGACACCTTAGTAATTATTGCAAAAAGAGTGACTATATAACACTATAGTTTTTTATAATACCTCTGCAATTATTATAAAAAGAGTGACTATATGACACTATAGTTTGATACTGCAAGCAAGTGTATGTATTATAACATTTTCATTTACAAATTATTTTTCATTGAGGGAATGAACCAACCACATAGAAATAAAAAATGTAAGCACAAATTTCTTACTTATTGCAATCCTTCTCTGATAAAAACATATAACCGACCGCGAATTGCATTGTTTGGAATTTTTAATTTGTGAACGATGTAATAGGTTCTTGAGCTCTAAGGGTGTTCTAATTATGCATGCGAGCGCGTCTTCGTTGGTGAGTTTATTATTTTTCAAGTAATCATGAATACGTGTGTTTGCATATGTTTTTACAAATATGTGAGCAGTGAAGTAAAATTCACGACTTCATTTTCATACATGCTTTTATCAATATGATATATTCTATTAACTAAGGGGAAAATCGAATAAATTTTATTTTAATGATATTTAGTGCAAATCGCTTGTTAAAGAAATTTATAGTTTCACTTTTATAAATATTATAAACTTGTGCCTTTATTAACTAAATCGTGAAATCATTCATTAGAAAAAATAAATATAGATGTAAAGATCATAAAAATAATGATAAAAGAAGCATAGTATCTAACATAATATTTGAATGTGCACAGATATTAAAGAACCAATGGGATATTAGAATGATGTATTTTTATTTATCTAAATTCATATTAATTGCAAAGATAAAAATAATTTAAAATTCTTTTCCGTATTATTATAAATAATATTATTTCATAGATATTCTACATCAAATAAATACTTTGGCCAGAAATCAAAGATATTACAATAGAGCTTCAACAACCCTAACACGGGTGAGATTATATCTCAAATAAATGCTACAATTCTAAGTGCATAGGGCACATGTGAAAAACACTTATAAATATTGAAATAATATTGAACAAATTTCATGAAAGACCAATTATTTACCAAGTATTAATAACGAGTTTTCATACTAATAATATATAAGATAAAGTGTGCAAACTCAGACAATAACGTTTATCTTCTACTGTTACATGGTCTTGGACCCATTAAGTTTATAATTAAGAACCCCTTTCTTGAGTTTTCGACCGAATAAGAACTGATTCAAGTATATGCTGTACTACATTAGCATTGTAATTTCTTGTACAAGATATATAGATAGCTTCTGTGTCAGTATAGTGAACCACTAAAAATGAGTAACGTTTATGTATAATTTATACCTCTTATGTACCTTACAATTTTTATTACATATCTATGTTGTCGTCAAAATCCCGAATCTTCTGAAAGGAATAGGTGATTGTATAAAAATATCTAGTTATTGTCATTTAGATAAATTTACGAATCATTAAGTTTTTTTATGAGGCAATTCATTTATAAATTAACAATAATTTTTATATGTAAAAAAATAATCAATTATCTTACAAAAAGATAAATATTATAAAAATAAGTGAATGTTTAAATAAAATACAAATACAATATTGTGCCATATTTTATTAATAAATGAAAATAAGATTTTTCGTAAACTGCACTTATGCACTATGCACATAGAAAATTTAATGTCGTAAATGTCTATAAATGATAAAAAATTGGATAAATGATGTATATGAAGTAAAAAATATCTGCAATTTTTATAATTCATCTATGAAGAATTTAATGCTTTACAGTACACAAAACAAGTGTCACAATTGAAAAATCACTCTATATAATTGATCTGTAAATCTTATAGATCTTGTACTTGTAGATAAAAAAATTATGTAAAAATGTTTAATTTAATAATGTAATGTATAATAATGCAATTAAATTCAAAATGTTTTAATGTTTTAGCTGTATAACTAATGTACATAATCAGCTAAGCAAAACAAATATGTAAATAAAAATTGTAGAAATAGAATTTAAAAATAAAGTACCATACAGTAAAAAAGAACTAATTTTGTTATAAATTAAAATACTTATATATAAAAAAGAATTTTATTTGAAGAAAATTAGAAGAATAGTCTGTAAACTTATTAATTCTTTTAGTATATCTAATAATCAAAATATATCAAATATATAAACATTTAAATAATTAATAATTTTAATAATTTTAATAGATAAAATTTAATTATTACTTTTAATGAGAATTGAAAATAAATTTAATCAAACACGAAACATGCTTGTTTAAGTAAAAGGAAATAAATTAAATTAAGTTAAATATATATTAAAATATACAATATAAGCTTTCAGTATCGAATGAAAATTGGCAATTAATATTCCTTTTACAAATCGTGGATAAAAAAATCAGTCATAAATATTTACAAACTAGTATTATTTATTAAATTATTCAAAACATTTAAATCTAACAAAAATATGGTTTTCAATATTAAACAAAGATTTTAGTTAAAAAATAAAAGAGCATATATAAAAATTTTATATTATAATTTTATGTTACTTGCATATATATATATTTACAATTTTTGGAAATAATATTGTTTTACTCAAGTAAATTTTGCTGCAGAGCATAACAATCTCTGATATCTATTTGTATGTTAGAAGTGAGTGTTTTATTC